TTGGGTTATATCGGCATACTTTAACATAAGGAACACCCTCCCGAAGTTTGGCACATTCCTCCTGGGACACCCTGTATATATATATATATATATATATATGATAACTCATATTAGACCCAAAATACCGTGATTTTATTCCTTCATTGTATTGTTGTGCAAATTTTGTGTTTTAAGAAGAAATATGATTTGAAACATATGTATTTAGGTACATTTATGCTAAGGTTTTACATGTTGAAGATATCAGATTCTAAAAATTTTGTAACATCTGACCAAAATGTGGAATGAAAGGTGACCAATGGTAATAGTGTGAAACATTTCAAGCCAGTGTGCTGACTGATTAACTGAGTAACTCCACTATCTTCTATTTAGCTCTTAAGGAATTTCCCTTTATGGGATGAAATGCTCACCACCATGATATGCAGTTCTGTAGTCTGTGAGAAGTGACTGGCTGCATCCAAGTTTAGACTCGTATTCTCATGCATTGCTTCTTTATTAATTTCAAAGCTTCAGAGGATGTAACCAACAACCAACAGTTATGTAAGTTACAAAAGTAATCACTGGCCATGCATTGTACTATTGTACTAGCTCAGGCATGCAGTCCAGCTGGCCAAGCATTGCATTCTCTCAATTATAATACTCTTAACCACCCCACCAGCAGCAATGTAATATCTGGGATTTAAGGTCCCCTCTTCTTGGAAAATAAAGGGAAACACATTTTGTGGGAATGTTGGGTAAGACTCATGATGGTTTTCAGTTAGCTGTGGAATTTTCTTTTTCACATGTCAACCACAGGTGTCAGGGAAGTAGCCTTTCTGTATAATGTAGCCAGCTTGTGGTAGTATGTAGTATCAGTGTATAGTGCATGTGCTAGTGATCTATGAGAAACAGATGAAAACTGTGCATACTCAGAAGGCCACTGTGTATGCAGCAGCAGGTCATTTGAATGTTCATACATTGGGTTAAGGATTTCAAAGAAAATGATCTTTTAGATTTTGCTGTTAACTTGATGATCTAGTTTGTTAAATTCTAAAGTAATGTCTGGAAAAGTAGTAGAATTAAAGTAACAAGTGCCATACATTCTGATGTGACAGACTGTCTAAATTTACTACATTTAAATGTAAAATACTGAATAATAAGTAACTGTCATTAAGCTTTAAACAACATTGTGTGTTGCTTCCTGTCATATGCAGCATGTTTTTACAGATTTCCACCTGGGCCAAATAACATTTCCTTATGCATGGCTCAGTCCCAAGAATCATGGCACAGGCATGCCTTCAATGATTTCTTTTCTTCCCTGAAATTATGAATGAATGCCATGTTGCCAATTATTTGTCCATGTCTTACATGCTGTGGAGAGTATGCATTTTGATGGGTTTTCAATACATGGCAGAGAAGTGATCAAAATATCATTCATAACCAAGATTTTTAAACAAATAGAGACATTTATGAAAAAATGGCTAAATGCGGAACTGTACAACAAGGAATGTAAGGAATGTAGTAAGATTACAGATTATTACAATTATAAAAGACAAGTCTGTCCAATGTGACTATTTCAGTTATCTCACTTGATTCACTAGCTTTACATGTTTTGATCCATTTGGATCATCTTCAGAGGCACCAAACACTTTTTTGAAACCACTATCACAACAGTTGTCATATCAAATACACATGTAATGTCCCAGTACTACTTCTCAAAACAGTCACTGCCAGAATTCAGGCATTTGTTATGTTGGGGAATAAGTTTCTGTATGCCTGTGTAAAAAAGTGTGCCACTTGTGAGCTCAGCCACATTCTGTGTTGTGAAGTGCTAAAATACCTGCATAGGGCCATTCAGAACAAAAGACGAGGAATGCTGACATTGGAGTAGTGCTCCTCCATGACAGTGTGCGTCCGCATACAGCTGCTCACAGTTGAGCATTGCTGAAGCATTTCAACTGGGAGTTGTTTGACCACCCTCCTTATAGCCCTGATCTTGCTTCAAGTGACTACCACCTGTTTACCTACCTGAAGAACTGGTTGGATCACATTGCTTCAACAATAATGAGTTGATGGAAGGTGTCAGAACCTGGCTGAGATGTTGCAAACTTTTTTGACACACGCTTACAAAAACTTATACCCCAATATGACAAGTGCCTCAATTCTGGCAGTGCTTATGTTGAAAAGTATCTTAAATATGTGCATTATATTTTTTGTATATAATATTTTTTTCTCATTGCTTGTTTTGTTAACAGCTCACAGGGGTGTTACTTTCTGAATAGCTGTTGTACATAGGATGTCAGTTAAAAATTGTCACTGACATTAACACAAATTGTATCTAATATCATGTGCTGCCCTTGAAACTGATCAACCTTTATCTGAAAAGAGCTATTTCAAATGATCAATGCAAATGGGACATTCTGTACACAAGGTTTGGTCTTTTGGAGCTCTGAACTGCAACATATGAACAGTGAAGTGAATGCTTTAATTTGATCTTTATGGAATGCATCCTGTTGTGTGATCAAACCAATAAATTATCATGTTCTGTCTAATGCAACATGTTTTGACCATTTTATCTGGTCATCATCAGGTGAATACAGATACTTAAAGAGTGCTCTGTTGAATTGCAATTGCTTTAACTCTCACATGGGCCCTCTAAGCTACACATTTCAAGAGTAAGGACCATAACCTGGTTAGGCTATCAAACATCCACCAGTCCATTCTCAAGCATCACACCCAACACCCAACAACAAATGGAATAAGGGATCATACCCTTGTAGCTTTGGGCTCACTTACCCTAGTTCACCCCAGGGTCTTTCATTTTTACATAGTCCACACAACAATTTCGTTTTATATGTAGATTTTATCCATGTTAATACTGGCATTAAACAAAAACTATTGAAAATATGGGCCCATAGAGAGGTGAAGCGATTCCAATTCAACAGAGCACTCATTAAGTATTTGTATTCACCTAATGATGACCAGATAAAATTAACGAAACATGTTGTGATTTTAATAAAACAAACTGAATGTTATACATTCTTTGTGTTGCTTTAGACAGAACATGATAATTCATTAGCATTAATTTGATGTGTTAATTCTTGATTTCAGCATTTGGTATTTATGCACATTTGGCATTGTGTGTGCTGATAGATCAGTTTTATTGGTGGTGTCTTGCCCGTGAGTTTACTGCAAGGATGAATGACTGGATCTTTGTTGTGTTGTAATATTATATGCAGTTTCCACATCCCATATTTTTATGGGGCGGGGCCCCTTATAAAAGTATATGCTGTAAAAACTTCACGGTTAATCTCTTTCTGCTTCCCTCTATTATCTCTGCAGTTATTATTCTGTTCCCTCCCTCACTAATCTGTAACCCTGAGCAGCCTATCACCCAGACTCTTAACATGGTTCCCATTACTAAAGTTTACAGTGTTCTTCAAAACTATATCTTGGTTAAAGCTTTTACATAGTGCAAGGATAACATCTGATTACCACTTCTTTCCTGGCAGCAGAATGATTGGATTTCCTTTTCTGTATAGTGAAAACTGTTTAAAAGAGTTCTATATTTCATTGCATTGAAGTGGTTGAATGAATGCCATCTTTTGACCCATTCTGATTTTCGTTTTTTTCTTTTTTGTTAATAGTTCAGAATACATACTGACACTCCAGAAATTCTAACTCTTAGAAATGTGACACATGAAGATGCGGGTTGGTACACCTGTGTTGCCAACAACGCCTTTGGGATTACATTTGCCAGTGCTTATCTTCGTGTTGTTGACAGTAAGTTACAGTATGTACAAGAAGTATTTGAGGTTTTCATAGAGGTGGTTATGAAGAATACTGCCTTCTGGGATGTAATATTATGTAGTCTGTTGAAAGTCAACCGACATTTCAGAGGAACATATTAGGGTTGAATAAGCAGAACAAGATAGGAGTGTGAAAGCAGGTTCAAGCCAAATATTCAGCTGGCTGGAAATTTCAGATTAAATAAGGAGGAGGAGGGAACGGAAGATTGGAACTCAGTTAGAATTGTCTTGCCACTGAACAGAATGAAATCACTGAGCTCTCACGTGACCACTGAGTGAACCAAAAGGAGACAAGAACAGGAGTTTATGAGGCTCTGAAGAGGAGCGTTTTTGCTGGTCTAGGAGAGAGACAAGGAGAAAATGTAAGGGTATGTTAGACAGGGAACCAATTGTAAGGGAGAGAGGTTAAGTAAGTGAGTCACAGGCATGCAGTAGGAGATGAGGGAGCAGAGGTAAGAGAAGGGAGTGTGGAGGCTGGTGAGCACCCAGAGAGGGAATATTTTGTGTTGTGATATGGGCATTGTACACAGACCTGCATGGCCCCATGTGGAACTCGGATCTGCTTTCATGTGCTGGAAGCTTCCTACAGTCTTTCAGGGAGCAGATATGAGGTTTCCATGACTTGCTCAGACAGAAGCCTTTTTCCCTGTTCATATTGTTTGGATGAAGCTCACTCTCAGTTGCCTCCCTGATGGTGGTATGGTGTAGTTGGATGTGGTGGCCCAGGTTGATACTACAAGCTGCCCCTTTTCAGGGCCTCATAAACTACTGTTCTTGTCTCCTTTTGGTTCGCTCAGTGGTCGTGTGAGTGCCCAGCAGTTTTATTCTGTCCCACGGTAAACCAATGGGAACTGAGGTCAACTCTTTCGTTTCCCTCCTGCTTTCTACATAATCTGCAATTGCTTGGCTTGCCATCTGCTTTCATGCTGGCATCTTGCTCAGCTTATTCAAACCTCAAGATGGAAGCCACATGTTCCCCCGAAACATCGATTGACTTACAACAGACTACATGGTATTATATCCCAGGTACTCTTCAGTATGATATGGATTTTAACTTACATAATTCCTGGTTGATGAACAAAAATATATGTGAGATATGAATTCATTAACCTGAGTAGACCAAAGCATTCATATGACATCACATAATATACAATTTTTTATGTAAAGTTTGTCTGATGTGTCTCAAAGGTATCACACATTTTGCTGTGTAGTTACTGGGTGAGCCAGGGCATTTTGAATTTCACACTCTAATAGTTTTAATGTTGTTATCAAGTAATTAATTTGTTCACTCCTCTTCCACCATCTTGTGGATATGCTCTTGGTTTTCCATTATCAGTTTTTATTTTCATCTTTCTTTCACATATACACGTAAAGGCTGAGTCTTGTTCTTCTGTCATTGTATATGTTAGGATGTAATTATAAATAGTATAAGATGATAACAGTAAGGTATGCTTGAGTTGATATTAGTTTTCACATTTGCTGATAAAATTTTGTTTTGGATAGCAGCATGGCTAATGCAAATCTTCATTATATAAAGCGCAATATCATAGTATAAATGTAGCTAGAATTTTCAAATTGTATTTGATAAAATTCGTTTCTTACACTTTACCATTGAAATTTCAAGAGGCTTGTCTTTATATTTTGTGAAGTTCCAGATAATCTCACGCCAGTATCTCACTTGAATGACCAAGAAGATTCACATGATACTGAGACTAACAGAGTAGCAGGGGAGTATAATGAGACAGTGCCTCAAATGCCACCCCGCTTCACCAAGCCGGGAAACATGAACCGCATGATCGCAAAGCCAGCTGGGAACATGCTGCGCCTCAAGTGCCCTGCAGAAGGTAAACAATATTCTGTTCAGAATTAATCTCCAGATAGTTCTATACAGGCTGTGCTATAGCTAGGGCAGTCAGAAGCTGGCTTGTCATAGCAGAGGCGTGGATTTAATCCTAGGTGACTTCATTTTAGATTCACTGTGGACAAAATATCAATGGAGCAGGCTTTTCCCAATTTCTTTCTCTTTCCCTTGTTAATCATCATTTCCCCATTGCTCCATACTCATCTTTCACTGCCACATGACATATACGATAGCCTTAACGACTCAACACATTATCACACCTGCAGTTTTTGAGTTGTGGCCCATCTGTCTAACCCCATTGCTTGGAAGGAAGGTAAGTTTGTAACAGTTTTTGGTCTGAGAGCTTTCTTACATTACACTTCCATCTAGTGCATTTAGTTATCAACCAAGATTTGTAGAGCTGGTTATGTCTCTTTAGGTAACAAAACAAATTGCCAGTTATGATTCTTACTGGATAACTCCTTAAGTGTCACATGATTAGGTCCAGCTTTAGTGTACATAAACAAAATATTGCTATGCCATAAATTAAAAACAAGATAACAGCAAATAAATCAATGAACTTCTTTAATCAAAGTAACGCTTCATCCGTTCATTTTTTTGTTTAGTTGTGTAAATTCTGTACTCTACAGTTTATACATACAGTACTAGAGATGCATGATTGCAGTGGGTTTCATGGGACAAGGATTTTATGAGATATTTTAGATTAATACAAATTTATACTTAGATCGTAAATTTCTCATAAAAATTGATTATTAATTATATAGAAAATTAATGTTACCAGTTTATTCACATATATTAAATATGTCCACACAGTAAAATCCCTACAATATTTGGCATTCCTTAGCATAGTTTATGCTTCTTTTAATCACAAAAGCTGAAAATTGTGATGTGCAAAATATATGAGAATTTTCAGTAGAGTTCAAAATTTATGCACTGTATTGAGGTTAGGATGATTATGGCTGCATAATTAGACCATGGCTTGAGAATGGCCCAGCATAGGGACCAACAGTGCATACTTTTTTCGTAGCATCCTTTTCACCTGATGAAGGAAATAAGTTTGTGAAACAGTGGTTTTTGGAAAAACTTGGATGATGGGCAAAGTCCAGTAGAATAATTGAAATTTGATCATACCATCGTGTTTAATTATAATAATTACATTCATATGCAATGGCAACTTATATACATCATCTCCAGGTTACACATTTTGGCATGTTTTGCCTATGTCCCATAGCTCAAGCAGTTGGTTGCTGGCTTCCCACCGTGGCTGCCCGGGTTCAAATCCGGGTCTGGTCAAGTGGGATTTATGGTGGATAAAGTGGCGCTGGGGCAGCTTTTCTCTGAGTACTTCGGTTTCCCCTGACATTCATTCCACCAATTGCTCCACAATCACCCTCATCTATCGTCTGGGGCTGGTACAGTAGGCCAGAAGTGGCCGCAATACAAGGGACTTAGTCCCACCACACTAACATAAAAAAATGTTCTGTTTACAGTCATCAGATATTCTTATATAAAAATCAGATAGGATGTATATATTATTACATGTGATTATAATGCCTTTTTAATTATATTGAGAGGATGGGCCTATCTGAGTATAATATATATAGCACTTAAAATTCATATTTTATAAAATTGTGAAAATTATTTAAAATTATAGTTTTATTATTTTAACATAAATACATACATGAATGAATGAATGAATGAATGAATGAATAAATAAGGGGTTGCCTTCTTGGCCCTTGCATCATGACCACAGTGATGTGTTATGCCTTTAATACATACTTCGTTATTGGTTTTGTGTTTCTTTATGCTGTAAACTTCTAACANTACAAAACATTAAACCTCTAGCTGATTATTGTTGACAGAGTTGAATATAGATTATTAAACCTCAATTATCAAATTGAGAAAGATTTAAGTGACATTGCCCAGAAAACTAGTCACACCAATGTGAGGTTTGTTGGTCTTCTCTGGCGACATGACAAGCCATGGATTAACAGGTGTGTAAGGGAGATTAATCTTCGGCTTGAGCGTTCGCTTGTGGAGGTCGGCGCGGCCCACATTGATGCGATTGATGTCTCTTCAATATTGAGGAGCGAACATACTGTCCATGGTTTGCATCTTAATCCTCGAGGCAAGGACAAGCTGACGCGACTCATTGCAGAGAGCATTAAGGGCAGACACATTCCAGTTGTCATGGGTGTTCAGAATCATTTTTTAGGATAAAGAGTGCAAGTAAAGTTTATCAAGTAAAAGAAATTGCAAAAGAAACTAATCTTTCAGACAATAATGTTAGTGAACCAATAGAAATCGGAAAAGGTAATTGCAGTCTACTAAATTCAGTGAATAATAAAGTACTAAGAATATTCCATCAGAATATAAGAGGATTGAGAAACAAAACAAATGAACTAATAAGCTCCATGAATTCAAATCTTCCACACATACTGTGCCTTACTGAACATCACATGAAACAGCTGGAATTAGAACATCTTCACTTAGAAAATTATAATTTAGGTGCTAGATACTGTAGGAAAACACTGGAGAAAGGAGGAGTGAGTATTTTTGTACATGAAAACCTAAAATTTACTAAAATAAATTTAGAAGATTATTGCAAAGACCAGGATCTGGAAGCATGTGCTCTAAAGTTAGACTCTCCTTTTTCTAATATTTGTATACTGACTTTATATAGAGCCCCATCTGGAAACTTCGATCACTTTATAAATAGATTAGAAACCATCCTAAATGTACTGCATAGTTCAAAAGTTGAATTTATAATTTGTGGTGATATAAATATAAACTATCTCATCGACAGTAATAGGAAACTAAATTTAGACTCTTTGTTATCATCTTACAATCTCTCCAGTACTGTTAACTTTCCCACAAGAGTTCAAAATAATTCTAGTTCAGCGATAGATAATATATTCATTGATAACTCAAAATTAAGAGACTATACTGTAGGACCCTTTATAAATGGCTTATCCGATCATGATGCTCAACTCATAGAAATAAATAATATTGACCTTCAGCCCAGTAATCAACAATATCAAACAGTAAGGAAAATCAACAAGCATACGATGGCAGATTTTGTCACAAAATTAAGTAATGAATCATGGGACAATGTATTTGACAGCAATAATATTGATTCTAAATTTAATTGCTTTCTGAACACATACTTGAGGATCTTTTATTCAAGCTTTCCCTTAAAAATAGTCAAAAATGAAAATAAAAACAAATCCACCTGGATAACAATTGGAATAAAAACTTCATGTAAACACAAAAGACAACTATATTTGGCCAGTAGGGACAGTAATGATCCAAGACTAAAAAGTCACTACAAAATGTACTGTAAAATTTTGTCAAAAGTCATTAAAGAAGCCAAACAGAATAACTATAACAGCCAAATTCTAAAATCAAACAATAAAATTAAAACCACCTGGGATATTGTGAAAGTTGAATCAGGAAAGAAATCTGTTAATGAAGACGTACAAAGTTTGAATATTGAAGGGAAGTCCACTAACAATCCACAAGCTATCGCAAGTGCATTTAATGAATATTTCCTTTCATTAGCTGAGAAAACATATTCCAATAATAATAATAATAATAATAATAATAATAATAATAATAATCCAATATACTATCTGTCTCGTGCCTTTAACAATTCATTTCCAAATATCAATCTCAAATTCTCAACAAGGAAGGAAATTGAAAACATTATTAAATCCCTTAAGCCCAAAAATTCACATGGATATGATGAAATCTCTACCAAATTACTTAAAGCAAGCTCTGTTTACATCAGTTCACCCTTGAATCATCTATGTAATAAATCTTTATCATCAGGTACTTTTCCTCAACGCTTAAAATACGCTGTAATGAAACCACTTTTTAAAAAAGGAGAGAGAAAATGCATCTCTAATTACAGACCAATATCCATATTGACTTCATTCTCAAAAGTCTTTGAAAAAGTTATGTATAATAGACTACTTGAACACTTAAATTCTAACAACATATTAGTCAAAGAGCAATTTGGATTTAGGAAAGACCTAACAACAGAAAAAGCAACCTATGAACTAACTAACGATATTTTAAGTGCTCTCAATGACAGATTAATTGTGGGAGGGATTTTCTGTGATCTAGCAAAAGCTTTCGATTGTGTTAATCATGATATCTTACTATCGAAATTAAATTTCTATGGAATAACTGGCAAAGCTAATGAATGGATCAAATCATACCTCAAAAACAGGTATCAAAGAGTTGAAATAAATAATAAAAACTCCAGTCATAATGCATTTTCAAACTGGGGAATTATAAAGCACGGTGTTCCACAAGGATCAATTTTAGGTCCCTTACTTTTTCTTCTCTACATAAATGATCTATCTAAAACCATCAACAATAAATCTAAACCAATTCTATATGCAGATGACACTAGTATAATATTTAAGAACTCTAAATTTGAAAACTTTAAAAATGACATAAATATTGTATTTGAAGCCTTAAACAGATGGTTCGAAGCCAATTTACTCTCATTAAATTTTGATAAAACCCATTACATATCATTCACAACTAAAAACAACCACCAAATTGATCTGGACATCAGTTATGCCAACAAATTAATCTGTAAAGTACTTGATACAAAATTCCTTGGAATACATGTAGACAGTACACTGTCTTGGAAAATACATATTGAACAAATTATACCTAAATTAAATGCAGCTTGCTATGCGATGAGATCAATTAAGCCTTTTATGTCACAGGAAACATTGAAGATGGTTTACCATGCCTACTTTCATTCTATTATGAACTATGGATTAATATTTTGGGGGAACTCTTCACATAGTGTAATAATTTTTAAAATACAAAAGAATATAATTAGAATCATTACAGGATGTAGAAGTAGAGATTCATGTAGAGAATTATTTAAGAAATTAAAAATTCTACCTCTTCAATCGCAATACATATTATCACTTCTCTTATTTGTTGTTTACAACAAAGATAAATTCAAATTAAATTCTGATGTCTATAACATGAATACTAGACAAAAATATAACTTCCACCTACCCTCATCAACTTTATCAGTATATCAAAAAGGAGTCTACTTTACTGGCATAAAAGTGTTCAACAATCTGCCACAAAGTATTAAAAACTTGGGCAATGATACTAAAAAGTTTAAATCAGAGTTAAAGAATTATCTACATGCTCATTCCTTCTACTCTTTAGATGAATACTTCAATGTAAATAGAGAATGATGTAAAATTAAGTTATATTAATTTTTAAGGTAAAATTGCCTGTACTTATGTATGTAACCTTTTGACTTTTTCTGTATCCAAAGGTACTAACCTGCTTAGGATTTATAGAATGTAAATAAATTCAATTCAATTCAATTCAATTGTCCAAAAGAACACTTAAACAAAAGATATTTCTTGACCATAACCTACGATGAAGTCTTGAAGAAACATTCTAGGTCATGTAGATATATGAAACATGTTCATTGTGCCTATGGGTCACCACATAAGCAAATTGGTATGTTGACAGTGCTGGAGGCCATGGGTTAATGAGTGGTGTGTAGGTTACCTCACAGATGCTCAAATAAACTGTGGTTGTTTTCAACTGTTCGTAGGAAACCCAGAGCCCAACATCACTTGGACAAAGGATGGAGCACCTCCTTATCGCCATTTATACAGCATCCGTAATGGTCGCTGGTCTCTTATACTGGAGGACTTGGTGGTATCAGACTCTGGAAACTACACATGCATAGTCTGCAATTTGTGTGGCTGCATTAACTTCACATACAAAGTGGATATCATTGGTATGTTCATTTCATTTTTTCACCACCTTGTACTGCTGAGTACAGCTTATATTCTTATTTATTTTTTGTAGCAATGAAACATGATAACTTCACTGATTATGGGCTAGGTGACTGGCTATAGGCCTAGCCATGCTCCTGTTTGATAGATACCTTGGAATTTTATATTGGTATATATTTATTTACTTTTTTTTTATTTTATTTTATTTACAGTGAAATCCCTGTCCACCATTTCTGAAGAGATAGCGAAAGAAAGTATGAGCGTAGGAAAGCATTTAATGAGTAATAAACTTGAGAAAACTAAAAAAGTAATAAAAATCCTCCATTTTTTACGTAGGTCTACAAAAATATTGAGCATGTAAATGTTACTTTAAAATACCTGTCTCCAAATAACGTTTCTGTAAATAAATCTGTTATTGTCAATTGCTTCATTGAAGCATTGCATTTCGGATGAAACTGCCATCTCAAAGTTTTAAACATTCGCAGAATTAGTGGGGTTTTGGACTTTTTCATCATCCAGTACTCTAGAAAATAGAAAACGTGATGTTTTGGAAACAGGATCTATTTCCGTCCTCAGGTGAAGAGCAGCATGCCCAGTTGAGAAACTAGATAGAAACTATAAAAATAGAAACATCTACATTCTATCAGACAGTCAAGCTGCAATTAAAGCACTCAGCAAATACCAGATCACCTCAAAACTGGTCTGGGACTGCCACCAATCCCTCGCACAACTGGCCAAACATAACAGAGTTCAACTGATATGGATGCCAGGTCATTAGGGTATGGTTGGTAATGAAACAGCAGATCAGCTGGCCAGAACAGGATCTGAACAGCCGTTCATAGGATGTGAACCAGCTTGTGGCATCTCAGTTGGAGTTGCCAAGAAAGCGATCAGGGACTGGGGGGGGGGAACTGGGAATCCATAACTGGACTCAGACAGGCAAAGGGACATGTACCAGGGCCCTCTGCCAGAAGAATGAAGAATCCGTTAAAATTAGGCGGAGACCAGTTAAGATGGGTGGTAGGACTGTTTACAGGACACTATCACCTAAATGGACACCTTTTCAACCTGGGACAAACAGATGACCCCACTTGTGAAGGGTGCCTAGAAAAATATGAAACAGCCTCACACATCCTGTGTGATTGTGAGGCTATAGCATGTTTAAGGTTTCATCACTTGGGCCAGTTTTTTATGGAGCCAAATTACTATTGTGACACCCTCAAACAAACAAAGTCCTACACATCATTCGAAGTGTAGAATTGATAAATGTTTGGGGGGGGGGGAAGAAGGAAGAACAGTTGATCATTGAAAGTCACTGTGCAAGGGCTGGAAGGGCCCAACCCTCATACATTCATTCATTCATTCATTCATTCATTAATTCACGTGAAGGGGCAGGAAGACACATATTCAGTTGGATCCCTTAGAAAGAGCTAACCTGAATCACTGGGACACAAATGAGTAGGTGTCTTCCTGCTCCCTCACCTGAGGACGGAAACAGATCCAGTTTATGAAATGTCATGCTTTCTAGTTTCTAGAATACTGGATGATGGAAAAAGTCCAAAAAAACCCAGTAGTTCTGAGTGTTATACACCATCATCAGAAATCTTTAGAATCTACCAGAAAACATTCTGTTCATCATGCTCACCAACATTATACACATAAAGAAGTTTTGAAAGCATTGTATACCTCCATAAAACCCAGTACTGGTTTGGGCTCATATTCCCCTCCATTTTCCTTCTCACTGCTTCCCCACCTCCACTATCAATGCACAATTCATCAATGCTGGAAATGGGGCACATGGAAAGCTCACTGTCTGGAAGTACATATGAACTGAAGTTGACATCTTTTTCAGCACAAAGCCCAGTCCAGTCCTTTTGGAATGTATCATCATCTTCAGTACTGTCTGAACCAACTTCTATGTTAAGATTCACACCCATTGCCACCTTAATGGAAATGGTTCATAATTGTGGACTGTGTGACTTGATGCCAAACTGCTACTGTGAAATGTGTTGATTTCAAAACACTGATTTTTAACTCAATGCCCTTTCCTAGGTCAGGCAACACAGTTTTTGTACTATGTGCTTCCTCTAATATTGTTTGAAGTATTTTATGAATCCCAAATCCAGAGTTTGCAACATGCTTGTGCAGTTTGATGGATAATACACAACCTTTTACATTCTTTAGAAGTGATGTATCTTGTGGATGATGATGTGTGTGTGTGTGTGCGTGTGTGCACGCGCATGTGCGCTCGTGTGCTCATGTGCGTGTCATAAACTGTTAAGTGATGCAATTCAGTATGAGAGATGTGTGCATAGCTCACAGAGCCTCCTATCCAATGGGTACCAGGAGCTCTTTCCCCGGAGGTAAAATGGCCGGGGCATGAAGCTGAGCAGTTACCTCCAGTTAGAGCTGAGATCAGGAAAACATGGACCCATACATCCATTGTCCCATATGTCTTTATGGCATGGTGCTTAATTAGTTGAGCACAGGGATAACTTTACTTAAAGGCTGATAGGGTCATAAATGAGCTATTTCCATGTCTGTTTGTCTTGTTAGTTGTATATTTTCTTTTTTTATGATTCATTTCTTTCACTATTTTATAATATCAATTTGAGTTATTTTCCAAGATGATTTTTTGAAATGTAGAACCTTCATAAAATTCTGAGGAAAAATAACATAAAATTAATTATAAAGGGTGATTGTATATAATGCTCAGGATTGCTGAATTTTTGGGCTTCGTCCATTGTCCAGTATTGTAAAGGATATATCATTTTGGAAACTGGGTCTTTTTCTGAAATGTTATGTTTTTAGACTACTATACAATGAACAAAGTTCAGTAATCCCAAGAAAATTAATTGTTATGATTCATAATAATTTCTGAGTTCCTGAGTGCTTTGCGCCAAATCCCAGTATTATATGTCTCTGGCTAAGTGAGATATAAAACTTACTATGGAGTTTTTTTTTTCAGTGATCCTGTGTTTTGTATTTATTTGTTTATACATTTCCACACTGGCTAAGGAGATTGTTGGAGTGCAGTCTTTTCATATGCTTTAGCTCATATTGGGATTACAAAGAGAAATGAAATTCTGATAGCATAAAGAAGGAGAGAACTGTAAATTCTCTTGCTCCAGTTCTCTCTCACAACACTGTGTATTCATTCCTGCCAGAGCGATACCCTCACAAACCATATGTGAAGGAAGATTATCCACGCAATGTGACGGCTCGGGTGAACACAACAGTGATGTTTAACTGCCCCACATATTCTGACCTTGAGCCTCACATACAGTGGATAAAGATGCCTCACATGTTTGAAGAAGGAACAGATCCTATGGAAGACAATAGCACTCTCCTTGTACAGGTGAGAGGTGATGTGTTGCAGGAGCAGAGTATCAGAGCAGCATGTACACTTGCTTGCTGAATGAGCATTACAGACCCACTTTTGAAATATAAATATTTTATTTGCTCAAGATGATGGTCTTGTGGGATGCATAAGTAGTGAATTCTGTCATCATCCACAAAAGGAATAAATCAAAATGTTTTCTCCAATTTTTGTGTTGTTACAATTTTATATAACTTTGGCTTTCGTATTTCATCTACATCAAGTATTTCTTAAGTGAGTTGTATGCTGCTTGTTCAGAAAGATGCTACACTCTCGCTCGACAAGCTTCTCTGTAACTGTGCCTTGTTTTTCTAGAGCGTCTCCATCACAGGCCAATTCTAACAGAAGCCCCAAAAAACTCAACCGTGGTGGTGGGTCATAACGAGTCATTTCGGTGTGAAGTTCTATCTGATCTTCATCCACATGTTGAGTGGTTTCGGGGGTACTACACCTCCCTTAATGAAACAGAAACTAGTAACGTGGTGAAGGTACATAAGCCCTCTCTTATTTATGGCTGCTGCATGCAGCATGTGTTTCATTACATGCGATATAGTTGGCAACTCATAGTGCAGACTACCCTGCTTGCTGCATGCAGCATGTGTTTCATTACATGCGATATAGTTGGCAACTCATAGTGCAGACTACCCTGCTTGCTGCATGCATGACATGTTAACACAGCACACTAGGTTGTTTATCACATTGGAAACTTCTGTCTTTTGTTGCCATCTTAATCCATTGTCAAATGGTACTGAGTAGACTAACTCTTACAGTGTAAGCAACAGACCAGAATTAAGAAACCATATAATTATTTTGTTCACATAACTGGGCTAATCTGGATGTTAATCCTGCAAAATAAGTGAACTCTTTTAAAGCAGAACTTCTATGAAGATTACTTACTTCTGAGATGTGATGCCTTATAATTTTATAGATGGATACCAGTGTTTCAGAAGAACCTGCTAGCTGCTGCATCTTCAGCGTAGAAGACTTTTTTATCCTGAAGACAGTAGCAGCAGATTCCTTTGAAAAGTCACGCCTGTATATGAAAGTCCGTGGTGTCACATCCCTAAAACAGTATTCTTTACAGTTGCCACTGTGAGAACCTCATATCTCACAGAAGGATTTTTAACTGAATTTTTAATATCGAAAGAAGGATACAGAAACCATCTTTTGCTGCTGGTATGCAATGTTTTCTCACAGTTACAAGATTCATTACTATTAAGGTCATGCATTTGCTCTTCTGAGTTAATATGCTGAAATCTGTATAAAGCAGGATGTCACAACATGGAAATCCCTGTACTACAAATAACTACAGATTGCTAATTTTACTGATGATTGTATTTCGTATTGAGCGGGTGGGTTTCCCCATGCACTTAGACCGATACTGCTCCATTGTGCATCCCCCTTTAATTTCTACTGTCTCCATACCCTACCGGTACTGGTGCTTACTATCAGCCCCTTTCTGCCAGCGAGGTTCCAACCTCTTACTGGCAGTGGTATCTAATAGTTAGTCCCTTTCTGTCAGCAAGGTCGTCCCTCCTCTGGCAGGGGTTCCTAGTCCCTTTCTGCCAGCAAGGTTTATACCCTCTACTTGGCAGTGGTATCTAATACTTTAGTCTCTTTCTGTCAGAGAGGTCCCCACTCCTCTGGCAGTGGTACCTGATACTTCCCCCATCTACCAGAGGAACTGGAAACTACTTGGACAGGAAACTTGGCCTAATTTTGCTCAGAGGTCTCCTAGAGACATGAGGTTGTTTTACGTGCCGTAAATCTATGACACGGGACCCACGGCTTAAAGTTCCTCCCGTAGGACTTGTTCCCTGAATTTTTCCTCCCTTAAAAATTCGACGACCTCCACCGGGTATTTGAACCCGCGTACTACGAGTCATGAGGTGGGAACGTTACCTCTAGACTATGGAGGCCGCTTTGATGATTGTATATAATATGTTCCATTACATTATGAATTCTGAGGCTAATGCAGAACCGTTGCAAGACTGTGAACCTTAGTCAAATAATCAGCCATGAGAAATCAGCAGTTTCTAGGGAATTATTAATTGAGTAGATTAACTGGCCAGAAACTGAAACAGGCTACAGCATAATTTAACAGGTGTGTTTAGCAGAAGGAATCATAAATAAAATAGTTAAAACTGCAGCTATCTCTTCCTTCATAATAAACAAGCATTAAATTCATATGCAGCTACTCACTGTTAGGTGATTACACTAGGTCCCATTCAGACTGACAGGAACTCAAAACTGTGTAGACATACTGAATGAATAAACAGCCAGTATTAAGGCCTCAGTGTTCTCTCTTCTCACACGCTCTAAATGACAAGTAAGTATTGTTATTATATGCTTCAAAATGATACTGTAATAGAGCATTTTAATGTAGTTTACATTGATTAAAGACTGTATTCTCTCTCTCTGTTTTTTGGTAACTTCTCATTTGTGTAATTATCTCAAAGAATGCAGGACTTAGGGAGAAAGAATATTGGACACAAGGTGTGTGTTTCATTTCTCTCTATAACTTTTGTCTGAAGCAATTGTTTCTTTGACAGATGTTTGCAGAAACAAATGTAGGTTTTCATGTCCTACCTAAATAAAAATTGAAATAGCTTGAGAATTTTTTGTGATATTCTCCAGTATCAAGTTTTATGTAGATCTGTCCAGCTGTACTTAAGGTGTTTCATGCATACAAACTGACAGGTGGACAGACACTGCTCAGGTTTGCAGATGTGCGTAAGATTTGTAAAATTCTATAATCTACTTAAAAATTAATAGCTAAGGGCTGTGCATCCAGGGTTCAAATCCGAGAAGGGGAAAGATTTTTTTTCTCTTCTCCACAATGTCCAGGCCAGCTATTGGGCTCAACCAGCCTCTCAATCAATAGCTACTGGTATGTTTTTCCCCAGGGGTAAAGTGGCTGAGGTGTGATGCTGACCACTCACCTCCGTCTAGTGCTGAGGTCAAGATGGTGGAGCTGTACCTCCACTCCCCCATATGCCTTCATGACATAGTGCTTAATTATTTGAGTACCAGGATAACTTTTTTTATTTCAGATTTGTTCGGTTCATTATTTTATTTAATAATAATTCCTCAACTGCATAACGTCATGTAACAATAACTGTGAATAATGGATTTTCAACTTGTCATTGCCCTGTTCAAACATTTGCTTGGAGTGGCTGAGAAGACTACAGAAATTCTTAGGCAGTGAAATGCTGTTTTATTAAAACATGATTTAATTCATTATCAACTAATATCATCTCTAAGTTATAGTAAACCATTTCTTTCCAAATAGTAGTCTCTTAAAGACATTTTGAAATTTGCTCTTAATTTGTTCTAATATTTTGTCTTTTTGACAGACTGGAACTTTGTGATCTGCTGTGGTCTTTCTTTGACTAAAGAATGGATTTTATTTTATGATATACAGCAGAGTAGATATAAAACTAAGATAACACTGCAACAACAGGGATTTGCTGCCATTTGAATGTAACCAAAAGGGCAAACAAGGTGCCATTTCATATTCATAAAGAAACCAAGAATTTAGTGAATTATAATAGCCTCATGAATGATGGGTACTGGAGCTTCTTTCTTCTGGAGTCGGAGGATGAAGCTGTGCACTGACCTCAATTCAGTGCAGAGTTTACACTAAGGCCAGCCGATAATTATTTCCCTTTCCATGCATGGATGTGAAATTGGTGTGTGGAATGCAACTTAGGTATCAGCATGTGTGGTAAGACATGCATGGAAATCTTGAACATATTTCAAAGTCTGTTGCATTCTCAAGGTCTCCAGCAGTCAAATGAATCATGGTCCATTTCAGTTGTATGCTTTCCTCAGACTAGTGTGACAACAATAGCCCTGTCCTGTGTGTACAGTATTACTTACAGTTCTCAAGTCTATAGATCATTTTGACAGTTGGTTTTGATATGAACAGTTTCATAGACAGTGAAATTCTGATAAACTAATCAATGAATATTCAGCAGAATTTTAGAAATTTTTTATGGTACCTGTTATTTTTTCTTACTTGGTTATTTAATGATGCTGTCAGTATCAAGACTGTATAACATTGATGATTGAAGGATTAATAAATGTGGAGTGGCTGCTTAAATGACAATTAGCAGGGGTACCCTGCTAAGAAGATACTCTCCCTAGTGTCACTTTGTCCACCACAAATCCCACATGACCTGACCTCAGGGATTGAACCCAGGCTGCTGCCTTGGGAAGTGAGCAACAACTGCCTGACATATAGCACAGACCAGGGTACCTTTCAGTTGTGCTTGAAATATATGAACTTCACCATAATGTAATCTTTCACAAATTAAGTGATGGATTCATTGTTTTCTTCACCTTTTTTTTTGTCTCTCTTGTACTCATAAATGTATAGATAAACATCATTTATGAAATCAGTCTGAGCTGTATGTTTACTACTGTGGCAAGAAATGAACTATGCATGGGCTTGGAAAACTCCCCCATGTGACCTGATTTCCATCTTTTCCATCTGCATGTGGTTATCAAAATAGTGTGCACAGAGCCTTAGACTTGGGAATGTGTTGCTGCTCTTGCTGCAACATCCACAGCTATAGTGGAACCCCCATTTAAAGCTCATCGGGCTGGGTGTTTTTCCCTCATATAAGCTTCAATTTCAATGATCATCCTCTGTTTAAAATTCTCCTCAGTTTATTATTTAAATTTACTACTCTCCACAAAGGCTTAAATCGGGGTTTCACTATAGTACTGTTATCACCACCACCAGGCCATGACCACGCCCATTTCCATGTCTCCTAGCACCACCACCATCATTACAGCCACCACCCCCCACCACTATGACTACCATGGCCATCACTACCACCATCATACATATCAATGCCAATCTATCTGCCAGCCATGGTTTTCCTGTTATATGAAAGGTTCTGTGGTGTGTGAGTGTTGTGGAGATTGTGGCTTATAAGCCTTCCTTATTCTATTGGACTGTTCCAGGAATTCTCTTTCCTTGTATATGAATTTTCTGGAGAAACAACTAACTTCTTTTTAGTCTGCTCATTGGGTTCAAGAAAAACAATGGCTTGCTAAAAAAACAAGCATCTTGCTGGTTGCATAATATTATTGAGCACTTGTACTAGTTTTTTATGTCTTCTTACTGCAGAGTATAACAGAAAGTCTGCATGAGCAGATTATGATTTATGATAACACTTTTTGACAGAAAAAGTAAGTACAAAAAATATTCCTGCACAGTTCTCTCTCTGAAACATCTTTGAAGATATGCCATATCCTGAATAGGAGACCTCATAAAAGAAAAGTCCTATGTGTTTGTCAGAATCTCTTGTATGTATTGTTTGTCCCATTGTATGTATAAGATCTACTGTCTTTCTAATGATGACAATGATTTATGTCATCTGATGATGCATCTACAAAGACATTTTTGTCAGAGAACAGCTATTAAAACTTGTTATTGGAAATGGTACATAGAACCTGTATGCAACAATATATCATACCTTTTCCACAAGGAAAAAATCCCTTTTGAAACTTTTCCAAATTTGTCTTGTGTCTATTCTTGTTCACTTTTCTAAGAATAATATGTGAAACTTTTTCAAACATATATTAATTCTTAATTTATCTATTTTTGTTTAACATATTTCTAAAGCAGTGTATTTATTTTTTATTTTATTTATTTATTTATCTGCTTATGATTTATTCAACAACACTTTCAGTTGTTCAGCTTCTGTAGCTTGATATGATAAGATAATACTAAATACTGAATTGAAAAGCATGTTAATTTGAAGCAGCTGTGGTCTAATTTGAGTTACTATCCTTGCATTTCCATGGAGGGATTAAGGAAAAATCAAAGAATCCCTCAGTCAGCATAGCTGGTCTATGGGGCCAAGATTTGAATATGGAATACCTAAATATAAGCAATGAAATTGATTGTGTAATAGTTAGTTAAATTTTTAATAATGTACTCTGTCAAAGTTTTCTTACCTTCTTATGTTGATACACCATGGGTCATAAAGTGGGATCTGGTCTCTTAGCAAACCAACATGTGTGTTGTGAACGCATCCATTGAAACCAAAACACAGTAATTTAATTGGTAAATAGTCTGAATGTGTTCATTGTTTATATTGTCATCCTTGCTTATATGAGGACCAGTTGATGTATTATGAAACAAGAACTTCTTGTCTTTTATTGTGGTGTTGGGATGATACATTATCATTTGGTGGTGAGGATATCATTCTTTCAACATTTATAACAGGAAGAGGAGTACAGGACAACTAAATATCACAGACTGAAGGTATTACATAACATACCTTATCAGATTCTCCATTTCTTGAAACAAATTTCTCTGTATTTAGTGAAATGTAGGTAGGTAAGTCAATAAGTAAGTTACAAATGGATATAGAACTTGAACAGATAAGAGTACTGATTTGAAAAGTGCTTTTATTTCTCAACATAATCTCCCTGTACACTGAGGCACTTGTCCCATCATTTCACTAGCCCCTGAAAACTAGCAGCATAAAATTCTTTGGGCTGCTGTCAGAACCAGGCGGTGACTGGGATCACAAAGGCATACTGCTCACCGCATTCCAGCCTCAAGGAGAAACTATAAATGCTGACTCCTACTGTAACATCCTCAGGAAACTTCATAAGGACATTCAATGGAAGCAACCAGGACTCCTCACCAAAGGCGTGTTACTCTTGCATGACAACACGCGTCCCCATACTGCCAACAAGACAAATGAGACACTGAAAAATTTCAAGTGGAAGTTCTTGAGCATCCTCCATATAGCCCTGACCTTGCTCCAAGCGACTTCTATTTGTTCGGCCCTCTTAAACATCATCTTTCAGCTGGACATTTTTCCGATGAAGCTGTAGAAAGGGAAGTCACCGCCTGGTTCCGACAGCAGCCCAAAGAATTTTATGCTGCTGATTTTCAGGGGCTTGTGAAATGACGGGACAAGTGTCTCAATGTACAGGGAGATTATGCTGAGAAATAAAAGCACTTTTCAAATCAGTACTCTTATTTGTTTAAGTTCTATATCCATTTGGAACTTACTTATTGACTTACCCTCATATATGGAAATCAGTTTAATTGTGATGACACTTCAGAATGAATGCTGCAATGAAGTAAGTAAATATCCTGCTTAATATTCAGGAGGTTCCAGGTTTAAATCTTGGCCCTGAGACTGGTTGTCTTGATGAGGTCTCTATTTGTGTATTGTGGTTTTTCTCAGTCCCTCAAGTGACCTCAGATTAGGCCATGATCACTTTAAACCAGATCCTTCCGATTCATTATTCACTATTCGTCCTACAATTGACGACTGTATAGTATGTGATACTTACAGCACTGTTGAATAAACCATAAACAAATATCACTTCATTGATAACACCACCTTCTGGATGAAGGCATTGTGTAATCTGGTAGAAGTGTACCAGCGTTTTGGGGAAATGTACTTCCTCCATCTTCAGGGCCGAAGAGTAAATGAGCAAGCTTCATGCTATTTGCTGCTTCCTTACTTGCTTGTTTACTGGTTTGTGTCGCTTACACTCCAGCCCTGAAGACTGAGGCAGAACATCCCTCCAAAACATCAGTAACCTTCTACCAGACCACATGATAACATATCCCAGCAGATCAGATACTATTCTTTGTAGTCACTGCCATGAGAATCTCAAATATCACACTTCACAAAGTTCAGCACTGTGCCAGCCATCCTTTTTGTTCAGGAAAATCCAATTAGTAAAGAACTGATTACACAATTTTGTCTAACAGTCCAGTCTTTCAACTGATCGTCCAGAAGAACTGGTGCTTAGTAACGTATCATATGAAGATGAGGGGTGGTACACCTGCATCGCTGGAAACAGCCTCGGAATGACATATGCCAGTGCATATCTACATGTTGTGGACAGTAAGCTATCACATTCCCTTATATTTAACTGTTGTTTCTACTGTCTTTTCTCCTGTAATCTTTCAGTATTTCTGTCTTTCTGCTTGCAGACGCGTCTCTTGACGATTTATTGTACAGGACTGAATCCCTTTCAGTTCAAATATATTCCCCAAATTTCTCAAGTTTTAGTTCAGGGACTTCAAAAGTTTCAGGAGTTCCTTGCAGAATTCATGTTTCAGCCTGCCATGAATGTTATTGAAAACTTTCTCTGCCTGAAGTTTATTGCAGTCCAAGCTTAGTTTATCCACTTGGCAGCTAGTGTGACAGCAGTATTCCATACTGCACTGTGTTCAGAATAGATTAGTTTTTATGTGTCAGAATTTGCTTTCTGTTGCATAATATCTACTCACTATGGAGATAGAGTTTGAAAACTATGGAATTTATGCATGGAAAATTTTTAATAAATGAAAGGAAATTTGTCTTACGATGACACCACGCTGTGTGTGTGTTTATCACTTTTCAACTTCTAAGGCAGTTGACAGATTATAATGAAATTTTGTATAACATTACAACTTAGAGGAAACTTGTTAATCCTGTTCCTGTTTGTTTTGAGAATCATATAAAACATATAAACAAACTCTGTGGGGAAATTGCAGAGTTGTTTAATGTTAAAGCAGTTAGTATGTATAGATCACATTATGTTCTAATCGTGTAGTTTTCCCCTTATAACATGGACATGGTCATATAATTAACAAATGAATAATGAAATGCTTCTTACATTAGTTCACTTGTATTGTTAGGGTCATAAATCAAGAAGAATAAGATGGGTTTGATGTGTAATTGACATCCAAAATTTTAATTAGAAATCCTGAAGGGAAGAGACCACTAAGTAGAGCTATATGCAGAATATTAACCTTGATCTTATAGACAAAATGCATATGTAGACTGGGTTTATATGGTGCAGGATAAAGTCCAGTGGCAAGTTTTTTGTGAATGTGGTGATAAATATTTTGGAAGTCTGTAATTATATGCCACTCAAGAACACTGTATCATGAAGCTATATGTTGCTTGTACCTGCATCATGTTCATCTCTGGTTGAACACTTTCAGCTTGTTAATCCAGTAGAAACCAAAACGGCCATCCATTCTCTTTCAGCCAACAGTCTATGCAGTGAGGCATGGCCTGTGCCTGAGTCCCCCGTGCCAGTGTCAGTCCGTCCCACCACAACTTCATGTCCATTATTCTCCTGGAGGACCATGGTCGCCATCACCTCCCTTTGTCTTCTTGCCGCATTCCTCGGGCGAAAGTTTCCCTGCAAATGGCCATGCTGCCCCAATGGGTGAGCCTACGCCATTCCACAGTTTGGTTTTTGCAGTGTTTTGCTCTAGTGAAAGAAAACGAGTTTGGAATGCAGAATAGCAATATAGTTCCCTCAAATATTTAACCAAAAATAAATTTAGATGCAGAAATTAACACGTCTTTCAGCTCGAGGAAAGTTTTGTTGACTTTTGTTTGCCTAAAAATGCCATAGTGAGAGTGCTTCTAATTGAATGTTGCTTTCGTACTTGCCAGAAATTCACAACAGATCCATGAACTTTGAGTAGTTAGATGGTGGAGTTCCCCTTGCAGGCTTGCCCTCAGCGAACTGTGAATATTTAGGCAGAGAGGTGTGATTTAAACATTTCTTGCAGGTTTTGTACTTGTACTTATCAAAGAGCCACATTGTCATTGATAATTCAATAATGTCAATAAATCTGTGCTATATGCACAGAATGTACTATTTATATATTTGGTTCTCTTTATGAACACCAATTGTTTTCCTAAACAATAACTGACTTATCGTATAACAGAGATGTGGCATGTTTTGTTGGAGGCAAGAAGTGAATTTTCAAATGCTATTTAAATGAGATACCTTCATAAAAGTAGTGACAGTGTTAAAAGTTAGTTTTATGGAATGTTATGGTGCATAGTTTCATAGATAGCTATCAACATTTTGGAGTTACATGCTGCCTCCATCTTTGTGATATGCCCTGAAGGTATAGGAAGTAGGTTCCTCCAAAATATTGGTAGCTATTTACCAAAGGACATGGTGTAACATTCCACAATGCCATATTCTTCATATTCAGCACTGTGAGAACCTCAGATCTGTCATGATGATAGCATTAAAACCAAAATTGGCAGGCATAGATGTAATGCTCTAATATTCCAGAGGTGCTTGGTTCAAATCCCAGCCAGGACATTTGCTATCCTGATTAAGGTTTTCGTGATTTTCTTAGCTTCTCCAGGCGAATACCAGGATAATGCATTGATTAGATCATGACCACTTCCTTCCAGATCCATTCAATTCATCATTCATCAGCCATCCCACCACTTGACACTGTATAGTCTGAGCTACTGACAGCATCATAAAACGGCCCACTAAAAACCTAGTAATAACTTGCTGTGTATTGGGAGTTTATCCGCTGAGTCCATAAGGTAGTTGGATCCTTGCAAGTGTGCTTCAGAATGTTTCTTCTAACTAGAATCCACTCACATATATTTAGTGGTCAGGTCTGGAAAGTTGTGGAGCTTTACTCACATGCCTCTATATTTAATGCTTAGGCACTCCTGTGTTCAATCTTAGACTTTCACTCCTTTAATATTGTAGCGTGTTTTGTGTGTCACGCTGCAAATAAGTTCATGCCATCGTCCCAATATAGCGAATTTATTTCTCTCGCTCGTTTACACACACTTTACAATCATTTGCACTTGCAGTGTTACAAGCACTGCTTACAATAACTCGGCGAGACACTGGACTCTCTTCTCCGAAGGCTGATCCGAGACTTTCTTCTCCGGAGGCCTGATGACGGCTGGCTTCTTAGCTGGCTCTTCCGAGACTTTCTTCTCCGAAGGCTATTCTGCGACTGACTTCTCCGAAGACTATTCCGAGACTGAAGGCTTCGTGTCGAAGCTGGGCTATTTATAACCTTGCCCGCTGTTAGGCAATGAACCCTTTGTTATAACAGTGGAAACGTCGCTTTGTTGGCTCCGCGTTTCCTACGCAATAACTCATTGTTATTGCGTTGTCTCTGTTGGGACGCTACGCGTGTTTGTCGTAACCGTGGAGATTCGATATTCTCGATACAACGGCTCACTGTTGGAGTTACAGTATCGCTATTGTTACTTCTTATGCAACGGTCTGTTCTAGCGTTTCCATAGAAATCTCTTCTGGATTCCAGACACGTTACAATATGACTGTGACACCATGCACATCACCAGTCAGACATTGTTTTAGCCAGTATAGACTCAATAATATGTTGGTCTCACAACCCAAAGGGTGCTTGTGTCTGTCTTCCTTCATGATACAGAATCAGCTGTTCAAGAAAATCTCCCCTTTCATTCACTGTTACAGAACTAAAGGATTATAAGCCGCAGTAGAAGGCCCTGTGCTCAGATAGTTCACATCCATATGTATTTACATATCTTCCATAGGGTTTCCAAATCAAAATTGTACACATTTAATTCCCCTCTACATGCTGCATGTTCTGTTCATCACAATTTCTTTCAGCCATCCTACATTACTAGTTGGAAAGTACAAGCTTAGAGAGTTGCTATTTTATAACTTTTTCTGGTCTTCCATTTCACTCTTATAAATCATAATATGGTGTGTACTAACCCATGGTTCAAAATCCTTGGGAAGCTGAGAGTTGCTCAGTTGGCCAAGAAATTCCTTGGCTTTTATAAAATTCAAAGTTTTTCTACCATGTTCACACGAGTTTGACACTAGGCCTTATTGTGAGTCAGTGGAATCCAGTCCACATATTTCAAATCCTATTTCTTTGGACCCCTTTTGATATCTTCTCATGCATCTACATCTACAAGGTGGTCTCTTTCCTTCTGTCTTAGCAAAATTGTATTTTCATTTTTCATTTTCTTATGTATGCTAAATTTCCACCTATCTTATCTTTTTAATTGGATCACCATAATAATATTAAATGGATAGTACAAAATATATAGCCTCTCATGAAGTTACGTTCTTCATACTCTTAGATCCAAATATCCTCGTAATGTTCTCTGAAGAGTATGATCTGCTTTATATGTAATGGCACAGAGTCGGGTAAAAATCCACGTATGTTTCAGAGGAATGTTTTGTCTCCATCCTCATGATTGAAAAGTAAGCAGCTTGTTTCCTGCTAGTTTCTTGCTTGGCTCACTCTTCAACCCTAGCAATGGAGGCAGTACATTTCTCTGAATTTTCAGGCTTCTATTGAAGCACAAGACATTAGAATCCACAATATGATGTTCTTTGCAGGCATTACTGTGAAAACCTCAAATCCAACATCTGCAATTTATATTCTTCCCTTAAGGTGAGAGACCACTTTAGTAGTACATTATATATCAATTTACATTACAGGAATTATGATCCAGACTACCAGTTATTGTCACCAGTTAGAATCACAGACTTCTCAACTTCACCTAGTGAGATGTAACATTTCCCTTGTTGCTGCAATGTTGTTTGGATCTGCAACATGTTTTCAATCCTGTGCTACAGGTCTAGAAGACGACCCCCCACAGATACCGAAGCTGCAGCCGACACTAGTGAATATCGTCGCAGTAGTGCTGTGCACACTCTTTCTGGCCGGAGTGGTGATCATGATTGCCATATTCCACAGACTGAAGATCAAGAGGTACAGTGATTTGTGATGATACTAAACATTATAAAGTAACGCTGAAACTGTTAATGGTCCTGATACATTGAACGGATGCTGTATGTGTGCATTTCCAGAGAGAAGATGAAAAAGCTCCTTGCCATCGAGACAGCACGAGCAGCGGTGGTCACCCAATGGACCAAGAAAGTGATTGTGGAGAAACAGAATCTTGCTAATGCTCAGAACACACAAGAACCACTCGTAAGTGATCTTACAAGATTTCGATGTGTATACTATCAGTATGCTGACCAGGTTTGCAGATGAGTCACTTGGAGGAGGCTCAGTGTTAAAATTATAAATCACATGATAATTTACTGGGGAAAACTTAGCAGCACTGTGTACATAACACACCAGCTTCAAAACAGGGCAACAAGGGAGCGGCTACCACAGAGGTTGGCATAGGCCAAAGTGAGTAATGTGGAGTACAAAATCTAGTTAAATAGAGACAATACCATGAACGAATAGATGGATGAATGTGATAATGCTAACAACAACAACTCTACAGGCAGAAATCCAGTGGAAATAATAATAATGATATAAACTGAAATCCAAAGTAGAGTCAAGTAACATGGCTCAACAGGAAGACAAATTCGGAAGTCGAATAAATACAAAGAAATTTAGGGCAAAACACAATGTGAGCTGCACCTCTGGTAGAGACAGGGTGCCAGACCAAGGAACATGCTGGGGAGGCCAGGATAGGATAGGCAGGGAAGGGAGTAGAAGGAGAGGAATATAGGGTATGGAAGGAGGGGGGGACACAGCAGGAAGTAGTAGAAGGTGGAGTGCAGAATGATACATGATGATGACAAGTGAACAGTGCATTGGTCCCCCCCCTCCAAAAAGAAAATCATCTGATGATTGCCCCTGTGTGGCTGAAACATGTCGTAAACTAGAAAAAAAAATATCAAAAACTAGAGTCATTGTAGAAATTCTGAAAATCACTTTTAATGTATAATATATACTTTTGTGCACGCGGTAGCGTAGTTGGTTGACGGGCTATGCTACAAGCCGGAAGGTCATGGGTTCAGGTCCCAATGAGGTCATTGGATTTTTTTTCAGTTGACCTAATCCTTCCAGCCACACTATGGCCCAGGGGTCAACTCAGCCTCTAACAGAAATGAGTACCAGGAATTAATTAATTAATTTTCCTGTGGAGTAAAGCCCGGCCGGTGCGTAAGGCTAATAACCTTACCGCCATCTTTGAGCCGATTGTCTAGATAATGTGGGACCTTCAGTGTCTCACAACCCTGTGGGCCTTCACGGCCTCTTACAGGGATAGCTTTGCTTTTACTTTAATATATACTTTTAGTGTCCTATTGACATTTTAATGATTTTAACATCATAAAGTTTTAAAATACAGTTTTAGTGAGTGACATGTTCTTGATGTCTTTTATATTGTTACATTATTGACGTGTACTTTGATAATAAGGATAATTCCTCAGGATGCTAAAATATAATATGTACTCACATCATTACTTTGTAATTTATGTATGCAGCAGTATTCTCCTTTGGTCCATATTACTTTCTGTTTCATAAATTAATTACTTTTTGCACTCACCTTCTGTCATTGAGCAAGGGTTGCTGTCTTGCGTTTTATGATTTTAATGTAGAATGTGAGCATATTTGTCCTTCTGTTTGCAGCTGATGCCAATAGTGAAAATTGAGAAGCAGAAGTCGCACAGTCAGATGGGAACTACATCTTCAGGTTCAGACCTCGTGATCTCAGAGTATGAGTTGCCACTTGACACAGAGTGGGAAATACGCCGAGACATGCTCACAATGGGCAAGTCTCTGGGTGAGGGAGCTTTTGGCAAGGTCATAAAAGCAGAGGGCCAGGGTATAGTTAAACAAGGAGTCGGCACCACTGTTGCAGTTAAGATGCTTAAAGGTATGGAATGGAGTGTGATGCCAGCAAGGCATATGTTGTACTTTGATTCTCATAACTCTGGGCACATAGGAGCCAGGATAGTGTAGTTGCTATAGTGACTGGCTACAGGCTGGATGACCGAAGGCTTGGAGTTTGATAAGTAGGCCCCAACCACTTCCTCCCAAATTTTTTCCAATTCATTGTGAATCATCCTATCATTCAGTGCTCTATAATCTAGATACTGACATCATCATAAAGTAACTCATTAGCCCAGTAGGGTCAAGAATTTTCTCCACGTCATCCACACCAGCTCTGGGCCCACCCAACCTCTTATCCAATGGGTACGGGGGGGCTCTTTCCTCAGGGATAAAACTGCAGGAGCGTGAAGCTGACCACTCACCTCCACCTAGTTCTGAGGTCAAGGAAATGTGGATCTCTACATCCACTCCCTCATATGCCTTCATGGGGTAGTGTTTAATTAGTTAAACAAAAGAACAACTTTACTTCCCCCCCTCCCCCTGCCACATGTCTGTTGGGCTACTATAGCATTTTATGACAGAAGTATATGTTCAAATTTAGTGGTCATATTGCATCATTTTTATGTAAGTTTAGCATAAACTAATTATGGATTCATATAACACAGTGCTGTTTGCACTGGCACCTCAGTAGCATTCAACATCTTCATTGATTTTTTTTTGACATTTGTGTCACATTCCTTGAAATCTTCATGATCACATCTTTACTGTATTCATTCAAACCTTCAGACCCCATATTCCTTCATTGTATGATTCCATTGATTTAGTTCCTCTTTGATTTTGGTGTTCATCTTGCACCCAGATCAGCATATCATCTGCAGACTGTGATGTGTTCATGTCTTGTCTTTTTCTTTCTCCTCCACCTAATAAGCAATTTATCCATTGACATTAAACAAGACTGGTGAGAGGACAATTCCTTATCTCATTACCTGCTTTGAACCATCCTGATCTTCCTAATTTTGGTTTAACACAGTTTGTACAATCACTGCATTTTAGCTTCATTTTTTCCATTATGGTCAGTACTTTTAATTTCCTTGATCTTGACTAAATGTTTTCTCACTTCAGAGTGTCTTATGTGGTCTGACAATAAAATTCATGAACTCATCATGCTGAATATTATTGTGGTCACGTTCAAAGTACTCCCCTTGAGAAGCTATGCACCAATGGCAGTGCCTAGTCCACCCTTCAAAATGGAACTGTTTTTCTGGAATGGCCTTCAGAGCTGCTGTTGCATTACTCCTGATGTCATCAATGTCATCAAAATGCCTTCCTGTCAATATTTCCTTTATCTTCAGGAACAGAAAAATGTCACTGGGGGCTAGATCTGGTGAACAGGGAGGGAGTTTCAGCACAGTTATTTGTTTACTAGCTAAAAACTCCCTCACATACAGTGATGTGTGAGCAGGTGCATTGTCCTATGTAAGATCCATGAGTTGTTGGCAAAACGTTCGGGTCATTTCCAACTAACTTTTTCATGCAGCCTTTTCAGTATGTCCAACTAGTAAACTGGGTATGCCAACATTATCAAACCATACTGATGTTTCTGTCCTCTGCTGCCATGGCAAGCACACAGTGGCAAGTTCATGAACTTTATATTCAGACCTCATATACTTGTTCAAAATATCTAAATACAATTACCATATTCTTACCAAATTCTCAGTGTTTCTCCATTGGTTGCCCACTGCAGAGATCAAAACTATAGACTACAAACAGGGTTTGTATTGGTTATCAGATTTATTGAACTCTTACAAACAATAACTAAAAGTACATATTATTCTTTCACTGTTTTACATACTACGCTAATCACTAAAGAACATACTAGGTCTTCTGGGTTCCCGAATTGTCCTCAGCCTCAGCTACCAGGGTCTGCTTATAACATCTTGGAATGGACAGTGCAGAAAATGTCTCTTCCATTATTGCAGTATTCTTTCATTGCCATGGAAACATGCTTGTTTGTGGAGCTGTTACCTGGTAATGGCTGTTGTATAGTTGCTTATTTCATGGTTATTGCCTAGCATTGGGTCTACATGCCACACTATTATGGATTATTCTCTCAGTGAAATGCATATTCCACTAATTGGGTCCTTGATAAAAACTTTTATTTAAGTTACTGCTTGCGGAAGTAGCGTCAAGAGTCAGAGTGAACAGCTTTACATACTGTAACTTGTACTACCTATTGCTGCAAGCTTTAAGAGTGAATGTTCAGTGCATCAATTTCATTGATTGTAGTTTAATTGCAGATCTGCAAGATATTTCTGGAGCAAGAGTTTTCATATCTGTGCTTGAATTCACAGGTGAGGCATGTGGACCAAGACAAGCATCAGAAACTGAAAGTTGTTAGTTAGGGAACTGTTAATTTTAGTCTGTGTGGATACCAATACCTTCTGTTGCTGCTCATTATTGCAGAGGGCCACACGGATACAGAAATGATGGATCTGGTATCAGAAATGGAGATGATGAAGATGATTGGCAAACATATCAACATTATCAACCTTCTGGGCTGCTGCACGCAGGATGGACCACTGTATGTTGTAGTGGAGTATGCCCCACATGGAAACTTGAGGGACTTCCTGCGTCAGCACCGACCCTCTTCTGGTTATGAGCCTGCCATTGGTACAGACCTCAAGGAGAAGAAGACACTAACACAAAAAGATCTTGTCTCTTTTGCCTACCAAGTTGCCCGTGGCATGGAGTACCTTGCCTCACGGAGAGTGAGTTTGGTTATGCTATATAAAAGCTTAAGCCTTTGCAACTTCAGTGGATAGAGGGTGTTGCGTGATCAGTGCAACGGATCCCCACTGTCATTAATCTCGGTTTTATAGACTGGAGCTGCTATTTCCTTGAAGTAGCTCCACAGTTATCCTCATGAGGCTGAGTGGACCCTGTTCCAAACCCACTACTTCTCAGAAAATTTGGTAGCACTGGGAATCGAACCCAAGACATCTGGATCTGTAGCCAGGAACTCTGACCACTAGACCACAGAGGCGGTTCGCACAAACAAGCAGCGGTCGCTCAGTCGGTATAGTTTGCTTGCGGACTACAGGCCACAGAGTTAGTTAAGCCTTTGCATTTGTCATTATGTAGAAGTAGTTGTTGTGGATAGGACTGCCAGATTGTAATGAGAGGTACCTATGCTCTGATTGGTACTGCAGCCTCAATCATTGTCAAAAACAAATTAATTTTGTCTGTAGTCAGTGAAATCATGATTTAATGTATAAGGGTGGCTCAGTGGAGGGGATTGGCTAGCACAGGGAATTGTTTATTTTGAAGATTCTTCCCATTTTCTGCATTTGAGGTCATTCAGAATAATGTGGACCTATGAAATAATAAAAGGGATTATAACAAATTGCACATGAAGCAAAACATGTTTATGATGTAATATCAAAGAAATTCATAATATCTACCAGTGAACAATTTGGGACCTAATCACTCAGTTGCCGACTGTTACTGTTGGTCATGTTATTTAATGATGAACCAGACAATGGCCACTATGATAACTATGTTGTCAGTTGAGAAATGGTTGAGTGTCTTTGCTCTTGTGGTCAGTTTTTGTTAAAAACATTTCCTTTAGACAGTAACACTTCTTAATGCATATTTTTATTTTGCAGAGCTCAGTATAATAGTACAAATATAGATGTCTTTCCAGAACTTTTCAAATTATTGAGATGAAGTACTTTTGATGAAGTTTTTAATCATTTCCAGTTGAAATTTCATCAAGATATATGCTGGCAGCATAGCTAATTCCAAATATCACTTTCATTCACACTGATTCATGTTGTACAAGTATGTAGTACTCCTTCTGCCATGCATATGTGGTAGTGCTATTCTGACAGAATGTATTGTTCCATTCACTGCCCACAGTGTGACGTTGACAGCTCTGCAGAAATTGAGGAACTTCTGTTCCACATGTAATACAGGGTCTCCCAAAAAGAATACCAGGAAGTCAGGCACCTGTAGTTTAAGAATGAAAACAGATTTGAGGTGTTGTTTGTAGTATTTTATTTATCAGTTGAAACAATTTTTTTTACACACAAGTGTAAAACTTATGAGGTGCTAAACACGTCACAGTGAGTAACATCTGTAGCTCTGAGTACATTCCACCTGTTGTTCTAGCATATTCATTCTTTAGCTGTACACTTCATATTTCACACAGCCCCAAAGAAAGAAGTCTACAGGCATAAGACCAGAAGATGAAGGGGACCATGCAACTGATCCTCCTCTTCCTATCCAATGACTTGTGAAATTCATATTCAGACAGTTATGTACAATGTGAGCAAAATTAATAGGTGCACCCTAAAGTTGAAGAATAAGATTGCTGTAGTTGCCGAGCTGCAGAAGATTACAGAAATGTCTAGAAAGAAATTGCTTTTAATGGTGTCCTCATCAAAAAAAAATCTGACAATGACTCTTCCATGCATGAACACATACCACACGTTCACTTTAGGACTACCCTGTTCATGTTATAAATGTCCTCTGAGGGGCTCAGTGCCCCAAATAACACAGTTATGCCAACTCACACATCCAGAGATGTGAAATTTTGCCTCAATATTACTCAAGAAAAAATTATCATGCTCCAAATCCGTACACACACTGAGTTTCTGGACTACCTGTAATTTGTATAGTTTCAGCCACAGGCTCTTCCAAAGAATTCCATGGATAGTTGTTAGCAGGATCTGTAATCATGCACTCAGTAGATTGATGTGTTCAGACTCTGCATGAAAGCCTGCCTAACATGATCCACATCTTCATCAGATATCCTAGGCCATCCAAAAAAATGCTCCCCCCCATATTTCCAGTCTCTCTAAATTGATCATGCCTTCTCCTAATTCTCTTGTCATCAGGTGGTCTTACACCATACTCACATCTAAATTCATGCTGAACTCAAAAATTCTATTCAAGTTTTATGTACCACAACATGGTCTGTTCTTTCCTTTGCACAGTAGACATTATACTGATCACTCTTGAATACATAATTGAAGTTGATGTTTGTAAACTACAGTTGGGTTGCACATATGACTCACTGCTTGAGTTTATGATTACACTGCAACTACCTACAGCATCATATCTCTTTTGTTTCTGAGTTGCAGGTGTTTGAAATTCTGGAATCCTGTTTGGTAGATGCTGTACATTTAAATGATGTTGCCACTCCAGGGACTAGAGACATTAACTTTATTGCAGATGTGGTGGAATTATCGCTTCCAGTTTGCAGTAGTGCCTTTCACTTCCCAGCCCCCTGCCTCTCAGTTCTCAGAATCAAACTTTCTTTGATACAGATCACAGCACATTTTATGACTCAGCCTTTTACTGTGCAATAGACCATTGCATTTAGTTCTGTGTTGTTTCCAATTCAATATTCATATTCAACCTGCCATTTAACTGAAGCATTGATAAGATGTCATTACATGAAGCAAAACTAACATAGTAACATATGGTGAGATGACAATTTGTTTGCTCTTCTCAGTGTATCCACCGTGACCTGGCTGCTCGTAATGTGTTGGTGAGCGATGATTATGTTCTGAAGATTGCTGACTTTGGTCTTGCAAGAGACATCCACTGTCATGATTACTACCGCAAAACCACAGATGGTCGATTGCCTGTGAAATGGATGGCTCCTGAGGCCCTGTTCCACCGTGTTTACACAACACAGTCAGACGTGTAAGTAACTGGATGTGCTCTGTGCAGTGTGTGTTTACAGTAGTTGCCTCCAGTTTGAGGTGTGCAGTGTGCCCCAGAATGAACCCTTAAGAGTTTATAACAAGCAGTCTCATGACCTTTTCCTCTTAACCTGCAGCAACAATGGATCATGCTTCCTGCCTCTCTTCTTCCTCTTTGTTGCCACAACTCAAGGTTTGAGTACTGTAAACTCATTGCAATGTCCATGCTCTTCAGGGTTTTCTCACATGTATCTGTATTTTGGGATTTTATAAATATGGCGATTTTGGCATCCTATTGCATCCTATTTATACATTATTTCTAGTTTAACAGATATTTCTGTGCTTCTTCTGCCATGTTCTCAGTTTGTGGTAGAGCTCTTATTTTCTCATTTGCTATTCTGTCTCTTAAATTAAATTTGCTCCTGGCGGTGACCTAAGAATCTCATATTTGCACTTCACCCTTTTCTAATCTGCTATGAATGATGATGGTTCAGTACACAAAAAAGTAATTTTGAGCCTACAGTACACTGGGAAGTGGACAACAATGTGATGCACTGAGGAAGGGAATGTGTCACCTGAGACTTGAGGTTCTCATAGTGGGAAGCAATAAGATACGGAATATGGCTTTATGTAGTCTGGTAATAGGTGTCAACATTTCTGAGGAACTTGCTATCTTTGTCTCCAGTGTAGAAGATTGGCTCACCTACCCTGAAGATGGAAGCATCATGTTCTTCTGAAACAGTGTTACTTGTCTACCAAATTATGTGGCTCATATTCGGCAGAACTGTAGTCTTAAGGGAATGTGATTGTTTTGGTCCTGAATGGATATAATTGGGTTTCCCAGTTACTTAACTGATATGGCATTAGAACCAGCTCTGTAGTAATAAAACGAAAGGTTGAATACAACTAATACCAAGATATACCAAGATACCCCACTTGATTTGATTCTTTAGCCAATTTGGTCAACCTCCCATCCTCACATTTCCCTTCCCTAAGATCCACCTTCATGCTATCCTCCCATTTTGTTCTTGGTGTAGCAGTTGTTAACGTATCAAAAAGGTTTGCCCACATTAACTAGTGTGTTGAGATTTGAGGCTTTCATGGCAGTGAAGATTTAGATTGTGGTCCTCTGGGTTGTGACAGTGTGCAGTCTGGTAGGTGGTTACCATCATTTCAGAGGAACATGCTGCTTCAGTTCTATGCTGAAGACCATGGAAGCATGTTTCCTTATAATGTTAATAATCTGGAAGACCAAAATCTAAATATAGTTATCATATTTTTGCTCCATCTAAGATCCATGTCAAAGGCATAGACATGTGTACAGAATACTGGTAAGAAACCTCTTAAATATCAGATGCCAGAATGAGTGAAGAGGATAATATTTGTAATATTATTAGGGAAATAGATAATGAATTGGATGAAACTGGCTCAGGGTTAGGTCCAGTGATGTGCCCAACATTAGCATTATACTTTGAATTTTATGCCAGAGTCATATTTATAGATTAGGGAACAAATAAAACCATATAGAATGTTTCTGTAGTGGAAGGGGGTGTTAAATAAAAAATTGGTCGAAATGAGATACATGCATCCTGAAATTCTCTTTTAAATATGATTGAGTGAATCTGAGTTAAGTCACTAAAGCACAATTTTATGATCTAATGGAATAAACCTATGTTCTTTCTTCCATGTTTTCATTTATTTTGTGATTCATTTCATCAGACTGTTCAGTGCTGAATAGTAAGATGATTAATGAATGATAAATTATACATACATGGAAGGAAGTGCTAATACCTGTTTCAAGGTACCACAAAAATCGTGTCAGGATAGTTGGTTTTGCTGACCAAGATTCAGACTGGGAATTTCCTAAATATATGTCAGAGTTTGGTTTCTTCTCATGTAAAGTGATGCTTGGTGAATTAACCATCTTTCCCACAACACCACAGAGGTTTCTCCATGTGCCTGTGAAGATATTATGAAGTTTAAAGACAGAACTGGCTCATGATCAAATGCAGCAGCATTATTAACATTCAGCATCCAAATTTGACACTGTGCATGTGTTGCAGGTGGTCATATGGCATCCTGCTATGGGAGATCATGACACTAGGTGGCACCCCATATCCGTCAGTGCCAAGCGTTGAGAAGTTGTTCCAGTTGCTTCGCAGTGGACACCGAATGGAGAAGCCACCCTGCTGTTCTCTTGAAATGTAATTATCAGATTTGTTATTGCGTGATTTAACCTAGAAGAATTGGTATTTGATTTCTGGCAGAAGAATATGTTTTTTTTCTCCACAGAATATAGCATTTAATGTTACGATTAGTGAATAAAGGAACTGGAAAGGAAATGGAAGGAAGTGATCATAGTCTAAATTTGGTACCATTATAAGACTTATATTGACATTTGATCCCAGGACCTCTGAAATACAAAGTAGAAGTGATACTCAACCACAACATTCAGTAGTATCATTTTGTTCCAGAATAGAGTGCTTTGTAGCCACACTGTGTGACCTCATCCAGTCACAGGGTTGGCTTTTCTGTTCATAACAACGAATTCACAGGATATCTATTACAGCCTTATTCTGATGTATAACAATCCTAACATCTGATTTGAGATCCATTTTAATATTGTCACATGTATGGGGGTACATGTTATGAATAATTGTGGGTTCTAGTTTAGGTGATTTAATTTATTGGCACTTCAGTTACAATCTCTTATAATGACAATTTATACTTTGCTATCACTGAATTACACAATTTTCAGTTCACTGTCGCACCCGCACTGGGATTCTCCATCTTCAGTAGTCATCTCCTGGCAATGGATCTCAATATAGAAACTAGCACTTCAGATCATTAAATCCTTCTTGCCATTTCTTGTTCAATCCTCTTGGAACCATGGAACTCAACTAAAAACTTTTCTTAGCTGCACGCAGACTCATGTTATATAGCTGCAGCATGGACAACACAAAAAAGAACCAGCTCTACCATTGTGTAGCGCGGACTACATAGAAAACAAGTAGCATGATAGCTAAGTACTGTTGGAATGTGACTTCATTGCGCCTGTGCAGAAGTGTGTTTACTGAGCTGTTGCCTAGTAGCAGGTTGGATAACCCTGTTGGTCCATTGTTGATGCGTGTATTACTAAGAAACAGCTGTTTCTGTGGCTCAGCAGTTCTTGCATGGAGTGAATATGCCACAGTATTATGCTGTACTATTTCCTGTTGTCACATGATGCTGTCAAACATGAAAACATCAATATCCTGACTTGCGTAGTTCCCACAAAGTCGTGTGTATTCAAACTTGTGAAAAAGTGGCAGGACACAGGTTCAGTGTGTGACATAAAGAAGCAATCATGCTGACTGAAGAAAAGGTTCGGGATATTGAGGTATGACTACCGATCAGCCCTCAAAAATCATTAAGACTCTTAGCACAGGAAACGACTTTGTGGGACTGGCAAGTTAGGATATTTACGACAAAACTTACAGATACATTTTCTGTAAGTTTTTTCCTTGCAAAAGTTTTGACAAAAACACTTGCTGTTCAATAGGTAACTTCATTTCAGCATAAATGTTGACAGCTTATCGACACCTCTAACACAGACTGACTATTAGTGTGACTTACTGCAGTGACAAGATCAGACCACTTGACAGAGCCTGTTTATCGGCGGTAATGACTCATTCTGTTATCGGCCGTTACAGCAGCAATATGTGAGAAATGTTGTGTCTGCTCTATGCTGCTGCCAGGTTTCCTCGATCATTGAACACATTGTATGAACACAGTTATGATGCTGAGGTTGTTGACCTTCCCTCAAGATCAAATTCTTTGTTATAGCTGAAATAAGAGCCAGAAATTGAGAAAGCTGTTGTAGCAATAATGCCCTGGACTTATATTCAGTAGGTGTTTGGTTTGAATCTGGCCTGGGACACCAGCTGTTTTGACTTAATTTTTCATGGGTTTTCTCATTTTCCCAAGGCAAATGTAAGCTTAGTACCTCAATTAGGTCATTACCACTTCCTTCAGAATGCTTTCCAATTCATCAGTCATGCTACCATTTGATGGTATATTGTCCAGCAGCTGACAGCAGCATAAAAGACCAAAAGTGAATAAAAGAAATAAGACAGCCTGAAGTCTAAAAACTGCACTGCATGTCATTTTTGACCCTTAATGAATTTGTTTAGGAGATTACAGCCAATAAATCAGAGCTGTGTGTTGTTGATCTCGGAGATGGCTGAGTAATGCGAGAATATGTTTCTCAGTTCTTCCTCAGCAATGTCTAGGTCAGTTAGTGGGTTAAGGAACGTATGCAGAGTGTCCAGATGAAAAGTATGCAAAATAAAATATCTCAGAAAGCGTTTATTATACACATTCATGGGTTACACCATTACAAAAGGAAATGATCAAAATATATAACTTTCATATATATACATTTCAATGTGGGCTCCCTTGGTGCCATGACAAATATCCAGATGATATTTACCCTCATTCCATGTTGCTTGAAGCATGTTGAAGCCCCATCTTGTTGAAGGATAGTTTGCGGTGGTAACTGGGGAAGCGCATACAGCTCCAGTATGTCCAAGTACAAAAGTCTGGTCAGTCTTTTCCGAAAAGAAGAATGGTCCAATCAACTTATCGTGCAATAATCTGGCCCATACATTCACTTTGGGGCTGCCTCTCTCCAACTCACATGTGACATGTGGTTTTTGACTGCCACAAATCCTGCAGTTGTACCTGTTTACAACTCATTGACATTGAATGTTGCCTCATCTGAGAAGCACACTCGGTGGAGGAAATTGGGTGATGTGTCAATTCTTTCTAGCATGTCCGCAGTGAAGTTTGCGCATGCTACGTGATCACTCGGTTTTAGTGCATGAATAATTTGAATCTTGTATATTCTTGGTTGGAGCCTTTTGTGTAGCACATCATGCACTGTTGAATGCAGAATTTTTATTTCAAGCTAGCAGTATGAACTGATTTGCGCGAACTTCACTGGACAGCCTCTCTAATACGATTGACATTTTCTTCAGAGGTCCATGTCTTTCCATGAGATTTTGCACACAACAGAATACTCGTCGTTCTTAGTTTTTTGTCCCAGAACTGAATGCTTTTCCATGTAGGAGGTTGACATCCATATTGTGTTCTAAAACGATACTGAACAGCTGTAAGAGATTGTAGCTCTGCAGAAGAGGGTCACTTCTTCTTAGAAACGTGCCTTGCATCACATAAATTGCGCACTAATGACTCATTCTGCTATTGGCAGTTACAGCAGCAATCTGTGAGGAATGTTGGGCCAGGTCAGCACTGTTGTGAAGTTTCCTCCTTAACTGAACACACTGTATAGGAAAGCAAGTACATTACTGAACTCATATTTTGAAAGATCTTGGAAGAAAAGAAACAGACAGAAGTTGCCTGGTTTAAAAATAAATGCTGTGTGTTTTAGTTATATGTTAATGCGTGACTGCTGGAGCTACCAACCAAATGAGAGGCCCATGTTTGGAGAACTTGTTGAAGACTTGGATCGCATTCTCACCATCACTGCCAATGAAGTAAGAAAAAAAGTTTTAAGTAATATATTCTGAATTATTAAGATTATGGCCTTCTGAGATGTGAAATCATGTAGTTTTGTATGTAGTTTCTAATATTTATTTGGAATGAATATGTACACATGTAGTATGGACATCTACCTGTGGAAGAACAAGGTATGTATGGCTAGAGGAATGATATAAGATGATTCAAAGGCTGGAGCCACACGAGCACACAAAATGCATCTGTTGTAACACACGTCGTGATGTCCATTGTAGAAATAAACAAGAGAGGCGAATGCTATGCTTTCTTCTGGCGCCATTGCAGACAAAAAAACTATGTACCGCATTCTGCAACTGTGTGGTGTCCTCAGCAACGTCCATCATAAAGTATGTTTGTTGCAATGGACGTACTTCATGATCTTGTGTGGTTCCAGCCTAAGATGACTGACAGCAAAAGTGGAAGGCCATAGCTATGTTTGGGCAACTTCTTTTTGTCACCTGACTTATGTAATTGTCTGACATAAGAAGTCAATTGTTTCTAGATACACAGACATATCAGAAAGGTATGCCACAGAGCTCTGCATGGTGCCTGCTTCCTGTTGGCTTCTCATGTAATGTACCTATTGACCCTGAATATGGAGGCAGTGCATTACTCTGAAATGTAATTGAACTTTTACTGGGGACTGAGCAGCATTACATCCCAGAAGATAGTCCTCTTCATAGGTTCTGCTTGTTGCCTACTTCTTGGTGGTTTGTTGCCTGACCTACCCTTTGACCCTGAATATGGAGACTGTACTTCCTTCCTAAACGCAAGTGGGCATCCAACGGACTATACAGTGTTAGATGCCTTGGCTTACTTTTCAGCCCTGAGGATGGGGTAGTATGTACGTCAGTGGACTTTTTACGTATCTAAATGGCATTACATTCCAGAAAGTAACACTCTTCATATTCCAGAACAAAGTACCCTTGAAGATCCATTTTGCATGTTCCCTCCAGAGTAAACTAGAGTAATACCAAGCAACCTGACTATGGTTTGTCAGGCTGTTTTCAGACACAGTTTAAAGGCCAACTTACATTCATCCAGGCTCTTAAAACTTAACTAATTTTATGTTTTGTCAATTTTATATTTTTCCTGAAATTATATTTCATTTTTTGAGTCATGACAAGAGAAATGTACTCAGTTTTACATTTACAGCATTCCATTTCTGAAAATTAAAATAAACACTGGCACCATTCCCGCATGTTTAAGGTTTAGCTTATTATAACATACATATCTTTGCAAATGAATATACTTGAATCTCATGTTAGAGAGCTGTACAGACCAAGAGGTCAGGAAAAAAGAAACATGTGACTGGCTGGTTAAGTAACATGGTTTGTAGGTTCGTGTATTTATATTGATATTGTCCACATATATTTTAAATGGCTTGCCAAAGACATGGTATAAAGCAAACCATATTTCCTTTATATTACATTATTTTCATTTCCCAAATTTCACATTTATTTTGCTTGCTTCAGTAGTGTAAATCAAGGCTTCATTAAATCATTATTTACACACTTTGCACAACAGACTCCTTGAGAAGCTGGTATCATTTACCTGGTTAAGAAGGTGTAATGAAAAGTTCATTTTAAGTTCACAACAGCCCACAGTTAGATCCAGTCCTAAGCCACTTCATTTAGTCATATATTAAAAAATATTGTTTATTTTTATGTACTCCTTTTACAAGTTCTCATTACATTCCTCATGTCAGTAATATCTTTCTCAAACACACATCACTACAATTGCCACTGGATGTCACTTAGTGTAATCATAAATAGAAACTTGTGTCACTTGTATCAGAAGCACAGCAAGCCACCTGAAATGCTATGATTTTGTTTCAGATATACACTTAAACCCAATTTCTGTATGTTTCAGACAGTTGGTGGAATTAAACAGTACTAGAATTAAGATGACATCCTTTTTTCATTTTCTCAATTTAACTTCTTAATATATAATTTTGAACTGACAGAAGACCCTGCACAGGGCATACAAAGTTTAGAGTAGTGTTCATGACATAGTTTGGGATATTAGAGAGGAGGGGTGGTATGAAATGGAGGGATGTTCTGAATTGGTAAGGAAATATAGCTAATTTCATTACATTTATTCATTGCTTGAGACACTATGTTAGTGTTAATGTCTCTTAGAGTGCTGACTTATTGTGTTTGGTGTGCAGGAGTATTTGGACCTGGGTCTTCCCCAGCTTGATACACCACCGTCCAGCCAGGAATCCAGTGATGATGAGGAAGCATTTCCATACCTCTTGTAGCAGGAACACAGATGAGGGAACTTGTCTTGAGGTTTCTCTCTCATCAGATTCTTGAAGCAAGAGAATGTTTTACATATATGCTTCATGTTGGGACTTGTGAGAACATCCCTTTGGCTGCTCTCTCTGAGCATCTTACACACATTTGTTAGTTGAGTGAGTGTTTGTGCATACTGAAGATGAATCATTCTCACCGTGGCTGAAAGAAACTTCCTCTAGTGTTTGTCACTGGTCAGTACATCTAACTAGTCATATAGGAGACATGAGGCACATTTTGAGTGGACTGGACTGTGCTTACATTGCAAGGAAGAGTGCCTCAGGAAATATTTATGCCTATATTTTTTTAAAGAGTACAAAGTGTTATAAGTTATGGACTCTCGTCTTCTTCAATCCATATTTATGCCTTACAGTCACAATATGAGTTTTGTAAATCTGCATTATGGCTTTTCTATATATTAAGACTAATGTCCATTTAAGATCTGTTCACTTGTTTTTAGAGAAGTGATTGTTCATGACATGGATCATATAACACCAAAATGGATGTAAATGTTACCAGGTTTTCTCAAAACATAATTAATTATAACTAATTTGATAATATTAAATGTCTGTCTTGTTCAGATATTTAAAGGCAAGAGGGTTCATTAGTTGAAAATTAACCCCTAACTTTGTACACTACACTGTCATCAGCACATTTATGTTCTTATAACAAAATTGTGCTGATGGCAATATGTTTTTTGTGGAATCATGACGGGAACCACTAGAACTTGAGATCATGAGCATAGAAACAGATGTCCCAGCAAGCAGAAGATGCAGTCTTTGTTGTATTGTTAACAGGACTACATAAAGCAACCTTTACATTATCATTATCATTTATAAATATAACATTTGCAAATTAATTATAATGTGTAAAAATTATAATTTGAAATTAATCTTACTGCAACATTGACCCCTCCTTCTTTCAAATGCATTTTGCTTGGTGTCCCCACACGTAACGTAGCATAACAATAATGTGATTACGTAATGATAACTCTCTAGACCTCTATTTTGGAGGCGCTCAATTTGAATTATGGTCATGCACTGGCTATCCTGACTTTATGTTCTTGTGGGTTTCCTCAGTCCCAATTGGTAGCCTAAATGTCAGAATAGTATCATGAAAAGCCACAACCACTTCCATTTAACTTATTTCTAATTCATTATTCAGCACTGTTTAGTCTGAAATACTGATGCCATAAAATAAACCACCAGGAAGTACCACTAAGCATAACAGAAACACTGAATAGTAACATTTCAAGATGGACCACAGCAAAGTTGTCTTCAGCCTATAATGTAAGCAGAGTGTAAAATATTCCTTAACAAAGATATGTGGCAGGCCATAACATTTATCATCTGTGCAACATAACTATTATGCATGCATGGGTCCAGTGTTGCACTGATTAGGATACCATTGTTCCCAAGTTAGTCTGGTCATAAGCACCATAGTAGCGGGAGATTGAAATCCTCTCTTCCTAGACAGTAGAGGTCAACGTTTACACAGTCATCTTCTACTTGTTGCAGCAGCCCTGTTTTCACAAAGTTCAAAGAAATTTATGGGAAGTTCTGTCACTGGATTTCTAATACCCTGTCACTCTTATTATTATTAAGAAATTTCCCTATACCTTCATCACTACTGCTGCATGCTTCCTTTAGAGCTTGAGGAGCAGCCATATAGCGAACAGTGGGTAATACATTGAGAAGGGTGTGGTGATTTTCTTACAAATCATTAATCATCCAGTTATTTGATGCTTTATATCATTGATACTGACAGTGTCATTGCATAACCAACTAAGAAAATATATCATGTCTCTTGAGAGAAAACAAATTGGCAGCCTATAACATGTTTTTACATACACATTATTTTCTGTAAAACCAAAGCGCTAAAAAAATAAATGAACATAATTATGTAGATTGGAAATAACTAGCGCTGGCTAGCCAGCAGCGATGAGAGCTTCACCCTGCATCCTGCAGGTGCGCCCCTCTTCCGACAAACGGCCATTTTCAGGGACAACTATCACTGACGTCATTAGCTCAGGCTAGCCCACTATGAAGGGATTTTTTACTGGTATTCATCAGACATGCTCTGCTTCCCTCCTTGTCTGTAATGTTTATTCTAACAGCAATAAACATTTGTTGTAGTTTTATGTGCTTGTCTCGCCATGCCACCGGATTAGACATCCCACAGGTCAGATAATTTCTATGAATTTAAATTTTAAATTATTTTATTATGTTAAAATGGGCAGAGCCCTTAATAATTTTACTATGTTGTACTGTATTAAGAGGAGCAAAGGGTAAAGGTAAAGGTAAAGGTAAAATTAACCCTATGCTTAAATAAACACCCATGAAATGAGGGTGAGTCAGGGTTGCTTTCCTGCCCTGGCCTATTTAATTATGGAAGAAGAGACATAGATACTGGGTTTTCGTACACACTGAGCAGGAGGCTGGGTAGACTCCAGAGCTGGTCTGGAAAATGTGAGGTAAAAAATTCCCTTTTCCTACCGGGAATCCAGCAGATTCCTTGGTTGTCCAGCTTGTACTTGAGTCGTATACTAAATGAGCTATCTTGAGATCCTGGGACAGTAGGGTTAAATCAAAAATATGTAGGAAGATTTCAACACCAGTAGTGTTAACTTAGGTAAATGGAAGGGGAAGAGATGTACTGGGTGATCATAGTTATTTTGCATCTCAAACAAACTCAATAACCCGTATTCTTGAAGGTGTAACTGTAATAATAACATAAAGAAAGCTTATTTCAAGCATTATTAAAGAATAATATCCAGAGAGACAGTAGGAATAATCCACATAATAATAATAATAATAATAATAATAATAACACTAAAATCCACATGAGTTAGCCTCATTGGACCACGTTGTTGAGGGACATTTCTAACAGTTCCACATTACAGGAATTTTTTTGGAAAATAAATTAGAGGATTTTCCTCTTGTAACATAAAGACAAATGTGGCTACAACATGGTGGAGCACCTTTACATTTTGGCAAAGCAGTATCAGAATTTCTGAATGAAGAATATGAAGGAAGATGGATAGAAAGAGGTGGACCAGTGGCTTGGCCCACGCTGTCATCCAATTTAAAACTGTTTTTTTTTCTTCAGTTTCTTGGGGTGGGGTGAGTCCACTTGGTATGTCGGTTACTAATTGGCCCATTGTATCAGCCTCGGATGATATATGATGATGAATGTGGAACAGTCGGTGGAATGGGAATTGGTAAGGGAAACTGAAGTATTCAGAGAAAACCGGCCCAGTGCCACTTTGTCCACCATAAATCCCTCATGACCTGCCCTGGGCTCTAACTCTGGTGGCGTGGTGGGAAGGAACTTAAAACTGTTACATTTCTTTATGTGGAGATGCACGCAGTTGACAGTGTATCATGGTGGTAAATCAGAAGCATGGCATTAGAGTTAAAGTTGAAAATCTGAGGATTCCATTTCTAAGAACTTCAGCCACAACTTTCCATGCCCTTATGCTGCATCTAGTTATACACTGTTATGGCACAAGCCCTACTAAATCTTACAAAACTTAAAAATGTCCTGAACTTCATATGCATGGGTAAAAGAATCATGTATGTATAGTTCATGGGGCAAGGAATCTGCTCCCTCTTCCACATACTAACACTATTTTTGTTAGGTAGTTCATCAGTTCTTTGTCCAGAGTACAAAATCTGGCATAGGTCAAATAGTAACACAATGTGACAAGGCAAGAAATGTCTCTTTCAGAACATATTTCAAGCACATAATAATTTTCCTGTGTTGCTGAAGGTGCAATTCTCTGTTCATATCTAGACGATCTGTTAACAGTTTCTTTACTGCAAACTGCTAGTGTACTTCAGATAAGGTAAGTCTGCAGCAAAGTTGCTGCTAGTATAAATGTGTCAACCTAGGAACTTACATACGTGCAGTTTGACAAGCTGAACTTATAATTAAATCATTACTCATTTTCTCAGATGCATTTAACAAAATCCAATGAAATACCCACTAACACATTTGATTCCATTAATTCCTTAAACTGCAATGTTCAAGCCAGAATAAGTTAAAACATTTAATTAGACAGAGGATTGGTTACAGCTTCCAAGACGTCACTGTCGTTACCAATACATTTTGAGAATTTTCTTTAACTGCATTGTTACCACTGCATAAGGCAACACTTACTGTTAGCTTGTGTTCAGACCTTAGCTATAAGGTAAGTCCCCAGAGTAAGCCGTGCCATAGCTCAAACGGATAGTTGCTGACTTCCCACCGTGGCGCCCTGGGTTTGACCCGGGTCTGGTCAAATGGGATTTGTGGTGGACAGAGTGGTGCTGGGGTGGGTTTTCTCAGAGTACTTCGGTTTCCCCTGCCAATCTTCATTCCACCAAATTCTCCATCATCATAATCACCCGGGGCAGGTACAATAGGCCAATCAGTGGCCTCCCTGCCGAGTGGACCCAGTTGGACTCCACCCCCCACTAAGCGAATAAGTCCCCAGAGTCAATGGCATTATGTTAGCAAGAATTATTTACAATATTCTTGTCAGGACTTAAACGCAGTTCTTGTTATCATCATCGTTGTTGTTGTGCCAGTTATGGTAGATCTCTGCTTGGATCCTCACACTTACAAGGCTTTCTAATGTTAGCGTTGAATTTAATTTATACAACATGAATAAACAAAAATTTAAAGGAGCACAGCGACTTCAACACAACCATCTGTATTACTTCACTGAAAATAACATCCACTACATGTAACTAACATGAGCAACATCATGTTAAATTCATATGTAACTCAGTAATGTCTGTAATATATAAAATGGTTGATTTCTACCACAGATATATCAGCAAGAAAACAAAGATGCATGACTGATTACTTATTTACATACTTACTCATCGAGCTGAGCCCTTCTTGAGGCACCACCAATTTTGCAGCTACTCAAGAATTTCAGACCATTTTGTTGAACCCGAACGTTCATTACTGTGTTCACAAGAGCCCACCACTGGTCCCTATCCTGAGCGAGATCAATCCAATCCATACCATCCCATCCTGTCTCTCTAAGATCCATTTTAATATTGTCCACCCACCTACACCTAGGTATTCCCAGCAGTCTCTTTCCTTCTGGTTTTCCCACCAATACCCTATGTGCATTCCTTGTCTCCCTCATTCATGCTACATGCCCTGCCAACCTCATCCTCCTTGACTAGTGATACTGAACACAGTTCAAAAATAGAAATAGGTTGGGGTGGGGGAAAACCTCTGCAGTACAAGAGATCTGGTTGTAAAAGTATTTATTGCTATAATAGCGAACAAAGCATGTCGGGGGGGGGGGAGCACTCAAAATATTTACTATGTTACCTTCTTACCGATTGTGCTCTCGGCCCTGTCGGCCATGTTAAATTTAGTTAATGTAGGTTGCGTAGAGATGGCAGCAGCAATACACTGTGGTGTCATGGTGGCCAACATGGGAGTTTCAAGGGGCTGACCTGTGGTAGGTGAGATCGGTGAGATTGGACGGATTGGACAATGGTCGAGGTTGGTCATGTGCGTTCATTCTGGAGGTTCTGGAGTTGAGTTTAAGTTCAGGTTTGTTTTATTTGGTCGTGTGATTTCTTCCTGTTTGCGCTATGAGCAGTTACTGAAGTTCTAATTGTTTTGAGAAAGGTAAGTGCAGGAAGAAGTACTTTTTGGTAAGAATGCAGAATTTGGGAAATTGTAAATGGCCATAGTTTTTAGAAACGTATAATTGTGGATGATGAAGCTAATGCCGAGCAAGAAAATGTGAATTTATATGTCTACTCCCCTATACGTCTTCATGGCGTAGTGCTTATATAGTTAAGCACAGGGACACTTTTACCTTTAATTATTGTTGATGCTTTTAATGTGAAATTAATTGCCTGAACAAATAATTCTTATAGTTTCAGAATGCCTCGCGTCTTATATGGAAATGTGACTTAATAATACGGGCGTTTACTCTTCCGAGTAAAGTCTTTCTTACTTGTTTAGGTTTCTTATCGAGCATTTGAATATGCAACCCCCAGAACGGCCACGTCATCGAAAAATGACAAATGATAAATGGAGGAGAATTATTGAACCAGCTGGTGACTCTGATTCATCCGAATGGAGTTCAGGTGAGTAAAATTGTTTTCTTGTATGCTGATTCAGTAGCGGAATGTGCATACCTCATATGCCTGACCCCCCCCCCCCNGTGAAGTTTGATACGTTATGAATAAATAATGTACGATATGTATGCAAACTCTGGTATTATGGGATGATGATGATGATGTTGTATAGTGCAAAATATAGGGTACTACATCATGAAGTAAAAAGTAAGATACCCCTGTGCCGTAGCAGTTTGCTATGAGCATGCTTGAGGTTAAGTAGACGAGTGTAAGAGTCTCTTTATGGAGAGGAAACTCTTCCATCCTTCCTTCTTCCTTTTTATAATCAGACCGCACTCATTTTGTTGCCAGGCACTTTACTGATTGAGCTGTTCTGTCTCAGAGGTATAACATGAAGAATAGTAGATTGAATTGGCCATTTGAGCAGAGTACCATAAGCTTAGTTGGTACAGGCTGGGCAGCTGAGGTAGGGGCAAGAGGTTTTTCCCTTCCTCATAGCATCCAAACCAGCCTCCAATCCACTGGATACCAGACGTGAAGCTGACCACTCACCTCTGTCTAGTGCATAGGTTAAGGATGGTGGAGCTATACCTCCACCCCCCTCATACTGATATATGTTAATGGCATGGTGCTTAAATTAGGACAGCTGTACCTTTTACCTGTACTATATCATTGGAAATAGGAAAATAATTTGGTGGCAGGTGAGGTGAACAAATAGAGAAGAATGGTTTGTATTAATTCCAGTGACCATCCTTACAGCCAGTGATTATCCATACAGGTTTCAAGTTATATTATTTCGTTTTGAATTAATTTGTGCTGTGTGACAGTCTGATTTAAGAATGTAGTTGTGAAGCATTCCCTATAGACAATGTGTGTCAGTCATGCATAGCATTTAATATGTAGTAATTTCCTTCTCTTGCAGACATTATGAGTTTAGAGAACAGAACACAACTTTGGAAGCATTACGTGGGAGGATCACACTTGCCAGATTGTACGAATGATCATAGCTTACTTGCAACTGTTTAAATGTGTTTAATTGCATTAATATTCCATAAATTAAGAAAGTGTTTCCCCATGTGCAGGTTTTATTAATCTGGAACCATGTACTACTTGAGCATGTTAGCAAAACTATGTGTGTTGTCATATACTGTTATATTTCTTACAGAGTTCTATACTTACTTTGTTAACAGAATTTAAATATCAACACATGTTTTTGGATTAAATATAGCACAAGCTACGGGCTGAATGGCCCAGGAATTGGGGTTTGATTCCCAGCAAGGGCAAGAGATTTTTCTTTCATCCACAGTATCTAAACTGGTCTAGAACCCACTGAGCCTCTTATCCAGTGGGCATCTTGCAGGGATGGGGGTGTTGAAGTGGCAGGGACATGAAGCTGACCACTCATCTCTAAAATATTTCATGTTCAATGCTTGGATTTTGGTCTTGTTTCTCTGTATAAGGGGTACTTGTTTTAGCAGTGTGATTACGATGTACTCAGGTCTTCTTTCTTTTTTTTTCTGCAGTTTGGACTGTTACGATCCGCTGTTAACAATTGTTACAGAAAATACACAACTCTTTTCCATAAACTAAGTCTTAAAGCTGTATAATTCTTCCAGTGTCGGCAAACTCCTCACAGCATGTACCCTGACAGTGATGACATCTGTAACTTAATGTTCTTTCACTTTCCACCTATGGGCAGGAAGTTTCCAATGTCCATGTATAAATCCATATGGAGAGGTAGCTCAGACCCTGCAACCTAAAGAGAAGGAATAGTCATATTGGCATTGAAACCAAGTATGGGTCACTCCTTTATATTATTTCCTAATACAGTCAACTCTCGATTATCTGGGATAATGGTGGGCATGGAAATCGCGATTAATCAAAAACCCGGTTAAGACAGATGTTATTAAAGTAGTACTCTAATACTGTACCTTCATAATACTATAGGCCTACCTGTATTTAAATTTACTCAACCTCATTTTTATGTCATCTCATGGCCTATTTAATAGTTTTTTTACATTATACTGAAGTGTGAATTAGTTATTTCAATCACAGTGTTCAACAACATCCAACACTTTTTACGAATATTCACACTTAACACTTAAAAAAAATTAATATTGTCGTTTGCTTTTTCACAGCATTTTCCTTTTTATGGATATCCGTACGAAACCTACGTAATATTAGCTTGTCACCTAAGAAACTGTTCTCTTCACTCTCAAGATAGTCTAGTAAGGATTCCAAATGATTAAGAGCAGCACCATGTGATATTTTCTTACTAGCAGCACTGTCCACCTCTTCCTCATTCTCACTTTCTTCCCGCTCTTCTGGCTGCACCCCCACTGAACTTACGGTTTCGTCACCGCTTAACATTTCGAAGCCCGGGTCACACGAGTTTCTATTGAATACTTAACACAACATTCTTCGTTTTACACCCTGACATTTTGCTAACACACTTGAAGATCGATACAAAGAGACCAACTGGGGCGGTGTATCTGTCCTTGAAAGTTTCCACAGATCCTTGCATTCTTTCACCCCTACACTAGAACATTGTGTTAGCATAACGGGACCAAAGAATGCAGAGCTCGGTTCACACTAGTGCAAAAATAGTGTTACAACTCACCATGTGAAACAAAAGTGAATGAATATTAAACAACATATAAGCCTCAAAAAAGCCCCTGTTAAGCCAGAAACCGGTTAATCTGCCCTCGGATAATCGAGAATTAACTGTACAAGTTAAATCTTCCAGTCAGTTACCTAAATCCACTCAACACATTATCTGACACTATGTTTCACATGAATAATTTTATACTGGTAAAGGATATACAGTCTTTCTTTTCAATATCGCATCAGTTTCAGAAAAAAACAGACATCATTACCCAATTTACATGAAGATAGTAGAACCCAGGGATTCAGAACTGTTAATACCAGAGCTCAGCAATGGATGATAATCATAAGCTAGTTTGATACATTTCACATTTCTCAACCTAATTTCCTAAAATCCATCATATTGTTATCCTACCATCTTTTCTTGGTTTTCAAAGTGGACAGTCCCAGTAGATTTCTCTGCCAAAATTCTTAATCATTCCTGATCTTTCCCATCTTAGCTGCATGTTTGACCCATCATAACACCATCCTTCAACAGAAGTAGGTAAATGTATAAATCACAAAGTTCTTGTTATATAATAACTTGTATTCATTTCATCCTTAGGTCAAAATATTTGCATGTCTGCTGTTTGCAAACACTTGTAATTTATGTTCATCCATCAAAGTGAGAGACCAGATTTCAGATGGCATAACTCATAATTCTTGCTTTGCTGATCTTCAGTATTTTGGAAATTAAATGGATAGATAACACTCTGTGGTTCTGTAGAAGTCCACTGACATTTCAGAGGAACTTTGGTGGCCATGTACTGAGCTACACAGTGTTGCAAGCCAGAGAATCATACTCTTCAGTCACCTTCCTGTGGTGAAGAGGTAAACCGCATTACATACGTGGTAAATATGTTCAAATCTTCATGTGTTGTGTTCTGTATTATTGATGCAGATTCAGACATGGGCACAGGAATGAACTCAGCCCGTAATTATCAACCTTTTGCGCCTACTGCAGTGGTGAGTGGCTCATCTTCTTCTAATGCTGCACACAGGGAGCAACATACTCCTGTCAGTGCTACTGGTCAGAGTAAACAGTCAAGAGAACCGTCAGTTTTTCATTCGCTGAATTCTTACAGCTTCATGTTTGATCCACCAGGGGAACCAAAGGTAATGTAAAATACTCCAGTAGTCTTAGATCCAGCCTGTGTAGCCATGTCTCTCACTTGTGACATTCCTTTTGATACATAACTGAATAGTTTATTTAATTTATTTTTGTTGACCATTTGTTTTTATTTCAAATTGCAGGACACACTTGTACACTGTTAGAATGCTTACCTATGTTGCCCCATACATCAAATTACTCACAGAATTTGTGTTAAATTTATGTTTATTAGACACAGAATTAACCTAATATATTACCAAATTTGAATTCATTGCAGAAATGCAAAGTGTGTCTGAAAGTAATCAAAAATATCTGTTTTGATTTCGCCAGTATAATTACACAGATGTCACTGAGTACTGCAGCTGTGTCTCAACACTGAGTAGAAGATACGTAAATTCCTGTTCAGTGTATTATAAAGATATTATAGAAAATTGGAATTGATTATTTGCTTTCATGAGACAGGATCATGCACAACAGCATTTTACCACCTATACGGCTTGAGCTTATTATCATTTTCATGAGGGTCCGAAGGTGCTGATTTGAATCAGAAAGAATTTACAAAAACTGGTTCATGTTGCCAGGCGGCTCAGTATAAGGGAAAGTGATGTGTTTCTGTTGTGACTGTAGTAGCCCCCAGGGTTTCAAACTGTAGTCCTGTATTTGCATTTTAAAATACTGTTATTTTAATTTTGCAGTGCCTTGTTGCTCTGTGTAGTCTGTTCATGATAAGGGATATAATTTTTGTAAGCATTATCAAAGCTTCCAGAGTTTATGTATTTTGTGAGTACAGGAAGGAAGCAGCACATTGTACAAGGTTCATATTTTTTGGCTGTTTCAAGTACTATGTAAAATTTTTAATGGCCTGCCTCTTTTCTATTTTAAGAGACGTGAAGGACTTGATATGGGCACAGGAATGTCTACTAACCACTTCAGCCATCTTTTGCATCACGACTATGCAGAAAGGGAGGCAAACAATGACCTAAGTTCAACAAATGATCGTCTTTGGTTCCATAGCACCACATACAATCCCTTAACTGGTTGGAGACAAAAAAAGCAGCGGTTGCTGAACCACATAGGGCCTGCAGTGGATTATAGCATGAATGTGAACACTCCCTCCTCCAGCCGCTTTGGCTTAACTAGTGGCACTACTCCAGACGAGGGAGGGACACGGGATCCTGCTACTGCCATCAGCAGTGGTCTCAGCCAGGAAGTTGAAGGGTATGGATGTCATTAAGTTTGTATGGAGAGTGTAGATAAGGTTCTGCTACTGCAGTGAAAGTGCATGACAGTTACTCAGAGCTGCAGTGCCAGATGTAATAGGTCATGGCAGTTGAGCTAGTGCTACAGGGTGAAATCATTCTCACACTAATTGTTTGAATTCTGAACTTTAATGTTTTAGTGCCTTACATTCCAAGGGAATAGTATTTGCATGAGGAAGTAATTTAATTGTTCTTGATAGGGATAGGCCAAAGACAAGGAGTTTTCATATATTTATATGTTATGTATATATCGTCACGTGTTGGGTGTATAACATGACAAATTACTTCAAGCCTTACTGGATATAGCGAATTTTATTGCACATTCACTCTTACAATCACACAATTTACAGATTCAACTTTACTGCCATTGGCAGTATCACAAATACTGGACTGCAATTAACTGGTGACTGACTCACTGCTGGCTGACTTGTAACTGCTGCCTTGGGAACTTGAGAACTGCTTGAATAGTCTTCACTGCTCCTTATTTAGCCCCGTTCCGGACAACACAGAAAACAGCCATGTAATAGGCACCACTATTGTCTGCTGCCGTGGAGCTAGCATTGCTCTCGGGAGTTGTTTACTGCTGTGTAGCAACGGCGGCATCCCGTGTTACGTCACCGTGGGGAGAGGCGGGGTGTTGACTGGCTTATTACCGTAGCAACGGCAACGCTCCGAAAGTGTTATGTCACCGATGGCGGGGGCAGGGGTGTCCTGCATAGCGCAACACATCACAATATGATGGCTATTCAGAAAGTAACCTCTAGTGAGCTGTTAACAGAACAAGCAATGAGGAAAAAATTATATAAAAATATGGACATACTTAAGCTACTTGTCAACACAATCACTGTCAGAATTGAGGCACTTCTGTTGAGGAATAAGTTTTTGTAAGCGCGTGTAAATAAATTCTGCCGCCTGTGAGCTCAGCCACATTTTGACACCTTCCATCAACTCATTATTGTTGAAGGGCTGTGATTCCAAACAGTTCTTCAAGTAGGTAAACAGGTGGTAGTTGCTCAGAGCAAGATCAGGGCTGTAAGGAGGGTGGTCAGTGACCTTCCAGTTGAAATGCTTCAGCAGTGCTTGAGTGTGAGCAGCTGTATACAGACACAATGTCAAGGAGGAGTGCTGCATGCCTTTTGTTCTGAATGGCCCTATGCAGATTTTACTTAGTTTTGCACAATACACAGCTGATGTTATTGTGGTGCGTTGGTGCATGAATTCCACCATCAGCACTCCTTTCCTGTCTGAGAAAACAGTTGCCATCAGCTTTCTGTCAGACAATGTTTGTTTAAACTTATACAGCCTGTTTGGTGAATGTGTGTGCATCCACTGATTTGACTGCCCTTTGGTTTCAATATTTACAAATGAAATCCAGGTTTCATCATCTGTTGTATGATGCAATTGAGAAATTGACCTCCATCTTTGTGGTATCACTCTAAAAAGTCTACTAAAGCTCAAGCCATTCTCTGTGTTTTGTGTGCACCTGTGAATGTTTTGAAACCCATCTTGCACAAAACTTGTGATAGCATAGCGTCATTGTGATAATCTCATAGAGAACAGTGTGTGAAATTTGTGGAAATTTGCATGAGAGTTCTGAAATTGTGAAAGCTGTCTTTAACAAATTTTTTATTCAACACTCTGAACAAGATCATCACTCACCACAGATTGCTAACCACTTCACTCTTCATCATGTACATTTGTTTGCCCATCTTTGAACATTCTGCATCATTGTCTTATAGTTCCTTCACTCATTAGATTTTGGCCTTAAACCTCCACACATAATTCATAATGGATTTCCACAGCACTCATGTTTTTAGTATGAAGAAAGTGGATAACAGCACAACTTTCGCAGCTGGCAGGACTCATCATAACTCACTTTGCAGAGACAAGAGCAAACATTAGGTGAACAATTATGTGATGGTTTATAAGGCAGTGAGTCATGTGACACTACCTTGCATGTGCAAGCTCTCCCCCACTCCTACAGTAGTTGACAAAATAAACAGAGGTTACTTTTCGAATAGTTGTTGTATATACTTTTGTATATTACAGTGGTGTGATAGAAATTAGGTAACATTTCCAACATGGTACCACATGAAGGTGACTTAAAGAAAGATGGGAACATGTCAGTTTTTTAATAAAAACATTAAGCAATGGAAAATTATGCTGATGGTCTTAAAAAGTAAGGAATGGTTTTACTGACAGTGCAGTGAAACACAACACACCACCAGGATTCCAGGGGCTACCAGTCACATTACTGTTGTCCCCTGATATCTTCATCAAGCTCACTTTAACAGTCAGAAGATACTGCTTTATCAGAGTCAGTGTCCAGAATGAGATCTTGTTTAGTACCTCATTTTAATTTCCCAAAATTTGCAACTTTATGTCAGAGAAATTATATCCTGTTGAGAGTAATGTACTGTTGTGTTCTTGCCTCCTAGTGTAACGAAAGTAGAAAGGTCAGTGCTCTGTGTTACCTTGCCCCAACCTAGTAGTGTGAAAACTCTTGTTCCCTTTGGTTACTTTCCACAAATACAGTAGAATTCACAGATCAGTGTGTGTATTGGAAGTTCTGATGGTGTTCTGCCCTCCGTCACACCCACTCTGCCCCCCCATCTTTAAGCATAAACACATGAGATAAAGTTCAGTTATTTTCATCTTCCATGTAATTCATTCATTTGCACTGTCTCAGAGCTGACAAGACCCTGAGCAAGAGTGAATTGACAATGATCACATGAGCAAAGGGTGACAGGAACCTGATCTCTTAGGCCAGAAATGACCCTGCTAGGGTCAATGTTTAGGAACAGCTCAGAGTAGGAAAGCATTATGGAGGTCTGTATTGAGCAGTGGAGAAAGTATAGTGTCATAACTGCTATAGGCTGGCTCAAAATAAAGGGGCATTTTAGTGACAGTGGTGTGATACACAGCCAGTTGGACCATGGGTGTGCCATGGCAATAAAGGGTACTCATCGATTCTGATTTTAAAATTATGACTGCTGTATGCTTGAATAAGGTCTGAATGTTCTTCTCATTGGCTTCATTTGTGAAAACATAAAAAGCAATATCTGACAGTGGTTCCTTGTATTTCTGTAGGTGGAGAATTGTGTCAGGTATGGAGAGGCTGAGTCCCCCATCGAGAAAGCGATCAGTGTTTGTGACATCAGATTCCTCTGTTATGAACACTGCAGGCACGTCTGGTGTCAGTGAACAAGGAACTGCTGCTGTACCAGGTTGAGTATGGATGTGTGTTTTTTTCTAGAGCAGCTGTTCTCAACCTTTGTCAGACTGCGGCACAGTACATTATATTTTTTATAAGACGAGGGCCCGGTACTGGGCCGCAGCCCAGCGGTTGAAAAACGTTGCTCTAGAGCGATAATGTGTATGTAATCCACAACGTCCAAAGACCCAGTAATCATGAATGGATGTAATCCCGTTTTGCAGTAACTGAGTTAGAATAATTCAGTAAAGTCATTAAATATGGATTTAATGCCTAGGCTTCAATTTCTAGAAGGATCAAGGACCTTTTTCTTTGTTGCTACCTGCAGACCAACCCCTAAGCCCACCTAACCTCTTGTCCAGTAAGTGCTGGGTCTTGTCTTTGAGAATAAAGCAGTTACAGTGTGAAGCTGCCTACTTTTATGGCTCAGTTCTAGAGTGTGGAATGTGTGCTCCACATATCTTCATAATTCTTGTTCAAACTTCCTCTTCCCTCGTGTGTAAGATCACTTGGTGGATATGAGAGATACCTTGCCTCTCCTCCCACATTTGTGGTTTAGAGCCTGTGCTAAACTGTAGGCCCTCTCTCAAGTCTGCCTCAGAGATGGAGTCCTTCGCAATTCCTTTGGCAGGAAGGGGCTAAGAAAGTCAAACAGTTCATAACTGGTGGCAGCATTGATGGTAGGAACAACAGCAGCAGCAACAGTAATTATAATTCTGTTAATTTGAGTGCTTACCAACAGTATTTGCCTATTAGAGGCAAACACTAAAATATGTAATAAATATAAAGGGGTATTTTAAAAAATAAAAAAAAAATAAACTTTCACCACAATTTTTCAAAGGAAAGGTATTTTCCACAGGAACCACATTCCTAATAAGAACATAAACTGACACATAATATCAGTGGAGTTGGTGCACCTGGCTGAGGGATTGGCCCTTAACACTCTTTTTTTACAGTAGAAATTTCCTGATGAATCTAGTGGGTACACGAAGACTAACAGTATTGATGAGTGGCAGCTCCTGTTCCCCTTAAAAGTATTAGAAAAAAATAAACCATCAAGATGCTGCCATCTGGAATAAGGTGTTCTAAATGTTAAACCTTCTAGAAATAAATCATGGTTGTGAGAAAAATCAACTATGACACAAATTTGCAAATTTCTTGTGTATATTCAAGTTTGTTGGAATCTGCCATAGTCAGATTATTGTGTACTTAAACTTTGACCTAATTAAAGCAACATATAAAACTTTAACAGTATCCAAGGAAGGAAAATTGGTTGTGATGCAATTTATTGTAGAACCTTTGGAGCCTGAGAATATAATAATATGTTGATGAAAACAGTTTCCATGTAAAGTGGGTCCCTTGTCACTACAGCATGGCATGTTATGGGTGAGGGAAATGGGTGCCATATATGGAGGGTAGCTGTGAATATATTGAACAAGCAGTAGTTGAGAGCCAACAAGTGGTGATACTCCATCTGGACAGTTGGTCATGGAGCTTGATCCTGTGTTGACAGCAAACAGTTTCACATGCATGTCATCATTCCTTCGGGAATGTAAAGTCTTCACACAGATGGCACAGTTGAATATGGAGACTCTTGCATCTTTGTTGTATGCACATTCCATCTTACTGAATTGTAGACAGCTCAGATAAAACAGGAGTCAGAAGGCCCACAAACAATTAATTTATTTCCATGAAACACTTTACCACATATTGAGCAAAGGTGTATCCTTGTTGCTATCCCTTGGTGAACTCAGCTGCCACACATCCATCACAGCACAGGCAGAGCATACCACAAACACATCCATACTCCTTGAGAGCTAATGCTATCGTCAGTGTCATAAGTGGCAACCGTGATGATGATGATGATGATGATGATTATTATTATGTGAGATTCTTTCACATTTGTTTTCCTCTGAGAGCTCTGCTACTGTTGCCCACAGCATCTTCAATGCAAACACAGGCACAAGTTGGCCAACATGATCGCACTGGCACTTCAGCCAGCATGGATGCAGCTTCTCATCCTGATGCACCCACAGGATTCAACTCTGATTGGTATGTATGTATGTATGTATACAAGTAGAAAGTAAACGTTGTGACTAATATTGTTTTGTATGATCTTAAATCTTGATGAATGATTTTGTTGTATTTATTAATAGGTACATCCAGAAGAAAGTGAAAAGCCGACACAACAAAGAAGTGAGATCCAATGAAAGTACATTTCGGCAGTTGCCTAGTGTCCGAGGTTTGACTCCTGAAGGCGCTACCCGTATTGTACCTCGTACATCTGAGGATCCCTCAGACATACAGGTACAGTAGTTCTCAGTGAAATCCAAGGATAGTGTTCTCAACCCTTTACTTGTGGTAACCCTCATTGGTTTTGTTTAACTGGTAATTACTCATGTTGAATTTGACATTGAACCCCCATTGAACATGTAAACCTTGTTATGTTGGCAACTCTCAAATACTGAAGTATAATGTTAGAGTTCGCAACATCATAGTAAACAATTTAAGAACTAGGTTATTTCTTGTTACCTAAGTGATGTTTACTGTTATGTGTAACTATAGTTACATGTGTAACAACAGTAGCTTTATATTATGTGTTACTATGGTTACAAGCATGTATGTGTTGAGGCGGCTGTCACCATCGCAGATCCCCTTCCCGGGGCGACGCCACAGTATATAAGGCGTACTTCTGTATGAAATTTCACAGTCTTAATAAAGCAGGAGTGGAGTGAACACTGATTCTCACTTATCATTCGATCCACGTGGAAGTAACAGAAATAACAAACCTTATAGTCCAATTTCAGTTTCTTTATTTCTGACTTAAATTTTAAAGGTTAGTCTAGTATTCAATCAAAAGTGATCAACATGTCTGTCCTGTGATTATCTCTTTGATTCCTCTTTTATAATGCTAAGTGACTTACATAAATTTGGCTGTGTTTATCACCAGTTCTTCATTATTTGTCTTGGGAACTTTATTTTCACAGGCTGACAAAGCATTGCTATTGATGCAGAGTGGTATAGGACAAAATCCAAATTGAATATTATGTTTCGTTGTGGCAGGTCTTGTCAGTAGCAGGGCCATCAAATGTTTCTTATGCTTCTGGTATGCGATGCATGCAGCCAGTGGTTGCTGAAGAACCAGCTGTAAATGAATTTCCCCAGAGCACGTCAGGCATAGTTGCATCAGATGAGGAAGGAGTAGAAATCATCATGGTAGATGATGTCCGGCTAGAACCACCTGAGAAGCGCCCAGCAAACCAGCCTCAGGAATACTGTGGTGCACCAGGGTATGACTTTGCATGTTAGAATATGGAAGCCTGTTGGCAACTATTGGCAGTAATATATTGAACTGTACTGAAATGCAAAGCTGTAACCCATAGGTTAAATGAAAAGGACTTTTTGTTTCATCTAATGAATTTCTGGTGTGTACATTTTATATTGGAAGCTGAGAATTATGATAAAACTATGAAGATTTATGGCTTTGAATACTGTGATACTGAATTGGGTGACTTATTTTGATATATTAGAAGTCCATGACCAAAAATGTTGTACTTCTGAAAAAGAGCAGAGGTCCACATGCATGTTTGTGTAACCATTTCTGATTAGGACATGGAATAAAATTGTTTCATTGGTGCTTCATATTGAAATCTATGGGTTTTGTATTTATTACTGTTTGGTATACAAAGTTTCAGCTATTCCAACAAATGTGTTGCATGAAACAGGAAAACAACTTGTACCCTACTTATTGATCCCCCAGAATCATGAATATTCTACTCAGATGCATCATTTTTGTTTTCACTTAACTGCAGGTGCAAGCGAATGAAAGATGATGATGAGTTGCTGAACCAAGGATTGATTGGACTGCTGGAATGTCCAGTCTGCATGGAGTACATGGGTCCGCCTATACACCAGTGCCGCCGAGGACATCTAGTGTGCTCTGCATGCAAACCTAAGTTACCAAACTGTCCAACATGTCGTTCTCGCTTCACAGAGTCACGAAATCTTGCAATGGAAAAGGTTTGTATGAATTGGTACATGCGTATTTTGTTATTAAATTATTTTTATTATCAGCTGACTCCTGAAGCACTCAAGTGGGGTCAACTGTGTGTCTGAGTTTTAGTCTGTGTGATTTTAGTGTCAACTTCAGACTTCAGTTGCTAAAGATGTGGTTGTGCATTAACATTTTGTGGCAGAGAAACAACTTGAATATCAGTTGTTTTAACCACAGATGCACCAAATTGAGGTACAAGTGCTAGAGGGTCAAAAGTTTTTTTGTACTAAATGCAGATTATTTACTAAATCAAATCAGTAAATTCTGGAAAATAATTCTTTGTTTATACAGCACTTCGGGTGGGACCAGAAAAAATATTGTCACATATATGGGTGACTTATAAGACAGGTTTTTGGATTGAATTTATTGCACCTTATACATTCATACACTCAGAACTACAAGTAGTGCAGTGCTATAGCTTTCTACACACTTTCCAGTTCACCATTACACATGCACTAGCGTTCTCAGTCTTCACTAGTCCAAGTCACACATGGCATATTCTTTTCACATCCTTACATGCCATTATTCTGCGGCTGCCAATTCTGAAAACTCCTCTGCTCCAAAGCTCATATCCTTGCAGGCCGGCATCTCGAAACTTGACTTGAATAGTGTTCTATACTCCTCTTGTCAGAGTCAGAGTCAATTTACGACTGGCAGTTTACCGCCAATCAGTTCATCTTGGCATCAGGCCCCTTGAGGGTCATGACCAGAGACTTTTTTTTCCAACTGAACTCTTGCGGTAATAGTCCTTATGTAACATCCTCTCTGACGAGAAGATGGGTTTGTCTCTTATGAATACACTCGACCTTTTGTCAAGCGTATATTTTGCACATATAACATGTTATCAAAAATTCTTCCTTTGGACTGCACACAAGTCCTCTGTCAGTACAGGCTTTACAGAGCAGCTCATGCCTCACTTACATATCTTATGCTACAACGACAACTTAGTCATTTGAACTGTCATAAACTTGATCACCACCAAGTTTAAGCCTCTTATATTTTCTTCTCTTGTCTTTTGACTGTCCCTTTTTATAACCCCTTGACATGCACCACAGAAAAAACAGCCTGTTTTAATGAGGAGGCATGTTTACTGGTCTGTTACCTAGTAATGGATATCCTTGTGTTGCACACACGTGCTTTGTGGGAATGTGTTTACTGAATCGTTGCGTAGTAGTATGTATACACATCATAGTATTCGCCAAATACAGGACTTCACTAAATGTGGGAACTAAATAGGGGTTTCATTGTAGTTCTTATACTTTAAATTCTTATCAGCTGAAGTCTGAATTTGATTGCTGACAACTTTGCGAACAGTAGATTTGTTGCAGTGGGGGATTTTTTAGAGATATTTGAATTAGACTAAGACCTTCTCTTTCAACAGGTTGCTGACAAATTGCACTATCCATGTAGAAATGCTCACATGGGATGTATGGACACACTTCGCCTCCTCTACAAAGATGAACATGAAGCAAATTGTGCATATAGAAGTTATCGTTGTAAAATGGTGCCTCCCTGTGAATGGAAGGGTCAGCATCGTGATATTCTGTCCCATGTGATGCTCTCACATTCTGACATCCTTCTTCAAGGACCTGAGCATGTGAGTGCAAGAGTCTCTAGCCCAGTGGAAACCCACCATATCTCTTTGTATGCATGTATATGCTGCTCTTATCCTACAGATTAGGCATAGCCACTTTGTGCCTTGTAGGCAGGTAGTTATATATTCTACATCTTTTGAGTTGCATATCCATTGTGTGCATACTGAATGAGATTGACAGATGTTTACAAATACAAAGGAGTACTGGAATATGGGAAGTAAAGGCATGATTTGTTTCAGGTTTTGGAAATGAGCTTAGGTAACCTCACTGCACCATGTAGTGGGAACTGGATTGTGTCTGCAATGGATGAACTGTTTCGAGTGAATCTGGGTGCCGTACTTCGAGGGTATATCCATATATTTGGATGTGTCTTGCTTCTTGGTCCAGCTAAACGTGCCCGTCTCTTCCGCTACACTTTTACCGTGAGTTACATTCACAGTTCCAGAAATTGCCCCTCAGATTTAGAGTTTTTATTCAGAAAACTGAAATTATATAAAATAATGTATTAGATTTTGTTTATCACCAAGAATGAAAACTGTTGTCTGAGGTCATCAGTCAAGTATTTTTAATGTGATATGTTACATCCATTGCTAGTGGCCACATGGTTTAATATGTGGACCCCTTAGTGCAAGGGCATGTGGTAGCATTGGTTGAGGCACTCTGCTACAAGCCAGAAGGTCGTGGGTTTGAGTCCCAATGAGGTGGTGTTTCCTCCCCTTACCGGCCTTAGGGTCCACTCAGCCTCTAGCAGAAATGAGTACCAGGATCTTCCTGGGGGGTAAATGGCGGCCGGCACATAAGCTGACAACCTCACTGCCATCTTTGATCACATTGTCTAAAGAAAATGTGGGAGCCTTGACGTCTCACAACCCTATGGGCCTTCATGGCCTGTTACAGGGATAGCTTTACCTTTTTTTGTAAGCCCCATAGTGCAAGAGAATCCTGGGGATTATTTTCAGACTCCCAGACTCTGTCCATGACATGGATGTTTCCATGTGTGTTTCTCATGATGTCACAGTTTGTGGGGGGGTCTATCATCAGCTTTTACCCTCAGAGCAAAGGAAATATGGCTTCCCCCTGCAAAGTGATTTCCTAGGTTGAGTAAACTTAGGGAGATCTGGAGAGGATGAGAGACATGTAAGGAAGCAAGAATGATGCATGAAAGAATCCTTTTGATTCTCATATTGGTGATGTGATATCTGCAGGTTGGACCAGCAGACGGTGACTTGGCACAAAGGAAACTGTCATATTCACGTACAACTCATTGCTATGTTGAGAGATGCTCCATGTACTATTCTGATGGGGACTCATTCCACTTGCCCAGTGAGTCTGCACGGCTCTTCAGTAGTGGACCACCAAATGACCGAATAATATATGTCAAGTTACATGTTGAGAAAATAGACTCTTAAATGTGTTATCAATTATTCTCTTTGCTATCAGTTAAAAATGCAGCAACACAGAACCTGTACGAATTTAATAAGTTCTTTAATAAAATAAAATAACAATAGTAATGTGTCACTAGGGCTAGAAATGTATGCATTGGGAGTCAAGATGGTGTCTTGCTATTAAATTTTGCTAATGTCCATCATGCATCCTTAAAAAAATCCTTTTTGTCCTTTCCCTATCATGAACAGACAAATGATTTCCTCATGCCCTTACTATCCCTTCAAATGGTAAAGCACTAAAACTTTCATAACATTAAAGTTCAGAATCCACATACAAATAGTGTAAGAATGGCTACACCCTGTTGCACTAGCTCAAGCACCTTGACCTAGTGCATCTGGTGCTGCAGTTTCGCTGCAGTAGCAGAACCTTATCTACACTCTCCATTCAAACTTAATGACATCCTTACTCTTCAACTTCCTGGCTGAGACCACTGCTGCTGGCAGTAGCAGGATCCCACGTCACTCCCTCATTTGGAGTAGTGCCACTAGTTAAGCCACCCAGAGTGGTTCATCAGCTGTTGCCTTTTTCATCTCAAACCAATTAAGGGTTTGTATGTGGGGCTGTGGAACCAAAGACGATCACTTGATGAACTTCTGTCATTATTTTGCCTCCTCCTCTTTATCAAGTCCTTTGCATCTCTTAAAATCGAGAAGAGACAGGCCATCAAACATTTTACATAGTACTTCAAACGGCCTGACAATATGAACCTTGTGCAGTGTACTGTGTCCTTCCTGTACTCACATAATACAAGAACTCTGAAAGCTTCAGTAATGGTTACAAAAATGACATCCCTTATGCTGAAGAGACGAACAGGGCTGCAAGGCACTGCAAAATTAAAATAATATTTTGAAATGCAAATACAGGGCTACATTTTGAAACCCTGAGGGATATTACAGTCACAACAGAAACACATCAATTTTCCTTATACTGGATCACCTGGCAACATGAACCAGTTTTTGTAAATTCTTTCTGATTCAAAGCAGCACCTTCGGACCCTCATGAAAATGATGATAAGCTCAAGCTGTAGATGCTGTTGTGTGTGATCCTGTCTCATGAAAGAAAATAATCAATTCCAATTTTCTAATGGTGTATCTTTACAATACAGTGACTATAATTGTCTTCCACTCACAGTGTTGTGACAGCATATTTTCCTAAATTTGACATTCTTACCCAATTATATTTCTGTCCCGCCTTTCCCAAAACAATGAAAACTTGAATAATTATCTGTAACACAAAAGGATTTCAAACACTATTCAAACATAAATTGAAACCACTGATCATAAGTTAAGGGGAGCGGACTGTGAAACTGACCATGGCAAAAGTTGGGGACTGACTAGCAGTGAGTAAACATACAACGCACAGGATTCCTAATGAGAGGTTTAATCTCAAGGAACTAAATGAGGTAGAGGGTAAAAGAGTATCGGGTTCAAATCTCAAATACATGTAGATTTGTAGCTTTGGAAAACTTAGATGATGTGGATATTAGTAGAGACTGGGAAACTGTTATATAAAAATTCCAGCCCTTCAGTGGCTAGGTTATTATGAAGTGAAGAACCTTAAACTCTGGTTTGACAAAGAATGTTCAGAACTTGTTAGACCAAAGAAAAGCCAAAATTGCAATGGTTACAGGATCCAAGCAAAATAAATGGGGATAATCTGAACAATATAAGTTGTGAAGCCAGTAGGCATTTCAAGAATAAAAAGACAGAATTAATGATCTGGAAGTACACAATACAAACTAGAACATTAGAGGCATGTAAAAATATCCTATTTTGCCCCAACTTGTGATACCCAGTTTTGCGAGGCAGGCTCTTACTTCAACAAACATGGCTTCCTGCAGACTCCAGTTAACCTACAAGTATTACATATAACTTGAAAAATAGCTTACAGAGTCCTTTGCATGGAGAATATACATTCTGAATGTTCAGTGTTGATACTGAAGTACATGGACCATCAAATGAACTCACAAGGAATCGATAGAATCAGCCCATATCCAACCAAACCATGAACATAAATACATACTGCATTGATTTTCTCTGTGCTCACAGCCCTGACACCCCCACCCGCCACTTGACTAATACACTTGTACAAGGGTCGGATAAAAAATAGTGGCAACACTGCTGTAACATGAAAGATGTGCATCAGGTGGCATAGCGCCATCTGTAGCTGATAGTAGAAGTTCAGGTGAAGTAGTGCAGTGAGTGGCTCTGGTTGTGTTACATTGAGTTGCATTGTGCATTGTCTTGAAGTTGAGGAGTCCAGTTCAAGCACCCTAACAACATGTTTGCGAAACAAGAACAACACTCTTGGATAAAAATTGAAGTTGCATGAGGTCATGGTGCACAAAACTCTTTATCAGGGACTGTGAGAAGCAAGTGGTGATGCTGCTTTGCCATAGCACACAGTGGCAAGACGGGTGAAATTGTTCTGTGAAGGGAGGGATGCCATTCAGGACAGCCGTTGTTCAGGACGACCCCATGTTGACAACCACACAATTCAGTTTCTTGCTTCTTTGCTGGATGTTGATTGCTGATGGGCTACGTGGGCATTAGCTGCTGAGGTAGGCGTATGTCACAAAACTGTGCTCCACATTCTGCATAATATTCTTGGATACCGCATAATTGCAGCGCGTTGGGTACCCCATACAATGTCCGAGGTGCAACAATGGCAATGTTATGCAATTGCACAGGACTTGTTAGACTGGTACCAGAGGGAAGGTGACGACTTCCTTGGAAGGATCGTCACTCTGGATGAAACTTAGGCTTGCTCATACGAACCGCACTTGAAGCGACAATCAAATGAGTGGAAGCATCCTGGCTCTCCTCGTCCAAAGAAAGTGCGCCCTAGACAGAGTAATGTGAAGGCGATGTTCATTGTGGCATATGACATTGATGGAGTGATACTGCATCACACTGTACCTCAACAACAGACAATAAACGCTGCCTACTACTGCAATTTCCTGTGTAATCATCTTCATCCAGCACTCAAGAGAAAGCGATGACAACTGTTGGCAACGAACCCCATCATCCTTCATGACAATGCAAGGGCTCATACTGCTGATGCTGTCAAGGATCCCCTTCGCCGCTGGCAATGGGAGATATCGTAACATCAGCCATACTCACCCGATATGAGTCCGTGCGATTATGGTCTCTTTGCCAAAATGAAAGAACCACTGCGAGGGACGTGCCACAACACAAGAGAGGAGATTATTCGTGCTGTAGGGCAGTCACTGCTGGACATCAGCAGAAGTGGACACTCTGATGGTGTACGACAACTTCCACAAATTTGGCAGAAGGTGGTACACATGGGGGGCGATTATGTTGAAGGAATGTAAGTGTGTTTACCTCAGGTAATAAAGTAATTTCAGAACTATAGAGGTCTTGTCACTACTTTTTATCTGACCTTTGTATTATATTTATCTGAAAGAGTCACAGAGCCCCTAAGAAAGCAATCTGATTTTGTGTACTGTTGGCAGTAGTTGTGGTTGGTTGTGATCATTTGTGTAATAGTGATTTTGAATGTATAATTTATTGCTTATTCTTTACTGATTTGTATGTGATTTGATGTCATGAAATGAGAGTCGACGTTTATGCACGAAGTTACAGCTACATTTTAGACATGTTATTTTGTATATGAATCTCATGCCTACTACACTGAATGAAATTAGAAATTTACAGAAATCAAGCTAAACATTCTTGTGATTATATTTGATCCAAGTTATTTAACTTTTACGTAGATTACATGAGCATCCCGTATGTTTATATTTGTACTAACTAAATGGAATTATTGCAAAGATTAATTAATTCCATCCAGGTGACTGATGTTTTTTTTAAATCTTTTATCCTTTACATGTTTCGGTCCTATAGACCATCATCAGAAGGGTAGGCCGCACCATAACTCAAGCGGTTAGTCGCTGGGGTCGCTGGCTTCCAACCGCGGCGGCCCGGGTTCGATCCCGTGTCTGGTCAAATGCGATTTGTGGTGGAGAAAATTTTCTCCGAGTACTTCGGCTTCCCCAGCCAATCTTCATTCCACCCAATTCTCCAACATAATATCCCGGGGCAGGCTACAATAGGCCAACCAATGGCCTCCGTGGCGAGTGGACCCAGTTGGACTCCACTCCCCACAAACCGAATTAAAAAAAAATTAATAATCAGAATGGTATCAATACAATTAGAAACCACTATTACAATATGTACATACAATATCATCATTATGTCATGTATAAATCTAATGTTTTTTAACAATTACAGCGGCTTCTACCAAAACGTTAAAATATTTATTACAGTTAGTGTGTTTAAAAATGTTATTTTTTTAAACCAAATTGGTTTGTGTCTCTTCTACTTTCTGTCCTCGAAAGAAACCAAAAGTCCACCGTCCCGCGCGGTCCCGCGGTTCCGTGTTTAATAATCCGTTCACCTGGAGACGTGATTGCCCTCTACAAGAAATGTTCCGTAACTAAATTTGCGATCCTAACGTCATATCTTGGTGTATTTACATCAACGCCATGGCAGGCTTTCCATTGGGACAATTGTGCAGCCTAAGTAAATTGCGATTGGCGTGTATAGTGTGACCATTGTGAGATGGTGTCAAGTGCGTCAAGTGTGTTTTTGATGTGTGAATAGTTGGAATGTACTTCCCGAAAGCAGAAATGGACTTTAATATGAAAAAGCTTGTTCGCGATGCAGGAACCGCTCTGAGTCGTGTTGTACAGGTATGTTATAGTATAGAGTTAACGTGGTATCAATACGGGTCACTTTGGGGAATGGACAAATCATTTAGCTTTAGTTTTTACTATAAATTAAGATCAGAATAATTACTACTCAACAGAGTGTTTTGTCTGTGGAGGGGCAATGTAGATGCAGTGCCTCCCGTAATCAAAATATAATTTTAAAAGTTTTCAAGTGAAACTGTAGAAAATCGTATGAGAAAATGATGCAAGTTTTTTTAGTTCCTTGAGGGCAACGTTAGGTATTTGAAACTGGAAATAGCTTGTTTCCTGATCAGAAGTTGTTACTTTATCACCGCTGCACAATAAATACAGCTATGGGTTTATATTTAGGAGTTTTGATCTCTTGTAATAGTGTTGATCCTTGTTTTCAGTGTTAGTTTAGTAGTAACTACAGACTAGAGCACCCACTGATCCATGACATCCTTAAAAATCTGGCAGTAGCATGCATCTTCAGTGCTAGAAGCTGAATGTTTACAGTTGTCTGACCAAATATTCATTGCCTCATTTTGTTTGAACAGTCATTTGAAGAGTTATATTGCTTGCAGACAGATGACTGCTCGTGTAGAAATGATGTTGAAACACATTCTTTTTCATGTTTTTGAACATGTTTCTGAGAAATGTTAGTTGACTTCCAATAGACTATATGGGCATATATCCAGAAGATAGAGCTCTTTGTAACCACTGCTATGAGAACCTTGTATCCTGCATTGGCCAGGATTATTGGGCATTCTTGACATTGGCCAGTCCATGTTTGAAATTATTCATTATAATACAATGAAACAGATTTGTGTAAATTTGAATGGTGTTATCAATAGTGACCAGCCAGTGTTAGCAGAAGAAAAGGTTAGCAGTCCTTGTTGACAATGGCAAGGTAACCTGCAGCATTGCGGGATTTTGGTCTTTGATCATAACAGATGTGTGGCTTATTTAGTGATACTCTCACAGCTCACACTATGATGAATATTGAATAATGAGTTGGAAGGGATGTGGAATGAAGTGGTCATAGGCTAGTTTAGGGTAGGGTTTCAGCATTTGGCTTTAAGTACTGAGAAAAGTCATGAAGAGCTGCAACTCACTTGACCATTACATTTAGTTAGAGGATAATTTAAAATTGGGTATGGAGTGTGGACTGGATTCATCTGACTCAGCAGGATAGAGTCCTACAGTGTATTGTTATGAAATTGGTAATAAAAGTCAAAGTCAAATTGCGAATGACGGTCAGTCAGTCAGTCAGTAAGTCTTCATGACCAGATATTTGTTACTGTTTGACAGTTACGGTGTCTTATTTTTTGTGAGGTGCCCACTCTTATGAGAGGACGGGTCTGTCGTTTGTATATGCTGCTTGTCCTTGCCAGCGCAGTTTTTTCTCAGGTCTAAGTTCCTTGGTACTTGCGACCATATATTGCTGTCCCAGATTTGTTCAACATGGTAATTTTCCTGTTGGTCCTAGTTATATAGGCTTAGGACAGATGTTATAGAAAACATGGCCTCTAACAGCTCCTCTGTTGTTGCATGATGTTTAACCAGTCTGTTGCTTAGCAATGCCCTCTTTGTTGATGCGGGCGCATGTTTACCATCTGTTTTCCTAGCAGTGGTTGTCTCTTCTGACACAATATTTTAATATTATCCTTTCATCTACTCCTATGCCTTTTTAGTAGTTTATTCCACTGTGGGATTCCAACCAAAATTTTGTTCATTTCTTGGTTCCTCCATGTATCACCCAATTTTTTTTAGCACTGGAAATTGTTAATCTCTTGATTATTTAACTAACTCCATGGAGCTGAGCCCTTGTTGAGAAGCTTCCACCTGTTCAGTTACTCAAGAATATCTCAACATTTTATGGAAACTCAAAGTCCATTACAATGTTCATGTGGGCCTGCCACTGGTCCCTCTCCTGAGAAGGAAGAATTCAGTCCATACCCCCATCTAGATTCTCTCAGATCCAGTCTAATATTATTCTCCTGTCTCTGTCTAATTCTTACTAGTGGTCACTTTTCTTCTGATTTCCCAAACGAAACCCTCTGTGTATTCCTGTTTTCTGTCACTTGTGTTACATGCCGTACCCATTGTAGTCTCCTTGACTTGACCATTCTAATTATATCTGGCAAGGAGTTCAAGTTACGAAGCTTCTTGTTATTAATTTTCTCCAGTTCCTATTATTTCATTCCTCATCAATCAAAATGTTATCCTTGGCACCCTGGTCTCTCACACCCTCAGTCTTTGTTCTTCCCATAATGCCATATACCAAGTTCCACACTCATACAAAACTACTGGCAAAATTATAGTTTTTATATTTTAATTTTTGTTTTTAGACAGCAGATGAGAAGACAAGGGGTTCTGGACTGAATGGCAGCAGTCATAACCCAGATTTAATCTGCCCATAATATCAGTTTTTGATTTGTTACTGTCATTCCAAAATATCTGAACTTTGCCACATTTTCAAAGGATCTATTAGCTGTCTTTATTTTATGATCTCTCCTTGCATTCCAATGATGAAATATCGACATTTATTTGTTTGTTTTCTTTTTTTGTGTACTTATAGGGCAACCTTATTACTACCATCCCTTAGAGCTTCGGTGTTTTTCTTTAAGGCATGTATTTTATCTTCCAAAAGATTTACATCATCAGCATAGACCAGCAGCTGATATGTCCCATTCAGTTCCTGTCCCACCTGGTTTTCCTGGACCCTCCTAATAGTGGATTCTAAAACAATGGTGATAAAACATCTTGTGCTTAGACCATTTTGAATAGAAACTGAGTCAGACATATGCTTACCTATATGGGCTTCACTGTAGGTTTCATCTAAACACATTTAGTAAGGCTAACTAGACTTATTATTTACTGTTCTTATAATACAAATCAAGAACTTCAATGTATCAAAATGTCAGGTACCTTGAAGATATTCCAATATCTGTAGCTCAGTGTAATTGACTGTGATTGATTTTGTATTTTAGTTAACTGAAGAGAAGCTGGGAACATCCGAGAAGACTGAGCTTGATGCACGTTTTGAGAACCTTGCTGAGCGCTCTGATACAACCAAAGTATGGACAGAGAAAATCCTGAGGGACACAGAGGCAGTTCTCACACCAAATCCTGGTTTGCAGTCTATATAAGCTACATGCATGCACGTGTGTGTGTGTGTGTGTGGGGGGGGGGGGGGGAAGGGACAGAGAGCATGTGTGCATGATATTCAGGGTATGTACTGGTACCTTATTATTTCAAGATACTGAGCATTCCTCCTTTTGTTGTAGAAAATACTGAATTTGAATGTCAGCCCAGAGACTGAATGCCCTGGTTGAAGTTCCATGTGATTTTCCTCCACATAAATGTAAATGTAATATCATAACCTATGTGTCTTATCTTTAAGACTAAATTAACCCACCTTCCTGCATGGTTTGTATGTGGAAAGTCAGTCATTTCAGTCACATTAAATTATTAATACCTACATAAGATAACATAAAGCATAAGTTTATTACATCAGTGATGTTAGACCCCCGGCAAGTGGTTAGAACAGTATATTTATATCTCAGGGCTCCTGTGACATTGAAGAAATGAAGATTAAATTTTGTTGGGTTCTTGTGTCTTATAGGGAACAGAGTTGAGGATTTCTTGTTTGAGAAGATTGAGAAGAAGCGGCCAAACCGTCTAAGTAACCTTGAGTACCTGGGACTTGACATGATTGAGGCTGGCAATGAATTTGGACCGGGTACAGCATATGGTATGTTTAAATGAAGTATGCACATTACCAGAAGTTTGGAAATTTATTCCAAATTGCATCAGATTATTGTTTCAATTATGAAAATGGATATTAGTGCTGTAAGAGTAATGGATTTGTTGAAGTGTTTTTCTGCCACTGCACCAATTGATCCAGCTTGACAGGTTCTACTAGGTCTGCCAGAATTCCATCTTGCTAACGTTTTGAGATTGGTTTCCAATTATATATAAGCGTATAGTTTTTTGTTTATACAGTGGAACATTTCAAACTCTTTCTGTTTGATGATGTCAGTGTGTACAGGTAATAATCCTTTAAAGTATGGCATTTCACTACTAGATTTAATGTATGAGGGATCTTCAATAAGTTTCCACAATTTTTATTTTACAGCTCTATTTTATTAATGATTACAAGAACAAAGTACACCATTTTTCTACATAATCGCCCTGCTTTTCAACATACTTTTCTCAGCATCCTACCAACTTCTTAATGCCATCATAATAGAAAATCTTTGGCTGTGCACGTAGCCACTGATGCATTGGGTTCTTTATGTCCTCATCACATCAAAATATTCTCCTCCTAAAGCGTCTTTAAGTGGTCCAAGAAGGTGAAAATCAGGAGGTGCCAAATTTGGACTGTGAGCTGCATGTTCCATGACTTCCCACTTCAGTTTTCTGAGGGTTTCCAGCATGCAGGCCGTAGTATGGGGGTAGGCATGGTCATGCAATAACAAGACACCCTCTGATGATCTGTCTCTCCTTTTAGAGTGGACTGCAGGCTTCAGCCTTCTTTGAAATTGTCAGAATATGTTACACTTATGACAGTTGTTCCGCATTCCAGGTGGGTCTCAAGAATAGGCCCTTGAGAATCCCAGAAGATGGTTAACATCAGCTTGCCTTGGGTCTTGAATTTTTTTGCAGAAGGAGGTGACAGATGCTTCCATTGCATGCTCTTCCATTTGGCTTCTGGTTGATAGTGGTAAACCCAGGTTTCATCACCTGTGATGATCCACTGCAGAAAGTTGTCACCTCCTTTGCATAAATGAGCCAAGTGGCAGGAACATATGTCTGATTGCATGTGCTCATTCTTATCTGTCAGTTCCTTAGGTACCCACCTGGCAGACAGTTCGTGGAACTGAAGGTTATGCACCACAGAATAGGCACACGCAATGTTGATATTCAGGTGTTTGCAGTTTCATCGACTGTCACTCTTTTGTCTTGAAAAATCTGTTCCCTAGCTCTTTCTTCAGTCTGTGTGGTTTTGGCTGTGGTTAGATGACTCAAGCACTCTAGATCAATCACATTCATGTAGCCATTTTGTAACATTTCAATCCATTCATACACAACTCTGTGAGAGAGAGCATTGTCCCCATACTGAGCACACATAATTTGTCCGCCTGGTACACTTTCTGCCCACAAGAAACATATCACAGTTTGTTGTTCCTCCTTAGTGCGGTTGAAGTTCAGTACCATGTTCACTGCTTCATAGCAGCTCTCACCCTAACTGCAAGACCAACAGGCTTGCCTTGCTGACTAGTCACATAACACCCTACAATACCCCCAACCACCACCCCTCCCACTCTTTCAGTTTTCTTTGTAAATATAAAAGTATGGAAACTTTTTGAAGATCCCTCATAGATGAAATCTGTATTTGAGTGATATATCCCCCCCCCAAAAAAGAAGAAGAAGGAAAAGGATGATCGTGGTGGTGGTGGCGGCAGTGGCTGCATTGGCGGTGGGGGTGGTGGTGATGGAGAAAGATATTTACAGTTGCTAGCATTAAGATTTTAATCAGGATTTGATTATATGGCTGTCCACATACAAACCCAACACACTAACTGATGAGCTAAATTACATTTTATTTTTGGATTATAAATTTACATTCCCTGAAGTTTAAGATTATTAATTAGAACTGGAAGTCTTTAATAGGAAAGTGGGCTGTATGAATTCTGGTGAGAATTGCTTGTGTTCTCTGTGAAGATGCAAGTCTGGTTGTATGTGAGACGGGAGATTTCCACTCCCCTTAAGACACTACAGTGATGATGGTGTGCATAATTTTATTTTTCCTTTTTTCCATTTGAATATAGAAATATTGTAGTGATATCATTCAGATTTAAAAATATGTTCAGCAAACACTGTGGAGTCATGCTCAGAATGGAATTGGGGTCATTATGAATGCATGGTTGGCAGCGCTATAATTCATATGTGGTGTTGTTCTCTCAGGTAGTGCATTGATCAAGGTTGGTCAATGTGAACAGAGGCTAGGTCAGACAGAGCGTGACTTCATTAGTTCTGCTGGACATTGCTATGTCCAGCCGCTCAGAAAGTTCCTGGAAGGAGAGATGAAGACAATTTTAAAGGAAAGAAGCCTACTGGAAAGCAAACGGTACTGTCATTACAAGCACAATTTCTACTGCTAGTGGAGAGATTTACCAATGTTGGCGCAGTTTGTTACCATGATGCTTAATAACACTGTCTGCTTCCTACTTTGAGCATACATCTCATTCAGTTGTTAAGAGAGAGTTTGAAAATATTTTTATGTAGCCTGTAGCATCAGTGCTTATGGTGAAAGCACTAGCACTAAGATGACCGTTATTGTCATGTATGTATGAAGGTTTTCACACCACTGAGATTGCTTTCTTCTGGTTAGTGACATGATGTAGTTTTGGAGGTGGATACCAACATTTTGGAGAAATATGCTACCTCCATGTTCAGAGATGAAGTGAGTGGGGTCAGGATGCAGCCTGATCATGTAGGGTGAATCGGAGTCATGCAGCCACGCTTCTAGAAGTAGTTGAGATAATTTGGAGCAGAAAATGTATACAAATAGTTATCTAATATGCCATCATTTTGGAACTATGGTCTTTTCAAACTTTCATAGTCTTGATTTTTTGTATATCCATGTGGTGGAGCCTTCATGAAGTCACAAGATGTTTCTGGATGTTTTCTTACAAGGACATGTAAAAGAAAATATTTATGCTATAGAAGTATAAGATTATGATGATGTAATTGTTCACACCGTGGTAGATGTGACATGCTGTTCTATTTGACATCATTCTGAAATGTGCGTGGGAACTGCAGAAGGTGACTTCAAGCAGTTTGTATGAAGAAATATATAGAACTTGTGTCAGTCGTTACTATCAGCTGTTGGCCTATGCTGATGATGTGAATCTATTGGGTGATAATGTAGATACCATAAAGGAAAACACACAAACTTTAATTGACGCAAGTAAAGAGGTTGGTCTAGAAGTAAACACAGAGAAAACTAAGTATATGTTGCTTTCTCATCACCAACATGCATGGCACAATCATGACATAAAGATACAAAACGGATGTTTTGAAAATGTGGCACCCTTCAGATACTTGGGAACAACGATAACGGATCAAAACCTGATTCAGGAGGAAATTAAGAGGAGATTGAACTCGGGGTAATGCTTGCTATCATTCAGTCCAAAACCTTTTGTCTTCTCGTCTGTTGTCCAAAAACATAAAAATTAGAATATAATGTAGGTCAGACCACGATTATATCATTCACTTGTAAAAGAGCATCCAGGCGCATATAGTTGTTGATGCTGACATAACTTGAAACCCAGCCACTCACTCATTGAAACAGTATCAGCTCTAATTACAAATTATGTAACACTAGTTGAAAGATTTGAGGATCTTATAAAATTAACTGCGAAGATTATCTTCTGGAAAGTGGCATCTTATAATTTGGTAGATTGTTGCAAACATTTTGGTGGAACATGGAGGCAGCAGGTTGCTCCAAAACATCGGTGCTAACATATCCCAAAAGGCAGTTATTTTCATCAGCAACCTTCATTTCATGGGATTCAGTCTTATCACATTCACAGTATGTCAAGGATTTCAGAGTTCTGTTGGACTGTTAAGTCGTTTTACCATCAGATTGATTACGTATTTTTTTAAGAGTGTAATGGCGATCAAGTTCATTATGTCTGCTTTTCTACCCTTGATAGCCATATGGTGTTTTATACCTTTCACCTTGTTATCCATTACTTTGACAAATTTGTCTGAACCTGAAACAATTCACAGAAAATTTTTGATCCTATACTATAGCAGATTTTTAAATTGCCTATGTTACAATAAATGTGAAGATATGTAAGCTAGGTTGAATCTTACAGCTTTCCATTCTTAGTGTATTTGTTGCTGCTTTCAGATTGGATCTGGATGCCTGCAAGAACCGGTTGCGTAAGGCACGGAGCATGCAGGGACAGCAGAGTGTAAGTACGTTGATACTTGTTTCTGATACAGGTGCTTCATTCACGCTTCATTTCACATAGTGCTACAGCATCATAATTGTGAGGTCCATGTCTCAACCCAGAGACTATTCTGAGTTTTCCCATGATTGTCCTCAGTCTCACCAAGTAAAGCCACATTATTTTCTGAAAATAGGCACGTCAGATTCTTTGTACATTCTCCCTGATGAATTACTCATACAATCATGCAACCATTTGGTGTTGTACAGCCTTTCGGGGTTTGGAGAGTAATTCTCACACAAGCTTATGTTAAGACTTTGTTTGTATTCCTGATTACATACCACGTTTCGACAACAGAGCAGTCATCATCAGGTGTGAAACACAAATGTATTTGAGGTCTGCACTATAATGCAAGAGGTTGTAATTGTGTTGTGATATATAGACCCATTGCTAGGCAACGGTTTGGTAAACACCTTCCTGCGGAGACAATCTTGTTAAACAGCCCAGTGCTTGGTAATGTGTACAAAAGTATGCAACAAAAGTGGACATCCATTGCTTGGCAGTGGATGTGTTTTTTTGGTGTAGTCAGACCCAAGGCTATATAACAGTGAATGACTCTGGTTCCAAGAGTATGTAGAGCTGCAGGGAAGTGAAGCTGTATCTCCATTCCCCCATACATCTTAATGGCGTGGTGCTTAAGCAAGGACAGGGACGGCTTTACTTTAGGAGAGATGTGCTGTCTGAAGTCATTGTCTTCCATTGTTTTCATTTTTTTTATATTAGGTTGTCACATAACAGCTACTTTCAATGAATGCATCCCTTTGGAAAACACTGAATTATGTAAATTTATTTTGATGATGATGTCATTGCTGTATGAATTGGAATGTAGAACTGATAAGTGTTACTTTTCTCTTGCTGCTCACTCACCAGAAGGACGGAGTGAGTCCAGAGGTTCTGCTTGAACAGGTAAATCCCTGTCAGATATCTGTCCTGTGACACATTTGTTGTGATTTCCAAAAGGTTCTGATGCTGGTATGTTAAAGTTAGGATTACTTTACTTCTGGACTTGTCCATCACCTTGTATTCCAAATAGAACACATTGTTTCAAAAGTTTATCTCTTTCTGCCATCAGGTTAAGGTGGAGAGGCACCTGTTAAGTTGGGCCTTTTAAAATGAGTTAACAGTGGCTGTGATTAACTGTTTCCAGTAGACCCAACTGAGTAGGTGCCTGCTCGTCATTTCACTTGAGGAGGGAACCATTTCACCTTCTGAAATGTGTCCTTTACAGAATATGAGATAATGGACAGAGTCTAGAAAGCCAGTAATTATTGATGTTGTAATTTGTATGCATGTCATGTCCATCTGTCCATATGCACTTCCATAAGTATTGTCTGCTTAATTTAATTTTCATCCAAATTCACTGTAGCCTGCCATTACGGGAAGCTAAAGTCATAATTTTATGAATATTCTTAAGGATCGTACATGACATAAAGTCATATTTGAGTAAACCCTCTGACTTTTATGTCAATGATCTGTTGATGTGGTGCACATTTAATAAATAAGAAAAGGAAGTTAAGATTGTGGTGTTCTTGATTGTGACATCATGTAGTTTGTAGGTGGATACAAATGTCTGGGGGGGACTCGCTGCCTCTGTCATCAGTGTTGGAGTGTGTAGTTTCAGGACTAGGCTTGGTTATGTAGGCAAGTTACAGGGATTGTGGTCATGAGACCCAAGGAGAAGGGTAAAGAAGGGGAACCAGTCTGAGACACTGGGAAGGGATGTACAAAACAGCCCTTATAAATGGTGCACTGTTTTAACATTGCAGGTGGAGGATAGAATAGTGAGAGAGGACAGACATACTCGATTTTCCACCTCTGATGATAAACCACTGTAATGATAAAATAAGGAATTTTCATAATATAGAAAGTGGTGCCATAAAAATTGAAGGATACAAATTTAACTCATTAAGGGGCGAATCTTATACTATTGGTTTCTGTCTCCAAGAAAACACTCCACTTTTTACATCAGTTGTTGAACGTTTAGAAAAGCAGTTGCTGTCTATGATTGTGGTGTTCTGAGATGTGACATCATGTAGTGTAGTATGTAGGTACCAGTATACTGCATCTGTCTTCTTGGGAGAAGCAGAAGAACGAATATGGAAGTGGTAAGTTCCTCCAGAATGTTGGTATCAGAAGACTGTAATTGTAATATGGTGAGAATCTTTGATCTCAGTCAGTCTTTATTCTGAGAACAATACTGAGTACATACACAGAGTTAAAGAATCACTTCAACTGGGATGTGGTGGTGTATAGCTCTTGTGTGAACCGACTTTTCACAGGAACGTATCGCCTCCATCTTCAGGGTAGAGAAGTCTGTGAGCAAGCAACCAGCATGAGTATTTGGCTGCAGATTGAACCAGCAGTCGAAAACACCCCGCTATACAAGAACAGGAAGGGAGGGAGAGTGGGTCACATGGGAAATCAGTAGAGAGGAGAGGGAAAGGGTCTGTAGAAGAAATATATTATAAAAATTTTCTGATTTCAGATGAGATGAAATTAGACATGATGGCACCTTAGACATGGCTTTTCATACAAAACATGAAAAATCAGTTGAATGTGCTACGTACAATTGAACATTGTCCATTGTCTGAGAGACCTGATTTAGAAGTTAGTTCTCTAGTCTATTGAAAAATATTCATATATTATTTTAAAAATTACTGACAGCAGTCAAGATTGCATCTGTAACCTATTGAATACTAAACTCATATGCTAACCACTAGACCAATTCAGTTTTATTCTCATGCGTGGCCTCGGTTGCTAATGGCTACTTTCTTTTGGCAGCAGGGGTAACAACAATTTAGCCCTCCAGTGTGAAAAGATCTTGTCTTGAATTGCTGTTGGTATTATGTGTACAGCCACCAACAGGGACAGCTGACCCCAAACTGCTGGCCCCAGCTGAACCTGTAATTGGGTTACAGTGAAGGCCTCAGTTCTGCAGAAAAGAGTCCTCTTCTTTGTTAGCCTGACCAGTTATTCCTCTTGATAGTCAAGTTATTCACCCTGTTAAGAGATCCTTTACAGTTTTTCTTTCAGTGGTTCCTCCCCAGAGCTCCTGAGAGATTTGTATGTCTGTTCAGAACAGCAAGACAGAAGACCCAACACCTGAGCCTTTCAAAGTAGTAAGGAATCCCCCCCCCCCAAAAAAAAGCACTGCTAGGAGGGGCCCTCTAGTTGTCCTAGATAGACATGTAATCAGGAACCAGCCAAGGCCGAGCACCCACACCCAAGACTGGAGCCACTCCCTGGCCATTTCATCTGCTAACAGTAATGAAGTGTACAGGGTTTAGCATTGAAAAGTTTCTGTCTATGAATGTACCCATTGTCGTTAATCTGATAAATAGGAAAAGTAGTTGTTAGTGGTGTTGTAATGTGGAAGTCGAATCAGCTTGTAAAATTTTGTGTATGTTAAATGTATCTTAGACTATCCTTTCCAAATCTCTGGTCTGCAAAAATTTGACGATTGTCCATGGATATGTGTGTTCAGTGTTGTTCTTTGGACTGAGTTGCCCCCCCTCCCCCATGCCCATTTTTAGTCAGCATTCTTTTTATTATTGTTTGTAAAACTGTTTCTTGTTTCCAGAATTTCTTGTGTACAGACGTAAGCAGTTCAAGCAGTAAAAAATGTTCAGACAAACATGTGTAATATATGGCTGAATAACCGATAAGAATTTGTAGTATCCAGTATTATTGCTGTCCAGAGAATCAGCTGTTGTCACAGATATGCTGGGAATCGTAATGTGATGGCGTGGAAATTGTGCTGCCTTGTTGGCTAAGCTATTCTGGTACTGTGTACTAGGCAGAGAAGGAGCTGCGAGTGGCCCAGTCAGAGTTTGACCGTCAAGCAGAAATCACCAAACTACTCCTCGAAGGTGTTAGCAGTTCACATGCCAACCACCTTCGCTGCCTGCATGAGTTTGTAGACACACAGGTGCGATTCTACGCGCAGTGTCACAGTGTGATGCAGGATTTGCAACGAGATATGGCCAGGTGAGTTGCCTATATTCCATTAACTGTCTTAATTCCAAGCATGGTACTCTGTTTTTTGTTATTATTTTTAAATGAAGGGAGGAACTAAAACTAAGTTCCTTCGCACTGTGGTCTGAGATGTATATCTTATACCACACCCTGATGAGGAGTACTGAAATACAGATATATGGAATATTGAAGGGATGATGGTAGGCGAGGAAAACTGAAGTACATCTAAACGAACCTGACCGAGTGCTGCTTTGTTGACCACAGATCCTATACAGAGTGTATAGGAATTTAAGTATGACCTCCAGAATGGAAGGCTATGCAAAGTTTTTAACTGAAAAAGCTATGCCGTCATGGTCTTATGTAAGCTATGCAAAGCACTACCAGTCTTGAAATATTCTGCATTTTTATGCCATCTCTAAGAATATATATGTATTATAATATAAAGCAGAACTGTAAGAGAGAATAAGGAATGAAGGAAATCAGGTAGAATTTGAAAGTAAATATTGTCATGTTTTTTATGGAATGTGACGTTAGACAGGGTGTGGATCGGTAATTGGATTTATTGGACTCTTTCATACAGTGTGTGACTATACTTTACAGTTAACTATTACACACACACTAGAGTTGACAGTCATGTCTTCACTGCTATTGCTTGTTAGTGTGGCTTCCATTGGCAGATGTTCCCCTTTCTCTGGATTCCTGAACTGTCCCTGGCCTCAGCTAGCAGCTTCTAACAACAGCAACTCACAAGGACTGCATCACAGCAGTCCTCTCACTCACTCACTCAACAGCCATCTCTTTACTTACTTAATCCAATCCCCTGACTTTTCCTGCTTATAACATCTTGGCATGGACCACACAGAAAACACTGTTCCTCTGTTGCAGTGCAGTTGTTGTAATGGAAACATGCTTGTTTGGTGCAGCTGTCACTTAAAACGGCTGTTGTATAGTTGCTTATTTCACAGTCATTGCCTAGCAGTGGGTCTACATGCCACAGTAACTTGGAGGATAAGTGAATGAACAACAGGATAAAGTTGCAGGACATGTTCTAAGAGCGAACAAAGATTTGAATCCAGGAAAATGTTTTGAGCATGGAATCCAAAGGATAATGTGCAAGAGGAAGACCAAGATTATGGGATCAACAGTTTAGGAAACATATCACACAGAATAAAAGAAGAACATGGAAAGAGACTGAAAAGGGGGGTGGGGTGGAGCGTTGGGAAGACTGACACTTTTTGATTGCTAGATGACCCATATAATAAGTGTCTAGGGAAGGAGAAGAAAAATAAAAAACTACCTCAATATTTTTTTGGATTCTGGTTGAATAAAGGTCTGCAAACAAAATACAAAACTAAGAATATAAAGACAGAACCTGTGGCTGGAACAGATTCCAGAATTTAAATGTCAGTTGATGGGAGTCTGGGAAGACATGCAGAAGGGAGGCTGCTGCCAGGAAAATGGGTGGGCACAGAAGCCAAGTTCCTTCTTTCCCTGACTGACTTAGATTGATTATGGTAAATATGTTACAGACATTCTGTTAATTATTTTACTGCCAGTTTGTCCTTAGTCACACCTGGTGCTGCCCCCTACCAAGCATTAACTCTGCAGTCTCCTGATTCTGCTGATGTTACCAAGAATGGACACCAAAGGGCTCGAGTACTTTATGACTATGATGCCAAGGATTCTACTGAACTCAGTCTCATGGCAGATGAGGTAACAGCCTAAACAGTCTGTAGTTATACTTGTGTGTTCTCGACCTTAGTCACGTTTACTTAGTGTTCAGGAAGTCCTGAGTTCAAGTCTTTGCATGAAGATCATGTGTTATTACAGAGGTTTTCTTTTGTGCATATTCTTTAAGCAAATACTGCAAGAGTACTCTAATGAATTAACATAGAAGCTGTATTGGCAAGATCGTATGCAAGATGGAGTAATTTATCATGTAGCATTTTATTGCTGACTGCAACAATGCCGACAGTAGGTGACCCAGTATCTTAGACTTTCATCTTTTATTGCCAGCAGCTAGGTTACAAGGTCGGGATGATCTGACCACATGTTCTAAAGTTAGTACAGTTATAGTTGCTGAAGTGAACTTCAGATTCACTTGTGGAAAAATGGCCATGAATGTAGTCCTGATTCAGGTAAGCACAACTGAGTTGAACTTGAAACATGAATGGGTAATTCATTGACTATATAGGCAGTGTTATAAACAGTGCACAGGCTGGAGCAATGACAGGCATCCCAGCAGTGAACTGACCTACAGCAGATAGCTTTTACTAATTATGTATGTAGCATTTAGGGAGCCAGGAGAGGTCAGTCGGTATAGCAGCTGGCTACTGGCTGAATGACAGAGGCATCAGAGTTTGAGCCCCAGTGGGGTCAAGAATTTTCTCCATGTTATCCAGACATTCTGGGACCCATCCAGCCTCCTAGTCAGTGGGTACTTGTGATTCTTTCCTTGGCGGTAAAGCAGCTGGGGTGTGAAGCTGACCACTCATCTCAAACTAGTGCCAAGGTTAAGAAAATATGGATCTGTACATCTATTCCCCCATACACCTTCATGGCGTAGTGCTTAATTAATTGTGCACAGGGATGACTTTACCTTTGTGTGTGTACCATTCATTATGTTTGTGTATTTGTAAATAGTTTCATTCCTATATTAGAATTAGAAAATAATAGGTTTGGCGTACAAAATAAACATCTGAGAGCATACCTCAGCCTTCCCTCAGATCAACGCTGCATTCCATTCAGCATTAGATAATATCGGCCTAAGTAGGCATAGGAATATTGTAGCATGAGTTATTGCCAACTGCCACAATGTCGCAGGGATGTAAGTTATAACACCATGCAGATTATGTAAGTTGCCACACCGAACAAATTCCGAAGAACATAGAAAGTATTAAGTAACGTGATGGTGGTGACTGTAGTGTCTTCCCCAGGCATTCTGCATTAGATGTTACATCTCTATAGAAACATATCAGCCTTAGCTTTTGGTAGTTTGTGCAGAGGGGATCATCTGCTGAAATGGCAACCAACCATCATCAGTCTTACAACACATCCATATGTTCCCTGTAACAATTAGCGGCAGTGGTCAGCAGTCTTCCAACATTACAGCAGGTTACAGCAGTGCACACCTTGTTGCTACAGTGTCGCCAAGCCAACATTATATGTTTGTTTGCAGCAGCAATTATTACCATACCCCTTTCCACATTACATGGGAATTTAAGTTGCACCCTTAGTTGGTAGCAAATTGTTTATTACTAACTAACGAACTTCATGAAGCAGAGTCCTTTAAAGGGCAATAGTTGCCTAGCTACTGAGGAAATTCCTTGATGGCTGTGAAACTGAAGATTCGGAACCGTTTTCACAAGAATAAAAAGTATTTATGAATCCTTTCTTATCTGTAAAAATGCAATGTAATTGAAACTTTTGGTGGAGTAGTGGTTAACATAGTTTATAACTTCATAGTGTCCATTGTCATGGGATAAGATTATACAAACCATCATTTAAAGTTATAATTATTCCTATGAAATTCTGTCTCATGTCTTTTTCTCATGTTCTGCCAAACCCGCTATGTGGAAATTTTGGGTGAGACTTGCAACATGTAATGGTCTCACCTGTAACAGTTTTCACCTAACCATGTTGATATATTTTCTATTGTTAGTCACATGGCAGGGAGGTAGTCTTTCAGTGCAATTTAGCTGGCTTGTGGCAGTTTTAAGTTATTGATGTGTAATTTCTTTGTATTACTTTATCATCTGTTATCCAAGAAGGTGGCAGGTTTAAAGATCCATGGTGCTGTTCAAAAGGGCACTCAAGATAGAGCAGCAGGTCATCTTAATGCCCACACACGGGGGTTACCTTATCTGCATCTTGTGCACCATATTATTATGTGGTTCTTCACAACTTTCATTTGTGAAAAGAAGTGGGATTCATGTAAGAGTATATTTCAACTATGTAATTGAGGAGACTGAAAAATATAACATTTTCTACAATTTCATTGAAATTCAAGTGGCCAATTTAAAGATGAAACAAAGACATGATCTCTATATTATGAATTTGTATTTTACACTTTATTTATAGGCCATGTAGATGCTGAACAAATACAGTTAAGATTTTTTTGAGCATGGTCTCATGTGGAGGACCCTACTTTCATGAAGTTACGTTTGCTTTATTGAAGAGCCTGTCTTATAAAATTAATTATACAATAGTTATTTAAACATTTCATTTTGAATTTAGTGACAAACAGAGATAATATTTGCAGGTGATCATTGTGCATGAGATATTGGAGGCAGATGGGGCAGAAGACTATCTGATTGGTGAACGAGGAAACCAAAAGGGGAAGGTACCCAAGGCATTCCTGGAGCTCTTGACCTATTGAGAAGATGGCAGAGATTAGACTAGAAGTTTCCTGCTCTGATGTTACAGTTTATTCTCCCATAACAATCGTTCCATAGTCAAACTATGGAGATGAAGTGGTCTAACAGTTAAATTGAATTGCAGAGAATAGCATGATCAAGGTGTAATGAGTCACATATCCTGGCCCTGGTATGATTCTGAGCCTTGTTACCATATTGCTGCTTACTGTAAACAGAAGACAAATATCCATAGTAACATTTTTCTTTTTAATTAGACTAGAGGTAAGTCCATAAGGCAATCACTCATTGCTGAAAGAAAGTTAGATCTTTTTAGCAGACTTTTTGCTTCTTAATACAACTGAATGTTATTTGTTCTTCGTGTTACTTCAGAGAGTCAAATGGTATGCCTGAAGAATTTTTCTGCCACATGCCTACTGCAAGAAATAATCTTTGCTAGAAAAACTCCTGTTTCACACTGCGTATAAAGTAGATGTCATAAGTAATAGTGTCCATGAAGTATGTTAGAATATTGTGTTGGACTTTACCTTTGTCTTAGATATAGTTAACATGCATTTGACACACTAGATCTGTTTCCATCATAAGGTGTGGGTGGGAGAGGATCTGACTTATTATGGCCCCATAGAAAGAATTAGTCCTAATCAATGGACAGCGAAAGAAGTTCTAAATAGAGTATGTACTCTGTTGTCTTGTGAACAGGGTAATGACCCTATGGGTTCCATAAAATGCTGGGAAATTCTTGAGTGTCTGAGCAACTGGTGGCTTCTCAAGAAGGACATGGCTTCATGGTGTTAGTATATATTCAGTTGCCATCAGATAGGATTTACAGGAGATGTGAAGAGAAAGAAGTGCCAGTAGTTATTAGAGAATTGGAGAATGAAATCTCTCTGTAGTGTAAGGCCTGTTGAGGGGAGGGTTGAGAAATCCCACTTTGTCACTTGGTGTACACAACTGAGCTGAAACTATATAAGGCTGTCATGACATCCCTAACTATGCTAGAAGGTGGGGAAGTACCCTGATGCTTGCTGTAACACTAGGGGGTTAGCATCCTCCTACCCTATCCTGTGGTCACCACTACTTAGCTGTCCAGAATCAAGTCTTTAGTCACATGTTATTTTGCTGCCACCTCCTGAGAGGAGGCTTCCACCCCTAAGAGAGACACCTCTCATGACATACTGGTGCCATTTGCAATCCTGTGGATTTGCGTGGGAACAAGAGAAGACGTAATTTCATTGGACATCTACATTCAGGAACTGTGTACTACCCTATCCGGGGGGGAGATGAATGGCACAAGTCTGAACTACTGATTATTGGCTATTAAAATATACATATCTTGTGATTAGTATCCTTCCATTGCCTTTCGGGTGAGCTCTGCCCTCAGTGGAATTTTGCCTAGCTCTAATCCTTAGAACTACCCTTGTTTCAGCCTCCATTCAGTTAGCCATTGTGTGAACAGCCTGATAATGTTTCTCTATAGCTGAAGAATTGTGGCATTACAGTAGGTACCGTTAAAATCCATTGAAGGCACTAGAAACACTTTTCTGAGTGTGTGTATTCCTAGTGATTGATGGATATTAACCATATCTACAGGGAGATTAGAGTCCCTTTTTTGTGTTTTCTTTAATAGATACTACTGCTACTACTAATCTTTATTTCCTCTTAGCTCCTGCTGATGATTTTTGATGTAACAGAATATATAATCTTCTTGGATATGCTTTTATTGTCCATTGACTGAGGATTAGCGTTCTTCAGAGGACCCAAATAACATGCTTCATCTCCTTATGATGCTGTGCATTAAATATATTCCTGATATTGGATAGTGCCCGAAATAATATTCTTATAATGAATTGACCATTGTCACAAACATGTAGAGGATTGTGTCCAATCAGTACACAAGAACAAGCTGGTTATGCTGTATTCACATGTCTTATAAGTACTGAAAGACCTTTGAGGTCCTCTGTTGAACTCTTAAAATTAAAAGTAAAATAAGCTAGGAAAGAAATTAAATTATACCTCTTCATATTCTGAACTTGGTGAATCTCATAGTGGTGCTGGGTCGTTTACAGGCCATGCCACAGTCCAGTTTTGTTCAGAATGCTACAGTTCTGAAATTAAAACTTAAAAGTATATCAGCCTTGAATAGTTAAAATGTAGCTGTTACATACGTAGGACAAATAACCCCTTGGTGACTTCTCTAAATGCCTCCCTTGCAGCTACATTTAAATGGCAGTGGGTCCATGCAATTGCTGTGATGTTTTAGTTTTACATTTTTGGCATATATCAGTAAATAAAGTGCATTATTTGGTCAAGGAATACTGCAGTAAAAACACAAGGCTGTCATCTGTTAATGACAAAACTTAATACTAGTACAATCTAAGGAGGAACTACTGAAGTGCCAGACTTGTAGTTGTTTGAACAGAGCAGTATGCCACATTCCAGAGATGTTAGTTGACAGCGGGTAAATATCTTTGGAAATGGATTTACTGGAATTACTGTTATAGCTTTTTCTGTGACTTAGAAGTTTTTCTCAGATTTCTACTTGAAATTGATTTGCATGAATCATGACATAAGATAAGGTTGTAGTCAAACATGTGTCATTAAACAATGGACAAGGTATAGACCTGATGTATGTCATTATAGAAATACAATGCTTCCATAAGTTCAGATTCTTTCAGCCATGAAATATGTATTCTCCAGCATATAGAGTTGTGTGGATTACAGATATGTGCAGACTATCAGAGCTGGTGGCTGTGCCCAGTGGAAAGAGGGAGAATAATGTGTGTCCAGTTTTTCTGTGTATGTTCTTCCTGCCTCCTTTTACCCCACAATTTAAATATTTAAGGAAAATCTTTTTTTATAGTTTGTGGTTTTCATTCTTAGAATTTATCTCCAACCATGCAGTGAATAGCATTTGGAGGTTAGAAACATGCCCATTCCTTTGTAAGGAATGATTTTGTTAGGATCATTCCAATTGGCATTGTAATTGTGCGGCTTATAAAATTTCTGTAGCTATGTATTTATTTGTGTGAGTGTATATGTATGCATGTCTGTATGTATGAGTACTAAGTAAGGGTGACCATTCATTCATCAGTAATCTGTCAAGATGACAGGTCCACAGTCTCTTCCAAAACAGTTACTCCACTTGATGCGATCTAGAGCTTTCTCCTTCAAATAAAATTAATAGCCTCTTGTGTCCCCAAGGTCATCCAGCATCTTCTTACGTCTTCTTCGTCTTCTGGTCACTCCTGTCCGCCCCTTTATCTTTCCTTCAATAACTTCTTTTAGAAGGCAGTTACCACGTAAGATATGACCAATCCAATTAGCCTGCCCATTTGTTCTGTTTTCACATTATGAATCTTAACAACTAGGGTAATAAATCTGCCTTCTTAATCCTTTCGGTGAGAACTGGGGTAGCTCAGTCAGTCAAATGACAGGCTGTGGGGGTAGATGATGTGTTTTGGAGCATCTTCATAGTACATCTAGACCTATGTCTACCGCCCTTCCTATTCAGTAATTACTGTAGACCCTTTCCTGGGGGTAAAGTGGTCAGAGCTTGAAACTGACCATTAGTTTCCACCATGGTATGGAAGCTTTATCTTTGTAGCCCTTATATATATCTTTGGCTTTTTTTATATTGCCCCTTCAAATCTAGTCTCCAAGAATGTCTTGCAATATTTGTTGCTTTGTATCAAGATAAATTCTGCTCATTGCAGTTTTGATAACAGGCTGAGTTGTTCCTTGAATTTTACAGAGTTTTGGATTAAGCTCAGCTTTTGAAAATTTGTGTTTTAACAACAGTTTCTTTGCTGCTGGAATATGGTGGCAGCAGGTTCCCCCAGAATTTTGGTAATTCTTCCATGATACACAGCATCACATTGCAGAAGACAGCAGTCTTAACATTCGCCACTGTAATATCAGATTTCATTTACAGTATATCTACAGAACTTTCTGTTTTATGGTAGTTCTGAGCATACATAGCAGTTTGTTGGAAATTGGTGGGTTGTCTTCAAAGAAATAATTTTGTAACACTTTAGTCGACACAAGAGAAGTCAAGAACAAGCTTACTTTCCAGAATTAACACTTTCCATATTCCTGAGTTTTAATATTTTTCAGTTGTTTGGCCTTGCCAGGTAGTACCTTCATAAGCAAGGATTATGGAGCTTACTTAAGACCATTTCTCACTCTATCACTGATTACTGTATCAGCATTCTTCCCACCATCTGCTTGCTTCTAATTACACATATTACCCTGCTGTAGCAACATGTTTCAACATTACATTATTGTAAGGCTACCTTTTTGTTATATGTAGCATTACTGTTACTGTTATTACATATTGGCCAGTATTTACAGATGTATTCCAAAAATTACTTTTAAAATGGTTCCTGTCTCAACACCAACAACCATCAAAACTCACACACACTTCATTGTGCAATAATGAGTTTATTGGTCTGCATTCCTTGAGGGGTATTCCAAAACAATACATATTAAATTACTGGTAACATGGCTGTTGAATGGTGAAGATTTATTTCAGTATTGTTAAAATCTGGAATTTTGTGTTAAATTTGTTCTGTTAAAAATTAAAATCAGTTCGTTAAAAGTTGTTATATATTTGTGGAGTACTACGTAATGTGGATTGCTGCTCTAATTTTGCTAGTATTAAAACTGTTTGCTGACTTCATCTTATATTTTCCTTTTATTTTGGCGCATGTTTCCTTCTCCATAAAACTACTGTCAATATATTTCCATTCTTTGATGTTCGAGTGTATGTGAAAATGGCAGGTTATAGGGGCCATAGCGGTCATTTAAAAGGCCATTCCAGACACAGCAGCAGGTCCTTTAAATGCCCACACTTTGGGTTTAATGACAAAATGTGTACAAATATTGGGTGGTGATAAATGTAACATGATGTGACTGGCAGTGAACATAGTTATAATTTGTGTCAAATTGTTGAGAGAGGGTTGCAGCTTGTGGAATACACATCCATGTAGGGTACTTCTTCTGGAGTTCTGGGGGCAGTGGTCACTGTATTGTATGGCAGATGGGATTGCACCTATTGTGAGATGCTTAACCATTCTGTTCATTTGTTAGCTCACAGTAGGTTTATCACCAGTAATGAAGCGTGAGACATGTCATAGTATTTTGCTTTACTGTATATTGCAAATAGACATTGTTATTATACACTGCCAAAATGCTACTTGTGTTACTAACCGCTAACATATCTAGTGTCCAGTCAGAGAATATTATAGCAGACTGTAAGGCAGATGTGGCACAGCAGAGGAAGAGAGACTTCATAAAATCTGATGTGGAAGTTATATCATCATTCAGACTGAATATTTTTGTCTGGAGTTCAGTGTCTGTCATGCAGTATAAATCATTTTATTCGTAGTTAAAAGTTAAGATACAAGAAGCCTTTCACTTGAGAGCAATATTCCACATCATGTGATATCTTTTTTTGTTGTTGTTGTTCTTGCAGCTATAAATAATCTCTTGATGTTTGTTAATATATAAGACTTCCTGAGCTGAATCATGATTATTATATTAACTGTATCTCTCTAATAGCTTGATTCAGTTTCCATGTGTTTTGACTTTACAGTGAATTTTTGGAAATACTTTCTGCAGCCTTCCATAATGATTTTCCTTTGCAGCAGTAAGCTGTTTTCATTAGTAATATGAAATGTTAATGTAATGAGATTTAATGTATAAAGAAATTCAGTTCTGTAAGATTTGAAACTTTCTGAGCTACTGCATGCATGAAAGTCACATTGTAGTTAGGGAAAACCCGATATTTCAGAGACTAGTGTGTGTCTGTTGTCAGAATCAGTTTTGGCTCTCATTGACTCGACCAATTGCCTGATCAGTGGAAAAGACATCAGTGAAATTTAGTTCCAGTCATGGGATGATATTTGTTCTGTTTACTCTTAAGTCATCTGAGTAACCATCTTTCTTTTTCTGCATTCCCAGTGATTGAATATCTGTAAATATTGGAAAGTCCAGTACCCTTGGATATTTTTTGTTTCATTATGTTATGATTTTATAATAAAGTAAATATTTCACAGGCAGTTATCAACATGTCCTTCAAGTTCAGTACAGTTTTTGTGGCCATCCCTTGTAGCTGAGACAATGAATCCAGTCTTCAGCAAATGATTCTCTACAAATCATGCACTGTGTCTTCTCTTCTGCCTCAGTCACAGTTTTCCTTTCCAAGTGCAGTCTCTTCTTATGTCCTTTCCTTCATGGCTGGTTGTTTGTTCTCTCTCTCTGTTTCTTCGTTTTCCTGGCATGCTTCATCTCAAACTTATTCTAGATTGCACTTCATGTAACAATATCACCTTTAGCAGTGCTTCAATTGAGGTTAGTCTATGCTGGCTGCCTTCAGGAAATGGTGGTATTTTCTTAAGTAGTTCTGCTGTTTGCTGGCCACTGCTTGTTGGTGAGATACAAATGTCTATACCCCAATATCAGATCAGGCAGTTTCAACCTCTGCAGGTTTGAGAAATGTACCTCATTTGAGAAGGCAGAAAGTCAGTATCATTAGAAGAGTTTCTGTTCAGTGGGTATATCTCTGTGCAAGAAAACCTGTTTCTTTCCAGAACTATTCTGCATACTTTAATGGATGCTTCATTAACAAGACCTATTAGATTCTAAATGGTTCTGGCAGTTGTGTATGACACTTCATATTACATTTTTTTTTTGGGGGGGGGGAGGACTTTATCCGTCATACTGTATTCTAAAAAAACAAAAGAAGAACTTTTCATAAACTGTATCTCTTACCATCCTGTCTCCCACCACTTCACCTAGTTACAGAAAAAGATCCTGTTTCAAAGTGTTGTGTTCTTTAATGTTCTTTAGAATGGTGGATGATGGACAAAGTTCAAAATCCCGATAATTCTGAAGACCTGCTGTGTCACACTCATTTATCCTCAAGCCTGGATTTTCTCTCGTCCATGACAAGCAGGCTTAGGCATGTGCTAATTTGAATGGCTTCATAAAGTTGTGTCCAAAATTTGTAACTTGTGAGTCATATTCAGGTGTTAGCATGTACACATTATTTTTGGGTAGAATTGATGACTTGGAGATCCTTGTGACTGCTGTGGCCATCTGTGATTAAAACAACAGATTTATCAGGGAGTGGGTGAATATGTCTCACAGATTTCTTAACCAAGCAAGGAAAATGTTACTGTTTATGTTTATAGCAACAACTACAGCCTCAGGAGGCTCTTTTAACACAAGTTTTCACTTCATTATTTCCTTGGGGAAATAATGTCCAGCATGGCATTCATACAGAACATCAATGTTATGTTGCTGCCCCATCTACTTTTCGCCTCTAACAAAGAACACTATGCTATTAGTAGAGAAACACAATACTCCCACGCTGCAAGCTGGAAGGTCGCAGATTCAATTTCTGATTAGGTCATTGGATTTTTCAATTGACCTAATCCTTTCAGTTGTGCTGTGGCCCTGAGTTTGACTCAGCCTCTGATAAAGGAGTACCAGGATTCTTCCTTGGGCTAAGGGCAGCCAGCACATAAGGCTGACAACATCACAATCATCTGTGAGCCGATTGTCTAGAAAATGTGGGAGCCCCAACATCTCAGAACCTTGTATCCCTGTTACAGGGATAATTTTTTTTTTTTGCTCTCATGAGACTTTAGGTGTGTTACTGCTCTCATTAAACTTGTGGATTCAGCATTTCACAAGCATAAGTGAGGATATCTGTTCATGAACTGATAAATAGCCTTTTCAGTAAATGTGTATTTATCATATATATAAGGAGTATGCATCCCTTCCACCAAGGCATGTGTCAGTTTCAAGAACTCCTTCCTTGATGAGGGCATAAAATAGCTGGGTAGTTCTTTAGTATGACTTCAGTTCTGCTTCATTCCCACTTATCATCTTCAACCTGTCCTGAAGTGAACTTTTTGGCATGCTGAAAGATTTGCAATTAATCTGTAATATAACAAAAAATGTAATATGTCCAGGGCTGCCAGAATCGCAAACCTTATGAAACTGATTTGGCTTTACAAATGGAACATGTATAATACTTGTGAGAAATATTACTCATTTACATGAATGTATATCAGGCTCAGTAGTTTATAAATAATTCACAGTACATACAAATTTGAGATTCAAACAGGTTTGAAGTTTTAGGCAAGCAGTATACAGACGCAGCTGGAAATGTATGAATGACACTACTCTCACAAATGCCTACTGACCAAAGCGTGGCTGCTACACAGTTTGCCACACGCCAAGCTACAAATTATACAGTAAGGCTAGTGTTCCAATCCTGTGGCAAAATACAGATTTCAGAAATGTTTATTGTTCCCAGCTGCCCAGGGCTAATGGACTTTCCCATAAATATTTGTAATAAATATAGCAAGGATTATGATAATTAATTGTAGCTGTATACAGTATGAAAGTGCCCTTTGAACAGGTTTTTCTTGAGAACTACTACCTTAGACATATTTCATAATTATTTACAAAAGTTGTTATTTTGGGTGTAGCAGTTCTTGAGATTGTGGATAATCTTTGCAAGTCCATCCATAGATGGAAGGCCGTGTAGTCCATTCATATTCTTTCTCATTTTCTGTAATCATGTGTGACACTGTATCACTTTGTATCCACACAACACAAAATAATGTAAATATTATTATCTCCATTTAAAATGGGGGACAATAAAATTATTATTCATTTCAATGTGTGATGAAATTTATAGAAAAATGTGATGTATTATTTTTTGTTTTATATTTTTCTCGTGAGGTGAGCCTGAGTCCACTTGGTATTGTGGCCACAGTTTGGCCTACTGTACCAGCCCCAGATGATAGTTGATTGTGGACCAATCAGTGGAATACGAATTGGCAGGGGAAACCGAAGTACTCTAAGAAAACCTGCCACAGTATTACTTTGGCCACCACAAATCTCATGTGACCTCACCTGGGCTCGAACCCGCGCCACCGCCTGAACTATGGCACGGCCCGTTTGCACAGTAACTTTTAGCCCTACTTGTGCAATCTTAGCACACGAAAGAAATAGAAGAATGGTATAAAAGAGATAGATACTTCTTTCAGGCTTCGAATGTTATCACACTACCGGAGGGACTATATAATATGAGCTATGGCCGTGGTGGCTAGTGACATCTTTCATTAGTAGTAATAATGATTTGCGTGTAAACGGTTCATAGCAGTTCATAGAATTAACCGTAGATGTTTCTAGTTGCCGTCATTGCATGTGGCGCATGTTGCCCTCATACTACGTCACTTTCAGTCACTTGCGCGGAGGCGATCGCAGCTGATAGTGGTGTCAGAAATCCTAAACGTTGGTTGTATCCATATTTTGCAACATTTAATTTAATTCACAAAGACCCCACGTAGCCGTATCATTATGGCACAGCCAGTCTTCTCAGAATGCCAACTTAGTCAGGAACGGTCAGGAATCACAAATTTTGTGCAGAAATTAGTCAAGTAGGGTGTGACAAGAGCTTGGATTGGGCGAAATCTCTCACGTGACAATGCAGTTTTCAAAATGGCTGCTTGTGGAAAGATTAGTTCAATGATAGCTCTCAATATTCGTTTTAAGTTTTCCGTATTTTAATCCACATAGCAGGTTAAAATGCACTTTAAAATGAAAACACTCAACAATGGGGTCACAAACGCTTGAAATTTTACGCCAGGGTGTCTGGGCTTCACTCACAGGAGGTTGGTTTTATGATCCCCATCAAGATATTTTCTGCAACACATTTCACCTATACATTTGGCTGTTTCTCCTATGTGTGCCATTCACAATATATTTGGTAAGTGCTACGTTTGACTTAACTAATTACTCTTCGACGTCACTTGTGATTAAATGAACTTCAATTTGAGAATTGGCATAGCCAAGAAACTGGTATGCAGAACTGAAGGAGGTCAAAAGTCCATGTCTTGGTTAATAGGTTGTCAGATACATCGCTAGGTCGATTTGGCTCCATTGCACAATCGGATTTTCAATTCTCTGATTGCGTGGGTAGGCTTGCCTTGTTGTATGTTTTGAAAAACCAAATAAGTTAATGTGGCACAGATCATTTACAGTGCTGACGTTCCTTTCAGTATTTTCCTCCATCGTTTTTCGTTTGGGGCGCATACTGCGCTACTGTAGCTCTACTGTTTGCGACTCTGAAGTTCGTAAATTTGGGTCTTCATCACATGTATGACACATCAGAATGCATTCAAGAAGTGAATGAGGATGGCCGTCCAGAAAGTGAGAGAAGGAGACAGCAACAGCAAGGATGCAAACAAAGAAGGTACATATTCGAATGATTTAATTTGGTTATTAAGTAACTGTAGATCTTAGGATCATTTTTATAGTTCTTGAATACATGAAACAGTTCTGTTTTTCATTGGTGAGTAATTATACAAGACTGTTAAAGATTTATGTTTCCTGGGATATGGTACAATGTTGTAGAAAGGTACCAGCATTTGAGGTGAATGTGCTGCCTCAGTCATCTATTCTAACTTGCAGATGTAGGTAGCAGGTTCTTTTAAATTGTTCGTACTTTTCTAACATATTATGTGGCGTCACATTCCAGGAGACAGTAATGTTCATACTTGCTGCCTAGAGTACTGTAAATTTTAAATAATACTTATACATCTCATGTTAAGTGTTGCATTGAAATTGAGGGGTTTTATAAGTAAGTGCATTGTTTTGTCATTGTTGAACACAACAATAATCTGTTCTCCCCAAATGTAACCTAAGTATGTAAAATAGTTATTATTTAGGATGAGTCCTTATTATATTTTGCTGTTGCATGAATGATTCAACCTTTTAAAGTATGAAATTCATCCAAATAATATTTAAAGGAGTTTGTACCTCACACAAGTCACATTTCATCCCCATTATGAAAACCTACTGGTTAACTTGTTAAGGGAAATGATTGCTGTTTAGTGAAGAATTTATAAAACACAAATAAAGTTTGTGAGCAGAATGCAGTTTTTTGTCTTTTTTTTGTTAAGGCAGGTGTTACTTATACTAACCACTATGTTTTAAATAAGTGGTTCTCAACCTTATCAGACCATGGCCCAGTAAATTCTTTTCTCTATAAGATGAAGGCCTGGTATAGGGCCACGGCCCAGCGGTTGAAAAACACTGCTTTAAAGGGTTAATTTTTTTTAAATTTACTTAGTGCGGTTGGAGTCCAACTGGGTCCACTCAGCACGACAGCCACTGATTGGCCTATTGTAGCCTGCCCAGGGTGATTATGATGATGGAGAATTTGGTGGAATGAAGATTGGCAGGGGAAACCGAAGTATTCAGAGAAAACCTGCTCCACCGCCACTTTATCCACCACAAATCTCACTTGGCCAGACCCGGGATTGAACCTGGGCTGCCGCGGTGGGAAACCAGCGACTAACCGCTTGAGCTTTAAAGGGTTAATGAGTTTTATACCTGTGCTGGCTGAGAAGGTGGCACCGTGTATTGCTGAATGTATATATGTGAAACTTACAGATTCAGCCTGTGGCGATGCAACTTCAGCAGATTTGACTTGCAGCTATATATAGCACTGAGTGGAGGGTTCTGTTTTCTGGGATGTGATGCCATGTAATTTGCTGAAGGTTTCAGACATTTCAGAGGAACATAAACTTCTGCATTTGTCCAAAACATAAGTTTCTACCAAACTGTATTTTGTCATGACCCAGAAGATGGTACTGTTCATAGTCACTGCTGCAAGGACTTCATATCGTAACAAGATATTAGTGTTTATCATCACCATAAGAGTGTGTGCACATGGCACACAGAATACCAGAAAAGCAGAAGGCTTCTTTGTTCTTTATTTCTGTTATCAATTGAGTAGTTGTTTGTTATATTGCTTGCACTGACAGTCTGCTGAACTTCATACATCATAATCAGCAAAACAGCCTTTTTTGAGCCATAGCCTTCCTTCTAAGATTCTGCCAGAGTTTTCTATTCTGTTGTGAATTAGACCATCTGGTTTTCACTTAAGATTTCACAGCAGTATTTATTTTAAAGAGCAAGTTCATCAGCCTTGCATCAAACCCCCAACCCAGAGGACTGGAACCCTGTGTTTATGTTCCCCAGTGACAGTGTGGCCCACTTATACTCCCAGTCACCAGGTTACCTTTCTGTCACCTTTTATGACTCACATGTGGAGGTATTCTAACCTGCCTCCTGTCTGCTGTCTGAGAAATACTGTCCTTTGAACATGCTCTTGAGTCTTCGAAGCAACCAGAAGTCAGTTGGAACCAAGTCAGGAGAGTATGGTGGATGATCCAGGGCAGAGATGTCTTTTCCTGCTAAAAACTGTGACCCATGAAGTGCAGAATGACCCTGCATGTTGTCATGGTGAGGAATCAATGAGCAATCTCTCTGCAACTCTCCTCGCTTGCGCCTCACAGCATGAATAAACCTTTTCAACACCTCCACATAGAATGTCTTGTTAACAGTGGTCCCTTTGCTTACAAATTTATAGTGGATAATACCCCTGATGTTGGAAAACCAGATCAACATTGTTTTGATCTTGGACTTCGACATCCATAGCTTCTTTGGCCTGATGATACATCATCAACTGTTCATAACATTTCTAATGTTTCACTTGGTGATTTCTGACCCTTTGATGCCTCAAAAGGAAATACAATCCTTGAAATTAGGTTTGTCATTTTGATGGCATTTCAAACAAATATCTCAGGCACCTTCCAGAAAGACCTCTTGTTCATTTAACACATCTGTTGAATCACTGTCTTCAGCTTTTTCTCTTCACAAGAACCCAAAATTTCAGCCTCTTGTCCATCAAGGGCAAACATTTTAAGAATGTGATTTTAAAAACAATCCAAAAACGCACTGAAGGAAAACTTACTAAATGTAAGTCAGTTTGGCTTTCAAGCACATCACGGCATAACACTTCAATCTATGAGGCTGATGGATCATGTCACTTTAAATTTCAACAATAATTTATCAATGGCCACAGAATTGTTGGACGTTGAGAAAGCCTTTGACACAGCATGGTACTCTGGCCTGTTATACAAGCTGTCAGAAATGCAGTTGTTTACAATTTCTACTTTTCTCACTGACAGAAATTTTAAAGTCTTAGTACAAGGCGCATTTTTTACTTCCAGAGAATTAGCAGCATGGACACCTCAAGGTTTCATGCCTGCCCTGGTATTATTATTTTTTTTATTGCTAGTGGGGTGGGACTAAGTCCCTTGTACTGCGGCCACTTCGGGCTTATTGTACCAGCCCGAGATGATAGGTGAGGGTCATTGTGGAACAGTTGGTGGACTAAAAAATTGGCAGGAGAAACCGAAGTACTCGGAGAAAACGTGCCCCAGCGCCACTTTGTCGACCACAAATCTCACCTGACCAAACCCGGGATCCAACCTGGGCCGCCGCAGTGGGAAACCAGTGACTAACCACTTGAGCTATGGTGCAGTGCCCCGATATTGAGTGTTTGTAAAAGTGATACCCTGTGACAATTGGAACTGATCTTGTTCTGTTCATGGACAGTACCTGTATACACACATGAGAGAAGCATGAATATTGTTTTCTCAGCAAACTGCAGTGCGGCCTCAGTGCAGTGAAGTCATGCTGGAACATAAAGTTCAATGTATGGAAGAGTTCTTGAGCATGTGCTACAACTAAATGGGTGGAACATCTGTGCAAATAATGTAAACTATGTTGGTGCCATCTGTAACAGAAGGATGACATGGAGAGACTAACAAAAGGAGTGAAACCAAGGCTCTGGCCATATACATAAGAACCTATTCAGAAATGGGCATTTAAGTATTGTTATTATTATTATTATTATTATTATTATACTTACAATTTATAAAGCTCTAATGAGGTCAATAACAGTTTATGCATGTTCCACCTGGGAGTATGAGGCAGACGCTTACTTCTTGAAACCACAGTTTCTGCAGAACTGAGTTTGCAGCACTATTGGCAACCTTGACAGATGCACACTGGTCAGCAAACTGCACCTGGCCTTCAAAATACATTATGTTTATGATTACATGACTAAATTGTGCAGGAAACATGTAGAAGTTGCCCAAAATCGTCTAAATCCAAATGTACTGGTCACTGGACAAGGAGAAGCCATGAATAGGAAGTATGGGAGGCTTAAACTTGGTGGTGGTCAGTTGTTCTACTGTGTGTGTGACTGCCATTTTGGATTGGTGAAATAAGGCATAATCTGCTGCACAAGGCTGCATTGACAGAGGTCTTGTATATGTCGTTACTCATTGTAGTAAAGTGACAAAGCATGTATGGTGCCTGTAAAGTAAAAATGCCCTTAGCTGAATGCAGTGTGAGTGCAGATACACTTGTGCTGTGTTATGGTGCCTACTTAGAAGGACCAGTCCCTCCTCTTGTTGAAGAGGAGAGCTTTTTTCCATAAGTAAGTGATCTTGGAATGAACAAAAATTTGTAAGATTTTAGGTTTTCACTGCGGTGACTATGAAGAAAGCAGTCTTCTGCGGTTTGGCACTGTGTATATGTGGTGTTAACCGATGTTTTGGAGGAACGTATCGCCTCCATCTTCAGGGTATAAGGAAAAATATAAGAAATCCGCAAGCGAAGAGACCGTGAGAACCGGATTTCTTATATATTTCCTTCTACCCTGAAGATGGAGGCAATACGTTCCTCCGAAACGTTGGTTAACACCACATATACATGGTGCCAAATCCCAGAAGACTGCTTTCTTCAAACAAAAATTTGATCATGGGTTCTGACAACTGCTGCTGCTGTGCTAAGCAAAGCACTTTGGTTGCTGCTTGCTTTATGCTAGTTTCTTGCATCACTTACCCTTCAACCATGAAGATGGAGATGACATATTCCTCCAAAATGGGGTTTGACTTTCACCAGACTGCATGGTGTTATATCCCAGAAGATAGATTGGTGTTTGAGAACAGGTCGTTGGGAACAATATTTGGACGTATGAGAGAGGAGGTAATAAGATAGACCAAATTACATAATGAGAAGCTTTGCAATTTGTTTTCTTCTTTATTGAATATTATATGGGTGATCAAATCAAGGATAATGAAATGGGCAAGGTGTGCAGCATGCATGGCAAGATAAGAATTGCATAAAAAATTTTACATTGAAAGCCTGAAGGGAAGAGACCACTTGGAATACCTAGACATAGACAGGGTAATACTGACTCTTAAAGGGATAGATCTCTTGATCATCTGGACTCACCTGGCATGTGATAAGGCCTTGTTTTGTGGTCTTGTGATTAATCTTTGGGTGTTATAAATTGCAGGGTATTTTTTGACCAGTTAAACA